GGAATGGGGAATGGGGAATGGGGCATAGGGCAAGGGGGGATAAATACGTATTCATATTCATTACACAGCTTAATAGAATTAGAGCACACGCAAGGCAGAGCGGGAGGGGGGTGTGCATACAATAAGAAACCCCTTAAATCAACACACCCCTTTTATTCCTTGACTCTGAACGAGCGAGTGACCGAGTAAGTGAGTGAGTGAAAGAGAGACTGGAAACAGCGCACAGATACCCCCTATATAACACCCAACGATCAAAGAAGAAGCTCGAATGGATGACAAGCCCACAAGTCCTAGTCGTGGTCATGGTCGTGGTCGTGGTCGTGGATGTGCTGTGGGGGTGGGAAGTGGGAGGTGGCAAGTAGTGCGCGGCTGGCGGGGGTTGGGTTGCTGGATTTGTGGGGGTGTGTGTAGTGAGTGATGAGAAGGGGGTTAGTGACAAGAGTGCAGCGATGACGGGAGATGTGGCGGTAGTGAGGACAGTAGTGACAGCACACCCCTCCCCCCTCCCCCGCGTCTCCCCACCTCACCACAGCATCGACGTCAAACCAAGCGCGTAGGCGTGGAGAGCCGCGCAAACAGGCATGGGGCAGTATGATAGTGTTGGTTGATGGTTGGAGTGTATGTGTGGTGGTGGAGGGGTATATAGCGGAGGTGGGTGGCACCTGGGCGGAAAGAGGGAGGGTGGGGGATGGAAGGATGCAAGGGATTTCTTTTTGGTGGGGGTGTGATGTGATGAAGGACGTGTGCGGATGGGATTCGGGTTGATAAAGTGGGAGAGATTGGGAAAAGGGTGAGGGGGCGCAGTGGGTATGCGATATATCCGTTTCAATACAGCAACCCCCTTTTCGCCCCGCTCAGCAAATGTGATATCCTCCCACCCGCCTTCGTCTCGCCCTCGCACACACTATATATTCCACACATACTCACACTTCACACTCCACACGACTCCACTTAGCTTATACAAAAAAAAATAACGCTGCGAATTTGCTGTGGCCTGTTAGAGTAGCGTCATGCGCGGATTATGCCTTTGAGAGGGAGATGGTTGGGTTGGGGGTTTGGGGGAGTTAAGAGGATTTGTGTCGAGGGTGGAAGGTGGGGAAGGGGGAGGTTGTGCGGAGATGGCGGAGGTGGTTTGACAGGTAGGAGATGGGGGGATATCAGGGGGGTGATGTGAGGTTTAGAAATGAGTCTCCTCGAGGGAGGGACGGGTGTGGGATGGCTCTGTGAGAAGCGTATATAGTTCCACATACAAACTCTACTACACACCACACTCCAATACAGAACTACAAGAATAGTTTAGATTTGCGGCGGCTTGTTAGAGTAGCCTCTTCTGGACCTTTTTTTGGGTTAAGCCCACAGCTCTTCTCCGCAACGGCATTGCAAGATGCGGATAACCTCCGCACGAAGACGCTGGCGTTGGAATATCCAAAGGATGGGTGCGGGGGGTTGGAACAGTGAGTTGTGACCGCAGTGAGTGGTGACCGCAATGAGTGGTGACAACAGCGAGTAGTGACAGCAGCCAGCAATAGCATCATAAAAGCCCTATCACGGTGATAAACACCCCACTTGAACCATATCATATCGGCTCGGCAGCTTCCTCCTCGGAGATATCAGACCTCACTGTCTTTGTATGACGCCTATACGCCATTCTAGCCGAATTCCATTCCTCATAATATATAGATGTTTGGTTTGGTAATGGATACGCGTTGATGGGGCTGTGATTCTTGATTTCGTCGTCTTTATCAGTGGGATATGATGGGTGGGGTGTGCGTGCTCTTGCTCCTACTTGCGTCTCAAATAGTTAATCATTATAGCGTAGCTTTTACTTGTCATAATCATGAGTCGTGACAACTAATCGAATAATAGCTCGTTCCATGGATTACGGCAGCAATTTGGGCCTGGGTTTGTGGGGGATGAGGGATGGCGGCAGCGGCGACAACAGCTAACGGTGACAAAGAGTTCGGACGGCGGCGGTGACAATGACTAGTGACAATGGTAGAGCGGTCCCCACGTCTGGCGAACGGCAGCAATAACCTCATCTGTTGTGATTCTGGCTTCACGGGCTTTTTCGAGAGACAAGTCGATTAGGCCTTGAAATGTGGATTGCGGTCTCGTATCTGTGGATATATTGGGTGGCTGAGGCACAAATTTTCTTACTCGTGAGAGCGTTTCCTCTTTCCTACCAGCTCCTCTCTGAGGCAAGCTATTTCTTTATCATTTTACGTTATGATTTGGTCTACTGGGTGGTTTTGTGGGGGTTTTGTGGGGGGGTGGTGGTGGTATACTCCCCATTTTGAACTGCCATGATATTTTGGCGTATGAAGCGTTTATTCGAGTGAGTGACGAGAGAGAGTGAAGCGGGGTAGTCATGCTCATGCTCGTACTCATTAAACTATATCTGTATCCCCTGCACCCCCTCACCATCGCCGTTGCAAACCATGGGCAGAAAAAAGAAACTGGCGTGGATAACGCTTGTGTTGCGTTGTCTTGAGGGGACTGCGCCATGGGCGGTGGACTGGATGAGGGCTGGGTATAGGGGGAGGAGAGATGATGGCAGCGGTGACGATAGTCAATGATGACAAGAATCCTGAGACGGCGGTGGTGGGCGGTGACAGCAGTCGCATGGAGATGGTGAGAGACGCGGCGGAGACAGCACCGCCTTACCTCCACACCATAATCAAAATAATTTAAACTAGTGGACGCGAGACATATCTCATTGTTTTTTCCATCTACTAAATGGGTGTTCTGATTGATTGAAGGAACTTGGCAGCCCCTATCTTTGGAGTTCATTGTGCCTCCTCGTTGCGTATATATATGTTTGGGGGTTGGGGATGGAGGGTAGATGGTGGATCAATGTGACTAGATGGGGTTGATATATATGGGATGGGAGATCAAAAGAGAGAGTGGAAAGTTGAGAAGGGGAGATGTATAGATTATGAGTCTCCTGAATGAAGGAAGCTTCACCCGAGCGAGGAGGCCAGGGGGCGGTTTTCGTGCTCGTACACTATATATTCTACACCAGACTTCACTTAGTCAAAGACATGTGGACTCCATGAGGACTGATGCGACAGAGCTTTCCATGTGGACTATCTGAGTGGCGTATTATGCTTGTGCGGTTTGGATGAAGGTGGAGGGTGAGTTTGGAAAGAGGCTGGGTTTGGAGTCGGTGAGAGGAAAGGAAGTGATAAGTGGACGGCAACAATTGTACACTGGTGACGGTGGTTGGGTGGTGACAGGCTCAGCGGTGACAGCACCGTCTTTACGTATCTGGCTTAAGATATGACAATAACAAAGATTGCGATATAGCAATCGGCCCGAAAATCAAGACGCTATCCATGTCGCCTTTGCATCTCCTGCTTGCAGCCCTTTGGACGCCATCCGCCCCCTTCCTCTGACTCCGTGTCTACCTTGCCCTCCTCCGTCAACCCTCCAAGCCAAACTCACGTTCTATTCGTGCTCACGCCCATCTTCACAAACATATACTCCTCGTCCCTATCCTACGACCCCCCTTCACCCCCACAGCATCTATTTGTCTCTCCGACATAAAATCCCACCCTCATCACTTCTATCAATGCAGGCGTGGCAGCCGTCGTCAGGTCGTGAATGAAGTACATGCAAAGAAGTGCTTTGTTGACACAGCTGAGCTATGAATTGTTTTGTATGGAGACGTGTTTAGGGAACGGGGAAGGGGTGTGCTGGTTTGTGAGGTTTTTTTTGGCGGGGGGATTGGCGCGGGTGATGGATGGGAACGGGTATGCAAAGGAATATATATTTTAAATGGTTATGGCTGATGTTGACATGAGATAGAGAGGGAGAAGGGGGAGGGATAGGAAAAATAAATATTTTTGATGTATGAAGAGTCACATTGGTGAGCGAGCGAGCGAGAGAGGGAGGTACTTGTTTCTCATGCAACGGTGTGCTATATATTCCCCCTCCACACCCAAATGATCTCTGTTATATGGTATCAAAATATATCACAATGGCTCCTATAGATGCGGCTGGCGCTTGTGTTGCGGTGTTGGAGGGGAGTGAATGGGTGGTGCGTTGGAGGAGGACTAGGTTTGGGTGCGGCGGGGGCCCGACGGGGGGGGTGAACGGTGACAGGAAGAGCGGTGACGGGGTGAAAAGTGACAGCAGTCCACCACGGCAGTAGCGGACATAACAACCTTTCACTCTCCATCTACGCATCGCCGCCGTGGCCCTCGTCCTCCGAACCTAGCGGGCTTGAGATTTTCGGACATGATCGACGAGTGTGTGTTGTTAGAAGATCAGGTTAGTTGCGAAGGAAAGATTGACTTGTAAGTTAAAGGAAAAAATGAGGTCAGTTCGTTAGAAGCCACTCTAATATACTTGGGGCGGTGGAAACAGATGAATATGGTAGGCGGGTCTGGGTCTGGGCGCTTGGCCTGCGCTGACTGCACTATTTGAATGGGCCATGGTGTAGAATATGGGGCTTTGAGGGTGTGAGTTGGAGTGTAGCCAGGGGTTCTGAGGGCTGGAAGGGATAGGGGAGTATGGGAAAAGGGAGAGGCGAAGGGAGAACTGATGTGGTGGTGATATTGTATATATGCGAGCGCCCCGATGTCTCTTTTTCCTCAGCGATGAGCGAGCAAATCTACACCCCAGGAGGACTGGGGAGCCTGTCTTGGAGCTCCATAAGCTGACAATGGTGATGGAACAGCTGTTTGGTGGGGATTTCCAGGACTAACCTGCCTGCTGCGCTCTCGGTAGCAAGATAGCGAACGGTGACAGGGGAGGAACGAGCGGTGATAGCTTTATCAACGGCGATAGCGCGGTGACAGCACTCCCAATTGCCCGATCCTCCGTCACCAGCATCCACCAGCCTCTACCAGCGCATTTTCGCCTAAGCAATGGGCGACACAGACGGCGTGGAGTGCTCGCGCGCTCAACAGAAGCGTTGGCGTTCGGGGATGGGGGCGAGTGTGGTTGGTTCCATTATAGTTAGCTGTCGTTACCTACTCAAAGAGCCGAGAAAGAACTGGGTGGTGGTATCATTGCCGTATCTGTGCTTCTTGACACGGTGCCAGGAATATAGCTTTATACATGCCTGTTGATACCGATCTTACAGTGAAGTTGGTAGTTATTATAGTCGCAGATTAAGCTACTCTATCCAGCCAGGCATCGTCCCCAGCGCGCTCGGACCAAGCAGTAACCCGCAATGCGCTAGTGGGGCGGCGGGGCGGCGGGTGTCGTCACTTAGCTTCGGCTGGGGGACCCTCACCTTATTGATAGGGCAACTTTTTATTTTGACGACGACCACGACACGATACGCGCAGGATACGACGAGACGACTGGATGCTGTAGTGTGCGATAGTGGAGGAATCAGCAAGCGGAAGATATACGAGGGAAGGAGCGAACGAGGAAGAGACTCGAGGAGGGAAAGAGCTAAGGACGGAAAGAGCTAAGCACGGAAAGAACGAAGGAGGAAAGAGGGAAGGAGCGACGGAGGGGAGTAACTAAAGAGGGAAGGAACGAAGAGGGCAAGAGAGGAAGAGCGGGCGAAGCAGCTGGGGCTGGATTAGATCTTCAACGCGAGGAGAGGGCGAGGCGCGAAGACGAGGCGCAAGGGTTCGATACTACGAGACATCACAACACTGCAGAGCTAACAAGCTCCGAGACAAGACGAGAGGGCGACGCACGCAGCGAGCGCATATATACCCCGAGCCCTACACGACTCTACGCGACTGGACTGCACGGAAGAGAGAAACATACACCTCGCTCTACTCGCTCGGCGGGACGTAAGGGAGGGAGGACAAGATATACAGATAAGCACACACACAACCCACCATGGCACCCTCACGTACCACCGCCCTTCTACCTCAACCATCCTCCAATACATCCATAAAGCCCACGAGAGCGACTCCGTCACCCGCCCTCCGAGCACCACAACCAACACAAGCGCAGCTCCTCGCCGCCCTCTCCCCCGCTGCGACCAGCGCCCTCATCCGACGCACCCTCCACCCCACCGCCTCGAAAGACACACCCCTCTCGGCCCTCCTCAAACCTCTCACGGGAGACAAGGATGTGGATTTTGAGATATACGCCCTGCTGGCGGTGGTGATGCGGGAGTTTGTGGTGAAGTGGTATGGAAACATAACAGGAGATCCTGGGTTTGTGGGGGAGATTGGAGAGTTGGTAGAGGGAGTTGTGAGGAAGGGATGGGGGAGGCTCGGGGAGAGGAAGAGGGAGAATGGGGGATGGGGAGGGGTGGTTGTTGAGATTGGGGGGGTTGTGGGGGAGGTGGGGAGGGGCCATGTTGATGGTGGGTTTTATTTTTATTGTTTGAGTGTGGCCGGGGAATAGGGGAGGGCGATGAATGACTGCGAAGGAACGGGTCAAAATGTTCACGAAAACTATAGCTAACAAACTCCTAGCCTACCGCACCGCCCACACAACCCACCTCCCATCTCCATTCGTCGCCTCACCCCGCAACATATACCACGCCCTCCACCCTCACCCCGCGCTCTCACCCGTCCCCGACCCGACCGACCCTGCGAGTATCGAACTACAATCCGCTAATGACGCCGCCTATCGCGAGCTCCTCGCCCGGCGCTTATTACACACCCTCCTCCCGCCCACTGAGCGTGACAACCCCGCGCTCATGGCCCTCGTCGGCTCCATCCTCGCCGATCTCGTGATTGAGAAGGCAGTGGAGAGAGCCTGCGAGTCGGGGGTTATATGGGAAGGTATCGCGAAGGTGGTGGAGGGCGTTGCAGCGCGGGGGAAGAGCGCGAGGAGGGTTGATAGGGGCGACGACGGCTCGACGAGAAAGGGGGGATGGCAGGCGACATTCTGGATGGTGATTCAGTTCGCCTTCCTCGCTTTCACTGCTGTGCGTGCTCTCGTCATTGCGGTCGCGACTTCATCATCGTTGCCGCGTCGTGGGGTTCGGCTGTCGAAATCGACGACGTCGCCGACGACGGCGACAGGTCCGACGCCGGTGCTTGGGATGAAGATGTGGAGTTTCCTGGCAAGACAGGTCGAACTCGAGGAGCGCATGCCATGGGCGTACGGAGCGCTCGCGCTGGGGCAGTGGGTGATGCTGTATGGGCCTGGGAGGGTGGGGGCAGTGGATGGGGTGGTTGACCGGTATGTGTGGCTGTTCTATTCTATTCTGCCCACGTTTTGGTTCTGTTCTATTCTGTTCGCGGTACGATCCTCCGTCCCGTTCCGTTCTGTTCTATCCTGTCCACGCTACGAACCTGCGTTTGGTCCCTGCATTTTATCCTTTTGCTTCTTTGCACCATCTCTCCCGTGGCCGTTGAGGAATTCCTACCCAACTCAGCCCGATCCCACCATCTTCATCTCAATCACTTCATCCAAGCGACTCCTACCACACCCCTCATAAACACCCCGACCAATCTCCCCTTGCCCTTCGATCCGATCCTCGATCCCCGTCGTTAGACCGCATACGGTTTCAATCACTTGACCTCTCCCCCCGTCGTCTTTCCACCTGTCATTGCTGCTCTCCTTCTCTTTTCCACTCAACCCCCAGCGTCTCAAGTGGACGAAAGTGGACATATCTACACACCCTCCCGGAGCCAATGCATCGCTCGCACCCCTGCGCATAGAAAACAGTGGAGCAGGGGACCTTCCCTGCATTCGGCTGTAGGCCACAGGCGAGGCCGCATGTCCCGTTATCGTCCTGCATTACTCTGCATTTACTCTTATCCTTGGTTTGGACACACACAAACGCACAATCCGACAGCGGACCGTGCGTTTATCGTGCGTATGCAAATCTGCGGAAGGCGCGGAGCAACCAAGCGAAGGAGAATTGATCTTCTTACCTCCGATCCGAAATGAAATTTGCCAAGCCAATATTTTGGTGGTGTTTGGGCGAATGGGAGGCTGTTTCCTAGTTGGGAACGAATGCGTGTTTTTGGTTTCTGCGATGTCGTTGGCGGAGATGGGAAGATGGCTTTAGAGAGGTGGACGAGAGGGGGAGGAGAGGGAGTTGGATGAAGATGATGATGTGACGTTGTAGCGGGCTTCGCTCCTCGTTATTTTATCCATCCCATCAGCTCTCTCCTCCTTCGTTTCGACTCGCGCAACCCTTTCCTCATCCGCTCTACCTCGTTTTTTCGCTTTATTTCTTCGTACTTTCGTACTTGGCACACCGTATGGGACTTTGGCTATACATCTATCGTCTTGTACCTGTACGAGGACAGTGGTACCTCGCAGGTACAAGGTGTGCACAGCACCAAAGTCTATTAGGCGCCGGCGCTCCTACCAATGCCAGACTCTGTGAGTGCACAGACCTATGCACGGCGGCCGGGGAGAGAGCAAGTTTACCCCGACGCGCTGTCCGTGCGCGATACAGATGCATTGCAGATGCATCCAAGCCCTTGTGCCTCATTGGGCAGCCATGTACCTCCATGCTCTTCACGAGTACAGAGGTACATCCATTCATACATCCATACACACATCCCTACATCCCTCCCCTATATCCCTACACCCATCGGTACCCGCAACACCTCTCCTCTCCACTGCCAGTTCGTCAGTTCTCACCGATCGGCGAACGAGGCGTGCGAAACGGTGAGCTGAAAGGCGGCCTCACGGCCTCCCGGATTCACATTACCACATCGCGCAATCTCCCCCTCCCCCCATCCAACATCGTGTCATCAAGCGATCGCACTACCGGCACTTCCCTTCACCCCCACCCCCCACGTCCATCGCGGCTCACCTCGCCCCCCCCCCAAAAATCCCCCACTTTCCGGCCCCGCGTCAGACACCTCCGCACTCGCTGTCTCTGTCCCACGCTGTGCCCACCCGATGCGAAACAAGTGTCGCACGCACGACAGAAGCGGTTGTGCTACGGCGGGGACCCGGCGCCGGCGAGCCCTTTCGCCCTGTGCCTGCGCCCGGTGTGGCACATTAACCCGGGGTGTCCTCCTGGTTTGGGCCAGACTGGGCTTATCCTCCCCCCGGGTTTAGGCCTGGGGACGGGCACTCGCCTTGAGCGGTAGGGCGGGGATACCCGATCGAGGCATCCGCCGGGGGGGAGATAATTGTGTTACCTCGCTTCGAGCAACTCGCTTGGGTTCCGCCTCGCGCTGCCTTTCTCGTTTCACACCCCCCACTCTTAGCTAGTCAGCCTTATACCCCCCTTTTCTTTTATGCTTACACGCGAAGTGACAGGTCGCTTGGAGGCGGCGAGGCTAACGTTGGATTAATCAGATTACTTACGCATTTCCTACTCGGTCTCTTGCCCCCAGCCGCGCCGACGCTGAGGGCGCTCCGTGGCTTGCTGTTTCCGCTTAATGCGCCGAGTCCGCCTGGGGCGCCGATGCCGGTTGGGGAGGAAGCGGCGAGGATGCGGAGGAGGGCTGCGGAGGGGGTGGTTGGGCTGGTGCCGAGGTGGATGGGGGGTGTGTATTTTGGGAGTGGGAAGGCGAAGGTGAAGGGAGGTAGGGAAGAAGAGTTTGAAGGAGTGGAGCGCATGTTGGGGGTTTGGGGGGATGCGTGGATGAATCGCTGTTTCGTGTATTCGCTTCTCGAGGCTGGTGTGGTGGGTTTGCTGCCTGAGCTTGCTGGGGGTAAAGGAATAGTTGGGGGCGCTGATGTGGTCGAGATAGCGGTGTAGATAGATTTTTCTAGGGGTGTTTTTTGGGGGGGGGTTGTGTATCTCCTCCACCCCGACATAATATGGAGCACATATATACACGACGAGTCATGGCAAGCGAAGACTTTTATGTTCAGAAGGGGCCTCCCAGACTTTGGGCCGCCCAAATAGTTCATTCGTTCGAGCCTGCTATATCCAACTTTCCTTTCTCTGAGACTACTTTCCTCCCCTTCCTTGCCATGTACGCGCGTGGGCGCTCCAACCAGTCTGATTTCACTCCCATACAACCAACCCCTTTTTCCAACCCCCAGTTGAACCTAGTATCCTCTTCGCCGTTCTCCGCGCTATTAAAAGCGTTTGGTGGGTTGAACCTCCCCCTTCCATCCCTAGATCCTATTCCCATCCCATTCCCAGTAAACTGAAAAGACGGAGTAAATACTCGAACACTGAAACAAACAATAAAACAACAGACATGCATGAAAGCCAGGCACAAAAAGCAAATAGTGATATTTGAACGAGGCGACGCAGTAAACAATAACCACTTTGCTAGGAAATAATAACAAAAACTAGAACAGAAAAAGCTAATCACAGTGAAGCCCGCTTGCGCGGATGGAATGTCTTTATGGGGGGTATGTGGGGTATATGAACCTGGTAGAAACGTAATTGCGGTGCAAGAACAAAAAGGAAGTAACAAAAAACAATAAAAACAATAGATACGTAGATGGCGAAACAGAAACACGCATTGCAAAACTCGATACAGAAGCAGCATGAGTGGAAGCAAGGAGGTGCGGTGGTGATGTCGTGTAGTTATCGTGGGGTGCGGGCGGCGGGAACGTGCGTGCATTGTGCTCGGGAGCGCGGCAGCGGCAGCACCCGTGGCGGGTACTGGGCACTGGTACTGGTACAGCACCGTACAGTAATACGCAAGGCATTTCCGGGCCCAAACATCGGCATCGTGCGCTGTGCACCGTACCGAAATGACATGAGCTGTCTACACAATGCTGCACTCCATATTGCCGGACCCGGTGTCGCCTTCGGCGATGGCCCTGATAGACCCGAGACTGTGCTGGCGCATGCGCTCGGTTAACTTGACAACGGTTTGGTACTCGGCTTCGTCGACGAGGCCCTGCGGCGCCGCGACTTCCATATAGTTGAGGAAGGTCTCGAGAGCGATTCGCGCGTCGTCTGGGGTTGGGGAGGTCGAGGCAGTACTGGCGGTCGTTGATGGGGTTGTGGCTATGGGGTCGGAGGATGCGTCGAGGGCAGGCGGCGAGGTGGAGTGGTGAGGGAATGTGGCGGTTGTAGCTGTGTCCGGGTCGATGGCGAGCATGGGGAAGGTCTGCGAGCGCGGGCGCTGCGGGTACGAGGGTGCTATGGCCCGTACGTACTGCGGCGGCGGGAACGGACCTTGTGTCGTCTCCGGGGAGAAGGAGAAGGGGGTTGCGGGGCTGGAAGGGCCGCCGGAGTAGGAAGAGCCCACAGTGGTGTCAGTGAATTCGCTGGACAGAGATGCAGTGCTTCGTGAGTTTGAATGGCGGTATCCAATGGAGCCAAAGGGCAAGTAGTCGTCTTCGTCTTTAACCCCAGACAGTGGCGATGTGAAGTCATACGGGGAGCCAGGCGAGTGCCCGCTCGGCGTGTTGGCAATAGACGAACCTGCAGATCCCTGGCCCCAGGTGGCGATGTCAGAGATATTCGCCTCTGATGAACGGCGTGAGAGTTTCATGCGGCCATTGTACTTCTGTTTTTTCGTACTGACGTTGTGGTGCTTCTCTTTTTTCGTACTGGCGTTGTGGTTCCGTACGAACTCATCGAGCCACTGGTCGTCGTGGGCCTTTTTGAGGCCTTGTTCGTTATTAAGGATACTGCAAAATTTTATTGCCTCCTCTCTAATCTCCTCACGGTTTCGCAAAACGCCCTTTTTCCACTCGTTGTGCCACCAACTGTGGAGAGCGAGATCGATGTCTTGTGCTCTGCCTTTTGGTAGCTTGGCAGGCGATACGCTGGGCTCTTCGAGAGACAGGAACTTCTCCTTTTGGCGCAGGACTTTGGAGACAGTGCTACAGCGGTTAGATAATGCATTGGGGAGAATCAAAGGGCCTAAGTGCATACCTTCTCTCGACATTGAACTGAGCTACACAGATGTTAGCGTCCATAATTTGGCAACAATACAGGAACTCACCTCCGATTTGTGCCTGTTTCATACTCGGGTTGTCCATGTGGATTTGGCATATTCTTCGTTTTGCCTCATCGGTCAAGCATTTCCTACCACCGCCATGTTGTGGCGATGGTTTCGACGCTCTCACCCGCGCGGAGTTGGGCGCCATTCTGACCTGTCGTGTCGGGTGCCCGCCTGGGTTTGTCAACATGCTGGGCATGGTAGCGGGAAAATTGGACATGGCGGGATTGTTATTCATCCAAGCCGGAGCGGGGAGAAGTGGTAGGAGAGTTTGCTGATGCGCCGGTGGAGGCGGCATCCTCGGAAAGGTGGGATGTTCGGGTAGACTGAGTGGTAGCCCGTGGTTCATGAGCTGGTAGTTCTGGTATTCATACATGGGCGATGTCTGTTGTGGCGAGGAATAACTATTTGCGGGAATGCCAGCCCAGACGTCGTTGCTGTAGTTGCCGTGCTGCTCGCTGCTCTGCTGGTGGTTCGGGTCATCGTCCATGCCAAAGTGACCCATCATACCGTGCATTGCTTGCTCTTCCTCGTCTGTCGATGCCCAGATCATAAGTCGCGAGGGGGCTTATGAGTGATCCTGTACGTGCGTTTCCTGGTTGTTGGAACTGCGCAGCCGTCTCTGCACTGGTTCCTGTTCAAAGTGGGTAGGTTCAGGAACAGTGGCTATCTACATGCATGATAAGATGCGGAGCGTCGGTTCCCGGGAGGTTTTGGAGGCAGATACCCCTAGGAGATTGCAGCAACGGAACTGAGAAGTTGGCCAGATGTAGCAGGAAGTTCTTTCCTCGACTGTCAACTTTGGAGCTGCGAAGGTGAGAAACTGCGAGCTGAGGCAGTCAGGATACCGGGCGCATAGAAGTGGGAAAGCCGAGTCGGAGTGTCAAAAAGAGCTAGCTTAGGTTCCGAACTTGGAGATGTAGCACAACACAGTATGTGGCTTGGATGGGAACACTCGTCCTGGTGGGCCTTGCAGCCACCTTTCTGCGAGCGTTGGCTGCCGACAGAGCGTGGCAGGGAGCGGTCTGGTTTACGACAATAATGGGGACGACGGCGACGGCGGCGGTGATGCTGTGGACGATGTATATGTAAGTGCCGTGGGATGGGGTGCATGAAAATGAAAGAACGGGTCTCCAGAGAGTATGCAGGAGGAGAAATTCGGAAGAAGATGCAGGACGTTGCAGGTAGGGTCTGTGGTGTATGCGTGGGAGAGTAGGTATATATTGATAATGTCTGTGTGTATATAAGAACGAAAGTAGTGTTTTTATGGGGTTTGATCTGCTCTCGTCCTTCCGATCGAAACAACAGGGGGGGCGGCTTAGCTCGGGGCTTAGGCCTATTTGTTAACTGTTATGGTATAGAGTGGTGAGGAGTGAGAAGTGAGGAGAATGATGATGTATTGATGGGGGATGGGTTGATGATGATGGGTGAATATGGGGACTTGAGTGGATATTTTTGACGAGAGGGAGGAGGAGGTGGTTCAGAAGAACTGGCGAGGTACAAGAAAGATACGTGAGCAACAGAGTACAATGGCGAGGTTTCGTTGGACTAGGGAGGGGAGGGGATACTCCTCTAGTACTCGAAGCCCCAAGAGGAACCCTTGACCCCTGGACCCTTGTTGTGGTTGTTGTTGTGGCTGTTGTTGTGGTTGTGGTTGCTGTTGAAAGGAACGAAAGAAGAGACAGATAGATACCTCGTGTGTCTGGTGTGGGTGGAGAGAACGGGAAGTACCTCTGTGAGTCTGTGAGTTTCTGTTGAGAGCAAAAGATTTTTGTCAGCGCCGGAGAATGCTTCAGCAAGAAGGGAGCATCTTACTGAAGTGTACCACAGTGCTACAACGGGGAGTACAGTGTCCCAATTCTCCTGTCCCCAGGACACCTACTGTACTCTAGTATGACTCTCCACAAACTCTCTTCAACTACCGGCTTGCTGATGCTCTCACGACAGCGTGTCCTCCAGTGTGTCCTCCAGTGTATCCTCCAAACTGTCCCCCCTCGTTAGCATCCCCATTATGAACAATCGCCATTACCCCCAAGGACAGCCCCAGGCCAACTAGCCATGGTCGGACTGACCGATCAAAAGGAGCCCTCGACTAGCTTCCTGGCATCCATGACAATCGACCGATCTCTGCGGATGCTATACTTCCACTGAGGAGAGCAGTTGTAACTTTGTACTTGGTTGCTTGTACTGCTCAGGTACATCTAGACTGGAACCCTATAGTGTCCACTCTGTAACGAGATCTTCACTTTTTGATCTCAACAGCCCGCTTCGACCGCCCGCTGCCAGATAGAGCGACAGGCTCAATACCCTAAGCCTGCCTTGGCGCGAGATCTGCTTCTCGCGCCCCCGTTGTTCTGCGTGGGGTGCATTGCAAGTGGGCAGCGGCACTGTACTTCGCCGTCTTAGCTCTGGTTCTTAGTCTCAACTACCTTATACGGGCTGGTATGAGCGAGGGATTACAAAACGATCCTGCCGCTAACGGACGCGGCGGCTCGAGCCTTTCGCACTCCCTTCCCTCCCTCCCGTCCGTAGTTCAGCACATCGCCGCTGCTGCACTTCGCTGCACTGCACATCACAGTAACCCCCTCGAGGTACACGACTCCCCCCGTCCCTGTCTCTGTCCACCACGCGATGTCGTGTATGTTTCACGGCAATTTCGATGTCCTGGGATCCAGAGAGAGTACGTTGCAGTGAGCCTCCGTAGCCTCTTCATCAGGAGAATCTCCTGAGCTGAAGAGATCCCGTCGCTCATCGTATCTCGTTCTCCATTCGCAAAAGAGAGGTCCCGTGCCCGAGCATGCTCGGTGCAACCCATCCACTCTCCGTTGCTCAGTCTCCCCGATTGGACCCCCCGCACTTGAAATGCCTCAATAACATCCACGTCCTCCTCGTCGACCTCATGCTCTTCATCCTCTAGCCCCCCCGTTCACGATGTCTCACTTACCCAAACAAGACCGCCCAGCCCGCCAGTCTAATCCGTTAGCCTAGCCGAAGCCGCCATTCACGCCAGTATCGCAAGACATTCTTTTCCACCTATCCTCTCCGTATCGGAGACGAAAATGAAAATTGCGAGTTTTTCGTTGACGAATCAGAAATTCGCTTCTGTCCCAAGAATGAGAATTGTCTGGCCAATCGCAAGCGTGGGCGCCTCGACGCCTCTTCTGACAGGTCGAGCCAGCCGTGCGACGCCTTGACCGCAGCTACCCCCTTACCAATCCGTTCCATCTAAGCACCAACAATGATCCCTCGAAATAATTGCGCGATCGATTGGCTCTCGATTTTTCTCGCTTTCGTCGGCCTCTCTCCCTTGTCTTCTATTCTTCGCCAGCTTCTTTACCCAAAGTGTTATTCGGCAGAAACGGCACTTGCTTGCTCAGACACGAGCTAGCTAGGCCACATAAACTGTAACCCATGCGAACTAACGAACTCTCGACTAGGTCAGTGGCTGGCTATGCACAGTAATTAACCAACAGCCTCACTACAACTCCCCCCCACGTGTCAGCTTACCCAACTAGTCTGTGATGTCCATAATGTCCACCAGCCAAACCCCGAAGCCTGCGTCGTCCATCACCGTGCTCATCCTTCGCCCTTCCTCCACTCGCTCCAATCTCGCTCCTATCTCGCTCCCCGCATTCCGTGGCCCCCATCATGAGACCATCATACCCACCTGATCTCGACTAAGCTACGGCTCGGCAACGTTGTTGGGGCGCGGATGTGCATCAGCCGCACGTGCCGTCCCTAGTATGGCCGCGCGGGGCCGCGACACCGATCCTCCAACTATGCACACTAGCCAGTTGACAAGCCCGCCATTGCAGCGCCAGAAACGTGTCAGCAATCTCGTTGGAAGTTGTTCCGAGACACGAGGTTTCTGATAACTGACTGCCGAACTTGAACTGTGGTGGCAGAGTAGCCGCAATCACTGCCGTGATAGTCAAGATAGACCAGTTCTGTAACTTTCACGGCGAGCTGTCCCGATCCGTGCCCGAGTGATTGATCGGCTACAGAATATTCTCATATATTGCCCTGAACCCCATAAATGCCTCTCCACAGCTCCTTGATCTTCGCCGTTGCTGTAACATCACTCACATCACCAACAAACTCAATCTACCAAAGACCTCCTTGCCCTGGTCAGGCAAATATCCTAGTGTAGATCACCATCTCATCCTGACTCCAACAAAGGCCCACTTCGCTCGGCCCTCGCTCCGATCGAGCGCGCCGCAAATTCTCCTTTCCCCGCCCGATTGAGACGCTGCGTCCAACATCAGTGTTACTCCTGCACGTGATATATCCTGTGTAGTTCCGAAAAGTGGCTTCGAAACCAGCAGGGAGCTTCTACAGGATCAAAGTGTTTGTCCCTTAGGACAAGGATTCTATGGTAGGGATAGGCAGCCTTCGGTTGCTGCGCATGAAGAGAAAACAGTGGTCTAGGCTCTCCTTTCCCTAGATCCAACAGTGCCATAGTTGAAGATCAGGGGCCGCCAGGCTGTGTTGGATATTGGCATGATGCCATGGCGTGGTGTGGTAATACCGCATTACTTCCGCCATCGCGGATATTAGGCGGCGGAAATTGCGAGGAGTGTGAAGAGAATTCGTCACTTGCATGAAGAACAAGCGCCTGGGATTGTGATAGTTGTTCCTGCGTATAGCAGGTACAGATACGACGGCGATTGCCATTGTCTTGGCCTCCGTTGCCGCTATCGATATTGTTTCTAGCCGATCGCGCTGAAGGCGGTAATTCTAGGCGGCAATTGCATTTTTCTTTTCGATTGCTGCTTTCACATTTGAATTTGAGATCTCAGAGTTCATGTGGAGTTTCATTTTCAGGGACAGACGCGCATCCCCACAGAAAAGGGACGATAAAGGATTTGGATAAGGATACAGAACAATTTTACCTCCCAAGGTCACGCGTCAGGTCATGTTCGCTTATGTAAGCCGCATCGACTGCCGCGATGCAAACAACCACCATCGTCGTCATCGTCTATAGGCTTCCCCTCGTGTTACTTCTTATTACTACTAGAATATTCAGAGTACGCCCTCGTAGATATAGACTTCTACTATAAATCGCCCATGAAAAGCAACTACTTTCTCTAGACCGGCACAGCTTTCTCGCTGTCTTCTCGCCGCAGCCATGTTCGACCTCTTTGCCATGCTCTTATCGTACGCTCCCCCTCTTATCCCACACTTCACCAACCCCTCCCACTACAAACCACTGCCTACTCTCCATACTATCCATACTAATAGCTCTCCCAGGTCGATCGCCACCTTCCTCTTCCCCGTGTTTGCCTCCTACAAAGCTCTCAACGCGGGTGACCCCGCCCTCCTCAAGCCATGGCTAATGTACTGGGTTGTCCTTGCCTGTGGCCTCCTCGCTGAATCGTGGCTCTACTTCATCCTATACTGGTACGCCCCCCTTTTCCTCTTCCACCCCACCCAGATCCACCTGCTAACCCCCCCTCCCAGGATCCCCTTCTACGCCTGGTTCCGCCTTTTCTTCCTCCTCTACCTCATCGCCCCACAAACCCAAGGCGCACGCCTCCTCTATGAAACCCGCCTACACCCCTTCCTGCGCACCCATGAACTCGCCATCGACGACTTCATAACCACAACCCATCACCGCCTCCGCACCTCCTTTTGGATCTACCTCCGCCGCGCCTTCAACCTCGCCAAGTCGCAGCTCCTCGGCCTTCCAACCCAGCAAGAACCCCTTCCACCCCCACCCGCGCAGCGCTCCTACACCGCCTCCCTCCTCGAGCGCTTCAACCTTCCCAGCGCGCGCCCGGCATTCGCAGCTGCGGCGGGGGGAGGTTGGTCCGCCGCCGATATATCGGGACTGCTCGCCAACGCGGTGAGTGCCGCGACGTCATCGTCCCCGTCGGTGCAGGCGACCAATCTAGTACCGGAGTCCATCCAGGGCCCCGAGCGCGCGTCCTTCATAAGCGCCCAGCGCGAGCGCCTCATGTTTCTGCTTTCGGCGCTGGATCGCGAGGCAACGGCTTCCCCTTCTGAAGAGGCGGGGAGGGGGGTGCTCGGTGGGTTGCTTGGGGGAGATGGGGAGGTGCCGCGGAGAGTGAGCGAGGCGGCGCTAAGTGAGCTTAGTAAGAGTAGGAGTGAAGGTGATTTTGAGAAGATTGATCCGTTGGAGGGGATTGGTGAGGCGGGTGCGGGTGGGAGGAGGGAGCCAGGAACTTGGATACCATGGGGGTGGGGAGGGAGCCCAGCAGCAGAGGGGGAGGCGAGAAGTTCAGGGGTTGATAAGGGGGATAAGGGGCTATGAGTTATGGGTGTCATTTGTTTTGAGAAACGAGACTGAGGAGCTTTGGCTCCAGCAGTGTAAGATGTTGCCATCTATTTGATGGTTGACCGTGTGTTGGCCCATCGGGTCGACAGAGTTGGCTTGTGTAGACGTTAGAGGTAGAGCTCGGGCTTGGAGACCTTCTGTATGTGTGTTGGCGTTTTTATGGTTTATTGGCATTGGGCAAGGACGGTCCGCACTATCATTAAGACTGCATTGGTTGGGTTGGATTGGATTGGGGGGTTAATGAAACTGTCTCTGTATATATAATGGATCTAGGAATCCAAGGCAGCCCGGTATTGAAATTCACCGTGTGCGCAATCTAGAGTTTATCTATGCCGGGAAAACACATCAATTTGCAAAGTAATCATTGGCAAAACGAACATCATGACGAATAAATGAGAACATTGCTTGATTTACTAATCTAGCTACATACTCTACATCTCCCGAATTCTGATATCCACCTAATTCGTTGCCTTCTTGTATCCGATCCCTCGTCACTAAAAACACCCACCCGCCCATCATTAAGTCACCCCTCCTCCACCCACCTCATCACATCTCGCCGTCCCAACGACACCTACATCGTGCAGACCGCCATATCATAACAGGTATCGTAAACAAAGCCAAACAGCTAGCCACACAAAACCAAACCAATCCGCCCTCCCTACGCTCACAGAACCCCATTCGCGCCAACTCCATCCGTGACACCCGCATCGCTCTCCCCCTTCTTCGGTGCCTCGCCCCCGCTCTTCTCAGCCTCCGCATGTCCATTCGCCCCCCCCTTCGCTACCTGCCCATTAACCTCTCCATCTCCCAGATCCTGCTGCTTCGCAAGATCTTCATACTCCGGCTCCCCCTTCTTCACCTCCATGAACCCCGCGCGAGGAACCCTCGTCGATGGAAACGGCCTGTGTGACACCACTGCCAACTGTGCACCCCCCTGGCTCACCAGGTCGCCATTAACATACGTTTTCGTGCCTGGCGCAAATCCCAAGTACTTCTCGCAGTCAGGGTCCTGCTTCCACTTGTCCGGCGCGGCCCAGCGGTCCAGCCAGCTCTCATCAGGGAGCGCCTCGTAATACTCGACCTTGAGCTGGAGGTTACGCAGGTGCGGGATGGACGGCGCGATGAACATCAGGTCTGCGACCTTGACGAAGAATAGGTCGAGGCCGAGGAAGAGCGGCAAGGTGGCTTTGCGCATGTCGTTGGCTTCCATGGGGGATACTCTCTGGAAAGGGTTCGCGGCGAACTGGGGGTTGTAGGGGTACAGGTCCGGGCGTGTCATCGAGTACATGTCTTTATTAAGACGCCAGAGACCTTGTTTGGCGAGGAATGAAGCAGAGACGCGCTCCCATGCTGTGTCTAGATAGGTGTTAGTAAAGACGCGGGCTATAGAAGAGATGGCGGGACTTACATCGGCTGAGTTGGAGGTCCTTCTCGCCGAGGAGGAGCGCGACGTGCGTGTTTAGCACCCACTGCTCTCTACCGTCTGGCTTACCGGTTGCCTCAGGAACGATCGTATCATAGCGGACGCCTTGCATAAACTTGAACTTCACAGCAACCTCTGCCATTGCGGGTTGGGCCAAACCATCAAACCAGCGCAGCAAAGGAGGCAACATTGCAAGGCGCGCTGCCTCCTTCTCTTTCATAACACGGAGGCGCTCCGCTCGCTGTTCGGCAATATGGGCAGCTCGTCTGCGTTCTGCTTCCTCGCGCTGAATGCGCTGCTGCTCCTCAAGCTTGTGCTTTCTTTCCTCCTCAGCACGACGCTGCGCCTCGGCTTCTTCGCGCCTCTGCTGTTCTTGGAGTTCGGCCTCCTCTTTCGCTCTCCTAGCGTCTTCTTCCGCTCGCTTAGCCTGCTCTTCGAGTTTGCGCTTCTCTGCTGCTTCACGGGCTACACGAGCCTCTTCTACGCGTCGCTTTGCTTCCTCGGCGCGTTCCTTCTCAATACGGTCATCTTCTTCCTTCTTGATCTTCATCTCACGTTCGGTCTTCTCTCGTTTTGCCTTCTCTTGCTCTGCCTTCTCTCGCTCAGCCTTTTCACGCTCTGCCTTCTCGCGTTCCGCGTCCATTGCTTCCCTTGCTTCCTTCTGAGCCTTCTTCTTAATGAGTGCTGCAGCCTCTTCGGCGGAATTGGTCTTCTGATCGGCCTCTTGGCTTGATCTGGCGCTTGGCACACCCTCAGTGGGACGAGGTCTGGCCTCTTTGTGAGAAGATGATTTTTCGCCAGAAAGCGTTGGCTTGCTGGACAGCTTCTGGTTTTCTTTACGGCCAGGTTCAAGCCTTTGTTCCTTTGAGGAGCTAGGTTTTTGCGTTGATGAGTCTGACCTAGGTGGCATTGGCTTGCGATGATTAGGAGATGTGTCTCGTACACTCTCGGAACGGCGTAGCCCCTTTGATTCCGATTCGAGACGTCTGCGTTTATTTGAAGCTTCTTGCGATTCAGATGGAGGTGTTGAGCTTGTCCTCGGTCTCTTTGTTGGTGACTGAGCTCTGATTGTTGACATGCGGTCTGACGACTTTTCTCGCTTAGCGGACCTCGACCGCTCAGTCACAGAATCAGAGGCAGCCTTAGAGTCAGAACGCTGTAGGTTTTTCTTTCTCCCAGCAGCATCTAACTTATCGTCATCAGCGCCAGCCGAGGTTGCCCCAGGCGGAGACGTGATAGAGGTATTTGATTTTTGCTTCTCGCGTCCACCCTTCAAATCTCTCCCAGATATTAACTTGCGCCTAGGTTTGGTTGGTTCCGATTCAGACGGGCTAACAGTTCGATCGAGCTCTGATCTCTTTCTCTCCTGAGAAGGTGACGGGACTGATTCTCGGTCAAGAGCCTCACCACCTTCCTTAGAACGACTCACGCCTTTTCTACCTGGAGAACCCAATCGATCCCGTCTGTGGTCAACTCCATTGTCCCCGGCCTGATGCTTTTCCTTGCTTCCGTTTGGTCTGTCGGAGGCATCCGATGGCTTCTTCCTGTGAGACCTAGTTGGTTGATTGTTGGAGGAGTGACCAGAGCGACCAGATCGTGCTGACGATTTGTAGTTATCAAAGGCACCTTTCAGGAGCTTCTCCTCATCCTCCCAAAGGGGCCCAGCACGTTCCTTGGCAATCTCATAGTAGGTTCGGCCACGGTAAGTTTTTGTCGGGTCGAATCTACCGTCATCGATATTTGCAAGAAGCAGCTCAATGACCTTCATGTTCTCGCCGCCAATTGCCGCAAGGATTGGCGTGGAGTACTCCCAGGACCCAGGGATAGGAGATGGATCAGGGTTCGCATTGCCGACTGCCAGTAGGATCTGCAGGACTTCATCGTGGCCGCCCTTGGCTGCTGCGATCAAAGATTCAGCATCATCGAGGCCTTCTTCGAGAACTGAAGCTACCAAGCCCACCGTTTGAAGGTCGCCCTTGGCTGCCGCAGTTCTGAGAGTGGTGACAGTGAGTGGTGTGTAAAGCTGGTGCTGGCCAGTCCTATTCGATCTGCCGTGGCTCATGGTCCTTCGATTCCTAGAGTCACTGGTTTCGGCTTGCGGAGTCTGGCTAGTGGCTGAGGGGCGGGCTTGTGCATATGTCAAGCGGGCCGCTAAAAGAGCTTCCCGTATTGCATCGGCATCCTCATCGTCTTCATTGATTTTCGTGATAGGTTCCTCACCCAACTTATTTCGTGCACGGGGATCCACACCCGCACCAAGAAGAAGTCTGATTACTTGCAAGTGGCCATTCTCTACAGCATCCAAAAGAGGCGAGTCTCCAAGGTCATTCTTGCAATGAACGTTGCAGCCATTCTGAAGTAACATTTGGACAATGTCTTCGTGGCCGTTCAAGCTTGCACATTGCAAAGGCGTGTTCCTAGCTGCGTCTGGTTGGTCGAGGTCCTCTGGATACTCTGCAAGCAGGTGCTTCGCCTTATCATAGTCCCCATCTTCGCATGCATCCGTGAGTGGCGTACGTCCATATCTATCTGGCCTTCTACGATGCGGGGGCATCTTTGCGGAGTGAGCTAGATCCCCGGTTGGAGGTGTCCCAAGATTGCGTGTTCTCGAGCGTCGGGTGTATGGCGACTCGCCAGTTGATGATGCGTCAGATTGATAGTCGATGGAATGGTCCTTGGTTGTGCGCAGTGGAGCTGGGATAGCTTTCTTTTTATGGCTTAAGCCATTCGCAGCAGATGTGTTGTTATGCCTTGTGGGCGAAGGAGACTCCGTTCGGTGATGCTGAGGTGTACCGTCTGTGGCGGAATTTTTGCTGTGTTTACCAGAATTATTCGCGTTGGAGTTTCGCCTCTTATGTGAGCGACAATTGTCCTTATCACGTTCAGATCCCGACTCATTGTTTACCTGCTCTAGGTGTCGCTTCTCCTTTCGAGGCGCGCTTGGTGACGGGGACCTGGACCTTGCTGGCTCAGAGCCGGTTCTCTTGGGTGGACCTGGCAATGATCGAGCAGCAGGTGACGTCGGCACAGAGCTTAATCCGCTGGAATTCCCCGTATGGTTATCATCAGGTCTAGTAGCGCTGCCATGTTTCGACCGTTTTCTCTTTCCCAAAAGGGAAGCTGCGCCTTCATTCCAGGTTTGACCTTCCTCAGCTTTCACGTCTACTTGGGCGATGTGAGTACCTTTGTCAATGTCAACATCAATATCCATATTGATGTCGCCACCATTTTCGTTTGTCTTGTCTTCGAGCTTGATCTTTCGCTTCTTTCGAATCTTCGATGGCGAGTAGCCATCAGCTCCAGGCAGCACCACCGTCTCCGCTTCCGAGTCGCTCCCCGAAGCAGGAGTTGCGTCGCCCTCGTTTTCTACATTCGGAGTCGACACTTGCGCCTGCGCTGGTACTGGCAGAGGAGGAGGTGATGATTTGATCCCTATTGGAGTTGCGCTTTCTGTCGTGTCTGGCGCATCGACTCCTGGAGGCGACTTGGTGGGTTCGGCGGGCTCCATCGTCGCCACATCTGGATCTGTCGCAGTATGGATCTGATTTATATTGTCGGCCCCCGTCTCCCCCTCTGCATCTTTGGTGCCCGTCACTTCGACGTTTGGGCCAATGCTTGAGACCGAGGCAGGACCCTCGATCAACAACCAAGGCTTCGTGGTCGTTTGGTGTTTGGGGGTCGTCCCAGTGTCGCAAGCGTCGTCGGCCACCACGATGGATGCCGAAACACAGACAATGTGATCGCTGAAGGCCCTTGGAGTTTGTGCGCTTCTATAATAATCGAATACAAGAGGCCTCCGTTGTAGGTCGTCGACTCATTGGAAGCTCCTCATTGAAGACATTGGAGGCGATTGGCTTCGAGGCCTGTGATTGGCGGCGGCAGTTGGAGTACGGTGACCTGTTTCGTGTATTATGGCACATTATTTGCTGCTCTACATCACCAATTCCGTCGTCGCAAATCACAATTCATGCATGGCCATATTGTGCTGGCTCAGAGACAACACTCCCTCACGGCACATGAATATACTATATACAGACGCAATATTGACGTTATGGTCTGTTGATTTTTAGTACGAAATAATTGCTAGGCGTTCAAACGAACCCGCGCTGGCGTGGCGGCCTAAAGCTTGACGCTTGACGCAAACCTTATCGTCTGTTGGCCACATTAGCTTCAACCAGTAACAGATTCAGAATCATCGGCATCGCTCTTTGTGCTAGCTTCCCAATAAACTAGCTCCGCTGATGTGGCTTGCGTTGTGTCAATCTATCACTTCTTCCCCACGCTACAGATCTCTCCTTGCTTGATCTATCACCTTTTTGCTATGAGCTCACTCAACTCTCCACTAACCGGTCTCCCCATCAGCCTTGAAGAGGCAACAGTCAAGTCTCTACCCGGCACAGTTTGCTATGTTACTGATTTCATAACCAAAGCAGAAGAAGCTGCCATTCTTGAGAAAGTGAGTATGATATTAAGAGTCACCCCAAGGCCACCACTGATCATTCGAAGATAGCAACAGCTCCGAAGCCTCGATGGAAGACGCTCACTCATCGAAGACTGCAGACATGGCCGTCCGATCTGGCAAACAACACTCTACTGGAGTCCCCCCTGCCACCGTGGCTCATCAACCCGATAATTCCACGAATCCTCTCTTTACCAGTGAATGCCGATGATCCAAGCCTGAATATGTTCTCCGATAGCCCTCACAAAGCACCGAATCACGTATTAATCAACGAATACCTTCCAGGACAAGGCATCATGCCACATAAAGACGGCTCTGCCTACCATCCCGTTGTTTGCACTGTTAGCCTGGGCGCAAGTCTCTGTCTTGACATCTACGGCAGCAATGAGCATGGCGGTACTGAGAGCGGGCCACGGTGGAAGATCCTACAGGAGCCAAGGAGTTTGTTGATCACAACGGGGGAGATGTACACAAATTATCTGCACGGAATTGCCGATGTGACAGCGGACACAAATCTTAATTCTGAGACGGTTGCGAACTGGGATTTGCTAGGGCATCCAGAGCTTTTGAAAGACGGCGTAAACGAACGACAAAGTCGTACGAGCCTCACATATCGAGATGTGCTGAAAGTGTCAAAGCTGGGCCGTAGGTTGTTTGGCACAAAGGCTTGATCTCTTTAGGTATCAGTTTCGCGACTGAGCAGCATATCCCTCCATCCAGGTCTCTTGTGTGTGTATACGGCATCCGAAGTCATTGCCTATATGTCGTGCACTCAATAAGCGTACGGGAAGATTCTCCATCTACCTTCTATGCTCTTCGCACCAAACTTCTCGCTGTACCATGCTCTAGTGGACTCCGCGGTAATGCCCAGGTTAATAGCCTCGAAGAAGACTACGGTAGCAATGGTTTTATTCAAAGGTTGACCTGGGGGTGCTCCAGCGATTGCGAGTCCAAGGTATATCACACACTCGCTCGTATAATGCGGCGAGATGATGCCACGAAACAATCCTTCCTCCGGCAGAGAGTACTTTTTGAGACTTCCGAGATAGGTGTGGCACGTGTTCTGGGCTATTGAGCCGAGGAGGAAGAGAGGCACGCCGATGGCAGTCTTGACGGAAGGCTGAATCATGGTGGCCAAGGATTGGAATGAGATGTCATTGGCAAGTATAGAAGCTTTTACAATCAGCAAAGAAATATGATGGGGCAGACAGGCGTCTATCTTACGTATTCCTTCTACCCAGACAACCACTCCCATAGCCAAATAAAACACAAGTCCAAGTAAATATGCCACAGCGCCCATTTTGGATGTAGTCGGCTTAGTGAGGGTAATGCATTCGTACAATCTGCGGCAGCCTTGGATGGCCATGAGTGTCCAAACTAGAACCACCTGATCGATTGTCATTGATGGCTCATTGACAGAGTTGTCTAAGTGCAGCTCTGCTAGAAATCTGAAGAACAGTCCCTTGCGGGCAACCTGTATCGCCCAGAATACGGACGACGCCACTGAGGCTATGTAGAAGTGAGTAAACCACGAGTGGGGTACACCAAATGATGCCACCAAGTCCATCAACTTTGACAATCGACTGTTGGACTCGGGCTCCTGGATAGGCTTGCCATGCTCGTCTTTCACTTTGGTGGCTCTGGCACCATATTTCAAGAATCGCTGTTGCAAAGAGGGCACCACATTGAATGACACAAGGAGTGTAGACGCAAGAAGATAGAAATTTCGCAAAACTTGTACTGGATCCATCTTTGCGCGTTAGATCAACTTTGGCGCAATCACCACTTTGTTCAGTCGTGTTTGATAAACATGGCGGACAGCCTTATATATATTCACGGCCGGAGCGGCACAAATTTGTTCCGTATCCATTCTTGAATTTATTTCCCCGCCACAACCCAAACTGCCATATCTGCATTTGATACCAGTTTGCGCAACGACAACACCGTGGGAACCCACGAAACAACTTTAGCAAGGGGGCATTAGACAAGAAATACAACCGCAATCATGTCGACCACAGTAGATAAGGTATGCGCCGCCATTGCCGCCCTCATAGACGAACACAGCTAACACAGTGGAACAGATCAAGCACATCGAGGAGGAGGTCCGCAAACCCCCACCCACAATCCCCCAATGGCAAAATCTAACAAACTCCGCAGATGGCCAAGACCCAAAAGAACAAGAACACCTCCTTCCATCTTGGTCAACTTAAAGCCAAACTTGCGAAACTCAAGCGCGAGCTCCTCACTCCTTCATCTAGCGGTGGTGGTGGCGGGGCAGGCTTCGACGTTGCGCGCACAGGTGTCGCCTCCGTGGGCTTCATCGGCTTCCCTTCCGTAGGAAAGAGTACCCTGATGAGTCGACTGACTGGTCAACATTCCGAGGCTGCGGCATACGAGTTCACAACGCTCACAACGGTTCCTGGTCAGGTGGAGTACAACGGTGCGAAGATCCAGATGCTGGATTTACCCGGTATTATTGAGGGAGCGAAGGACGGAAAGGGTCGTGGACGACAGGTTATCGCCGTGGCGAAGACGTGTCATTTGATTTTTATCGTGCTGGACGTGAATAAGCCGTTGACTGACAAGAAGGTCATCGAGGCGGAACTGGAGGGCTTCGGGATCCGTGTCAACAAGTCGCCGCCGAATATCGTCTTCAAGAAGAAGGATAAGGGTGGACTGAGCATCACCAACACCGTCCCGCTGTCGCACATCGACCACGATGAGATCCGTGCCGTCATGCAGGAGTACAAGATTAGCAGCGCAGATATCGCCATTCGCTGCGACGCCACCATCGACGACTTGATTGATGTGCTCGAGGCGAAGAGCCGGAGTTACATCCCTGTTATCTACGCACTGAACAAAATCGATGCCATTAGTATCGAGGAGCTAGACTTGCTGTACCGGATTCCAAACGCTTGCCCGATTAGTTCCGAGCACGGCTGGAATGTCGACGAGCTCATGGAGCAGATGTGGGAGAAGCTAAAGCTAGTCCGCGTATACACCAAGCCAAAGGGCAAGCTGCCCGATTACTCATCTCCAGTCGTTCTGCGCTCCACACGCTGCACCGTCGAAGATTTCGTGAGTTCCCTTCCTCCCTCCTTTTTACCCTCCCCTTTCCTGCTACCCCTTTCACTCAGCTTTCCACCCTACACACGCCACTAACGTTCCACCCAGTGTAACGCCATCCACAAAACTATCGTCGACGACTTCCGCTCTGCGATCGTTTACGGCAAGTCCGTCAAGCATCAACCCCAGCGTGTCGGTCTGAGCCACGAGCTCGGGGATGAGGATATTATCACCATCGTCAAGCGCTGAGACCAGACCACCTAAAGGACAGAAAACGATAAGGAGCCGCGGTTGTAAATGAGGAGTTGGCGTTGAAGGATTAAATGTACGGGGGACATCGGGCTGGCTACGACTAGAGGGGGTAGTCGAAAGATAGTGTCGAAGCCAAGGACGGGGATGGGGGCGGAAAAGGCATAAAAATGCCTGCGCCACGCGCTGGGTCCTATAGGGGGCATTTGCACACGTACAGACGTAGAAGTGGTCAGTTATGCCTTGGTTCCGCATTAGACGGCCAGGTGGATTTAGAGCACTTAAAATTTATATTTTTTCTCGGATTACATATTTAATATGCGGCTGCGACTAACAATTATAGATGTAGACAGTTGAAATTAAAGTAGATGTAGAAGCAGAAACAGGGTTGCCGTTTAGATTAGAGATCACTCATATTACTCTCATGGAATGGATGTTACAGGATATCAAAGAGATATCGAAGACAGACAATATTGTCGATCGAGAAGGACGTTTAGATCGGTACTTTATTGTACAGATTTCATTCACTCCACTGTTGCTCTCTCGTCAATGTCACCTTCTTGTCGCCGCCATGAACCATTGTCGCTCCTATTTCACCATCATTATTTTGGCGCTCAAGATTCCACGCCCAATTAACTATACATAATTTTAAAACTTGTTATTATCCATTATGTCGGTAAGGGTGGGTTGCCCACACCCCACAGGTCTCTGAGCACGCCGCGCATCTTGCGGTTGCCATTAGAATAAGCAGCCACCATTCCAGTATCTAACCTAAGAAAAGTGAAATTGCTGATGTCAATTCATTGATGTTGTCGCTACGGTAGCTCAAGACGTGGGGTGAAGAGGGTGCAGACGTGCAAACTCTGCGTAGCCTCGGGATAGTGGTTGACTGTCCGAAACGGGGTGTTGTTCTTATATTCATATATATATTTGAATTTATATCCTTAACTCCTATTTGCATTCATTCGATCTAGCCCGCAACAAAGGTATATCCCAAAATCAAAAAATCCTCCGCACATCATTCGATGCTTGTGTATCGTCCCAATTCCCACCATCCCCTAAAACACCCCGAAATCAACACTCCGATTAAGAGGTAATACAGTGGTGCCCAAACAAACCCCATTTAAAGCTCCGTCCGCGTCGTCCCAGTCGTCTTCATAATCCCCGACCTCCACTCCGCCTCATCATCACTCCCTCCCCTCAACTTACTCTGACTATCCCACCCACCCCCCTCAAACTTCACCCTCCCCGCCTCGCCCCTCTCATCTGCATCCGCCTCAATCAGCGTCGTCACTCCCGTACCCGGCGCCCTACCCGCATTATTCCGCATCCCAAACTCCTCCCCTCCCGACGCCTTATTCTGGACATACCCTGAGTTGCCCGAGCGCGGCCAGTTGTTCGATGACGTGTTACCGGCTAGGTGGCTGCTGCCGAAGTAGGCCTTGAAGAGCGGGCGTAGGGTCGCGGCAGCAGAGGCGGCGATGCCGATGCCGGTTTCAACGGTGGACCAGATGGCGACATCCGTGGTGGCGTAGAGGAAGTCTTGGACGTTGGCGAGGTCCTTGACGAAGGGGATGCGGACGATTGTTGCGGTCGAGGCGCTGCGAGAGGGTTAGTGGGTTGTAATTTTAAGGGGTAGGGGGTGGTGGGTTATAGGGGACATACATAGCGCCGACGGAGAGAATAGCAGCAACAGACATCTTGGTGCGCATGTCCATTTGAATGTGCCAGATCAGGAAGATGGGCATGAGACCCAATCCCCAATCTGCGACACAAGAGATGGCGGAATAGGCGTAGGTAGCATCAACGGTGATTTTCGGATTGACACAGGTCCCCGTGCCTCCGGTGTACTGCGTCCAGAAGTATGAGGAAGGGCGGCACTGCAGGACGAATAGGAAAAAGTAAAAGGCGCTGTAGGCTTCGACTACACCTATGATAACGTAGATGATTATCCGGGAAGCCCGGGTGACGGCGAGTCGTAGTAAGAAAATGCTGATGCTGAGCTTGAGAGCCATATTGGACAGGACGTAGACGGGTTCGCATGCCCACCACCACTGAATGCAATCAGTTCTGCTCAAGCTGGCTTGAGATAAGGGGTTCTTACTTTCAACCCAACTGGGATGTCTTCAGGTGGGAGGTCTGCAGCATGTTGTCCGGTTCCGTAGTGCACGCCAGTAATAGCAAATGCGCAAAAGAAAGTGAAGAATATCTAGAGCTTATGGTTAGTATTTCGACTCATAAAGGTAAATCAGTAGAAGTATGACTTACCCAGGCAATAACAGCGAACCAATCGTCCATGCCAAAGGCCCTGACAACGACGGCTCTACAGTAGCATCGTAGAATAATCCCAATGGTGCTTAGAGCGAAGAATAAACCAGCCACAGCACTCACTTGAGGCCCTCGATCAGCTGGCGTCACCGTCATTGTTGAAAGATAGCAAGTGTGGATTGTCCGGATTTACCGGTGAGATGGAATGGGGGTCTGATATAAAGTCTTTGTCCCATCTGTCGCTTTCTGACATCACGGCTAGTGTCTTGCAACGCCCGGCCGTTGATGGCAATCATTGGGACACTACTCAGTTTGCAGCGGAGATCAGCAAAGTTATATGGAGACGGAAGTGATGCCCGAGTCGAGACTTGCATGAAGGGGCGGGAGAATGATTCTATGGGCAATTCTAAGAGGGCAACAGACGTAACTGTGGTAAGACACGGCAGGCCCACTGTCGGGCATGATATAATCCAATAAATGTTCAACGGATACGATTAACGTTCGTTGGGAACGCGTATATCGATGGTGATACTCTCAGTCCGAAAGCCATCTTGTCGCCCGATGTGGATGCCTCGGCAGTGCTATTTCGCTCCAGAACCCCCTCATTGAATATAAATTGGCCGTTGAACGCGCGACAATGGGGACGGAGGGCACGAATATAGGTTAGTGCCGACCCGGAGATGGCTATCGGAATTAGATAAATGTCTCCAGTGATACCCGTAAACGTGCTGGATCCGCATTTCTGCTCCGCTCCCAAACTAGAGAGGGAAAGACTATCGTCAAAAACTGCCGCTCCGATGCAAGTGCGGCCATCGTCATCCACATCGCCATCCACATCGCCATCCACATCGCCCATAATTCAGTGAAGCCAACAACGAGGCCAACGACCCCGCCAAGTTTCACGTTCTTGTCAGGGCCCGCTGAATCCCCTATTTAGGCTTGCCCTGGGTCATTTATGATTCCACCACGGTGGCTGGCGCAAGGGGTTCTGGCGTACTTCGAACGAGTAGCCTGGTCTTGTATACGCAATAGGGAAGCTTGCTTACCAAAAATGTAAGAGCTTTTCGGAACTGCCGTATAACAAGCGTTTTCAGATCTCATGTGCCAAGGAGGGCAATCATGATGCACGCAAGGCCACCCAAGCAATCGCAAGCACGCGCCTTTCTCATCAGCCCGTCCCCCGTCACGATCTATTGTTTATTTTGTCTCACGACTCTGCATACAGCACGTCCCAGCAGATCTCCGTCAACTCGGTCTCTGGGTATTGGGGACGAACGCGGCAGACACGATCTCCACTCCACTCCCGGATAAAAGGACTACCCAGGAGAAGAAGCATCTCCGCCTTACCCCTGCAGTTTTCACGTGGCGAGAATTTGGGCGTCGCCCCCCACGTGAAACCTACCGCCCTGGGAAACGGCCTCATTCGATGACAGCGAATATCCAGTGGCGAACTCAATACCAAGTGGACTGAGGTTTGTTGCCCTGAGCGGGTTTTGGTGAGTTAAAGCACACGGCCCGAGTCATGGAAATATTGGTTGGTTCAACTCTGGCATCCCGTTAGCTTGTCCCGCCCGCTTTTAGTTGGGCGCTTTCTCGTGCACTATTTTTCTCCTTTCCGGCACGCCCCGTGTTGTCAGAATGTCAAGTGTCAGTGAAATAGGGGTAAGTCGTATTTTCTACCAAAGAGTTATTTCTGAAGTCGATTGCCCTTCACTTTTACTTGGTGATGGTTGCTCCTATTTTATAAAGTTGGTGGGATATTTCGCACCTTCCGTTCCTGATGCTCGCATGCCGATCAATGCCTGGAATTGCCTACCCCTCGTTAGCAACCAGTGTTAATGGTTGTGCGACGGCCGCTATTTATGAGCTTGGAAGAGAATCCTTCAACCTCGCGCTCTGCCTCTTAGTTAATGAACGTGCGAGAGAGGTTCCCCTGATTAGCTACAAGTAATAACTATTTTCTTTTGCTGTCAATTTACCTTGTTTTAAATCGCCGAAAGCGCTGTTACTTAAGCACCGAAAACAAGCTTTTGTTTAAATACCCAAAGGAAGTTATTATTTGAGGTCACGAAACTGATTGCTTCTTTCTCTTTCCTTGTTACTTTGAAAATTAGTCTCTCATTCCATCCTACCCCGATTTCAATATGAAGTCCTCCATATTTACCCTCCTGGCAACAGCCCTCCTCGTCACAGCAGACACCGCCTCAGACACCCTCCTCGCCGCCCGCCACGTCATCCACTCCTACCCCGGCCTCACCCCTCCCGCCTCCCTCCTCACTCTCACGCGCCAAGGCAAAGTCGGCGGCATCATCCTCTTCGGCGAGAACGTCGACGCCAACCTCCCCACCGTCGTTGCTAGCTTCCAAACCGCCTTCGCCCAGAGCCCTGCCTACGACGGCCACCCCCTCCTCATCGTCACGGACCAGGAGGGCGGTCAAGTCCGCCGTCTCCCCGGCGGCCCCGTATCATCCGCGAAGCAGATCGGGGCGTCAGCTAACCCAGCTGCCGCCGCTACGCAGGCAGGGAAGGACGCAGCGAGCGCGCTGAAGGCGAGCGGTGCGAACGGCAATCTGGCACCGGTGCTGGATGTTTTCCGTGTGGCAGGGGATTTCACCGATGCGTATGGGCGGTCATTCGGAAATACGCCTGCGCTGGTTAACACGTGCGGTTCGGCGTTTATTGCCTCTCAGCAAGCTGCTGGCGTGCTTGCTGCGGCGAAGCATTTCCCTGGCCTGGGCTCGGCGGCGAAGGACGCGAATACGGATGTTAAGCCAGTTACGATCACGCTGACGCTGGATGAGCTACGCAATGTGGATGAAGCGCCGTATAAGGGTGCAATTGCGGCGGGTGTCGACATGGTGATGACGTCTTGGGCACTTTACCCGGCCCTTGATGCGAAGCTGCCGGCGGGGTTGAGTATCCCGTGGGTGCAGGGGGAGCTGAGACAGAGGCTTGGGTTTAAGGGGGTGACGATCACGGATGCGATTGAGGCTGGGAGCTTGAAGGCGTTTGGAAATGATGCGGAGCGTGGGGTTCTGGCGGCTGTGGCGGGGATGGATATTATTCTTGCATCTGGGAGGAATGCGACGCAGGGTGAGGCGATTGTGAATGCGCTTGTTGTAGCGTTGGCGAATGGGAAGCTATCTCCTTATGATTTTAGCAAGGGGACTGAGAGGATCCTTGCGATGAGGAAGAAGCTGTAGTCTGAGTAGTTTTGGTATTTAAGGAAGAGGCGAGACCCATCTGCGTTTGATTTATCACCACATACACTATCTATACTTTTATTTGTATTACGGATGCTCGCCCCGAGCTTTGAAAGATCAGATTCAACCTCGAAATAGGGAGCTGCCACCTCATCTTCCTGCTTTGCGGCCTCCTGTTGCCGCATATTCTCATCGCTGATCACATATTCCTGTCACTGCATCTTATTGTCACCACAATTACATGCCACCGCAGCTTTTTCAAAGATATGTCTGGCAAACCTTGACCGAAATATTTCTCCACATCTTTCGGGACGTGTTTTCCAATCCGCCCAGAACGCATTCCGCAGTCTGGACTGGTGCTGGCGCTGGTGCTGGTGCTGCTGTGGTTCGATTCGGCCATGACATCTTTAAGCTTCGATTTATAGGCTGATCTTGGTGACGCTTGGAGATACGAAGATTAGCTTGGATGTGAATTGCTACACTATGATGGGTGATGTCCATAAAATCCCGACCCAAAATCTAACCCTTTATTTCTCATTCCCATATCAAGCTTCCACCCTTTCTGCTTCAGACAGATAGAAAAAAACCTTTCGTCTTGACTATTATTACCACACCCTACTGGATCCTCCTCGTTCTGGGTATATCTATGAGCAGCCACAATTTGTAGTGTGGCCCTAGTCACCGAGCAAGACAGTCCATGCACAGACGACGGGCAAAGTATCCGATGATACCAACCAGCTCAGATAGCCGAAGGCCACTGCATCGACAGCTATCCGTTGCGTGTCTGCAGCTCAGTCTGATTATTTTCCGGGTCATCTTGTGTATTATAAGAACGCAGAGCAGATGAACTAGACTGACATCCACTAACGCCCCATTCCCCGTACTCAAAAACCTGCCCGTCCAATTCATAGGTAGCCATGCCTCGAGTGTAATCCCACTGCGATAACTGGTTGCATCATACATTGCAACACGACACATGTCAGTCGTGACCACAGCGCTCAGGTATCCGCAAGAACTGAGATTAAAGTCTTGCGTAAAAGAGAGATTTGTTCCTGCTGGGACGAAGTTGGCGAAGTTGACTGTTACATTCTCGATAGCGAGCGAGGAACCCAGTTGGCTGCATGCTACTTCGGGATCGCTGAAGATAAAATCTCTTTTCGTGTAGTCAAGATCAGTTGCACCAGAGATGGAAAGCAGACTCGGGAGGAGAACGAAAAAATATTTGAGAAGCTGCATGTTGAGACTTTGGACTACCAGACACGAAAAAATAAACTGGATGTCAAGTCCATTTAACTTATCTTCCCGCTATCCCAATTCCACATCTAGAAACACCTCCGAAGAAGAACAGTTTCGGAAGAAAACAAACAAGAACGCGTGTCTAGCATCCTAGTCGCCGTGCTCATCATCTCCTCTTTGACAGTGCCATCGGCACATAATCGCGCATGAACCGGCCATTGTATCCCTGTCATTTCCCCGTATTTGTATATGCCAACCTTGTCCATAGTCGGAAGTAAGAAACAATAACGAAGGGCGGGAGAATGGAAAACGTTGATATCAACCTTGCTTGGATAGAAAATCTCTTATCCGGTTTGTTTGACAGGCTGGTGAAAGTTGAAGTTGTTTGAGATGGAAAATATCTTATCCGGTTTTATATGCTAGAAATTCAGTGACTACATTCACTAAAAGAAATTGCTAGAGACGATTGTATCATAATCAATCTCTTGACCCTGACCTTCGTATCTCCAATTACTAAGATAGCTATTTGTGGTGCCGTTGCCTCCATTACTTGTAGCATAAGCGCCGACAAGCGCACCTAGTAGCAAGACAACTAGATTAGCAATCCGAGCTCCATATGAATTAGAATAAATTGCGAAACACCAATGACTTACCAGTGAAAATGCCGGTACCCCCACTCACAAGTAGTGCCTTAGCGTAGGCAATTATTTGACTTTGAGATGGCTTGGCTGAAAGAGCAGCTGAGAAAGAATAGTGGGTTGTATTCACAGCCTTAATCTCTAATCGGATAGACTTTCCATGCCAAGCCTTTGGAACTGGGACAGTCGTTGGCTCTATGGCAGGCCCAACATAATTTCCGACACCTTCGACACGGAATCGCAGTGATATTGATGACTCCTTAGAATTTGGGGACGATAGATTGACTATACCAAGATCAATATGTTGAAGTTGGGTTAAAAAAAGGGTTACACCAGTCTCCTCATTCTCTAACTTCGGGTCGAATGAGAAATCGACACCGTAGGTAAATAAGGTATCAGTTTGACGACGCATAATTAGAGTTATCGGGTCGCTGGGCTGAATATCTGCAGTACCAGTAATGTTCATAGAAGATGGCGTTAAACGAAGCGTATTTGGATGTCCCCGTGGGGAGACTGTATACGAATAGGTATTAGGGAACCGCCAGAACGAAAGATGCTTAGGGATGGAGGAGCCCGGCCGAAAGTTGAATTTGTCGGGTTCGTTCACAAAGGCACCATCCCCAGCAACATTCTTGTTTACTCTTGGAAGTGGACCTTGCATTGTACCGCGAACTGGCTGTAAGACAGGCCATTCGCCTTTGCCCCAAGTAGCCGGCACAAGAACCGTTTCTCGACCCATAGGATAGTTCAGCCATTCCTTTCCTGAACGGGTGCTCAATGCAACAGCCCACCAGTTATAGTCTTCATCCTGGAACAAGTCTGCATGGCCTACAGTTTGAAAGTATTGGTCTGTATCGCGATTCGTTAGGAGTGGATTGCGAGGGTACGCTTCCCACGGCCCAAGGCGGTTTCGAGATCGTGCAATTGTTTCCGTGTGGTTTTGCTCGGTGCCTCCCTCAGCAATCATGAGATAGTAATACCCGTCTTTCTTGTACATATGAGGACCTTCAGGATAAACTCCTCCAGTACCATTCCACAGTTCACTTAATGGACCCATTGCACCTGTCTCCATATCGAAAGCAAATTGGTTTATGAGACCATTCCTAGCCACGGTAATGTATGCCGTACCATCGTCGTCCCAGAAAAGGTCAGCGTCGCTACCAGGGTCCAGAGCGAACTTCACGGGGTCATTCCACGCTTTATCGTTGTAGGGATCCGAAGAAGTGAAAAGATAGTTGGAACCGACCCCTCCTAAGTCAGCAACAACGAGGTGGAATTTATCTTCACGATAGCGGAGAGTTGCCGCATACATTCCACCCTGTTGCCAAGCGACGTTGTTGAGTTCAGGTACCTGACTGGGACGATTGAGAACATTGCTAACCAATTTCCAGCTCACGAGGTCCTTGCTTGCGTAAATTGGGATGCCTGGGTATAAGAGAAATGTTGACGTTGTACAGAAATATGTGCTCTCCTTTCGCACGTAAATACAACTTGGGTCTGAATGCCACCCAGGTATTATTGGATTGGTATAGTGGGTATTCTGAGGGTGTGCAGCGCAGGGTAATGCAGCAGCAAGTACTAAAGCGATAGTGGAAACTTTGCAAAAGGCGTACATTGAGAAGATTTGGTCTAACATTGTTTTAGGCAAGTGAATCAATATTAAGAGTCTCTGATAAGTAGCACATCTAGGAGAAGAATCAGTACAAAAGAACCCGCCCCCTCCCTTTATACTACTTACAAAGCAGATTAGAGAACCCCATTTAGAGAAATCGAGGCTTTCCCGCAAATGAAATGATGCTATGTTTGTCGTGGGGAACAGGCCCCACCGGAGAGCCAGCTCAGGTTAGGGTCTGAGGTGGATCTCACCGGCCATGGATTTAAGCCTTCCACTAACTGCCGAACCCCGCCCCCACCGGGTCAAGGCGAAAGAAGCTCAACTAGCTCAACGGTAGCCTCAATGAGAGTTTTGAGACTAAAGATATCAGCGATAGTTGCAACATATTACCACCTCCATGCTGTGCATTCTTTGCAAGGATACGGATCTGCTCCCTTGGGCGGTCTTACGTTAGTATTAGCGCCAACCCGCGCTCAATCTCCTCCCCAATCCACATCCACCCACTCGAACGAAACCTCCCTCACAGCCTCATACCCGATAAGCGACGGGATTCGTCGCTCATCTTCACCACATCCCCATGTCAGGCCATTTCGATGAGTGCATCCTAGGCTGTCGTTGGAGAAAACTCACGAGTGGACCAGAGAAGAACCATCCGCAAATAATCCCTCCATCTGAATACGTGGTGTTGATCGAGCCGATCATATTGGGATTCTAAAAGCTCTCCCCTGTCTAATTTGCTGGCTGAATCTGAGAGAGCATATGTGTGGCAAAACATATAATTCGCTATATCCTATTGTTTTAACACTCTATCCACAACCGCAATAAACACATGAAAAGGACAAACAAAAAGGCACAGAGTGGGGTTATATAGATTAGTATAAAATAGGCTGCAATTAAAACAAAAACAACGAGCCTAACAGGAGGTAGTAGGTCAACACCTTGCTCGCAGATGCGCTGGAGAGGGGTTAACAGACCTAAGACTAGCTTTAGAAGGGTCCCGCTAGACAAGCAGCTTCACAACCGTCTCGTGCCCGCTCGTCGCCGCCCTCGACAGCGGCGTCTGACCGCTGTTACTCTTCGAGTCGGCCACAACGTCATCTCGCTCCGCGAGCAGCTTCACCACCGCCTCGTACCCTCCCTCCCTGATTCAAAATCAAAGATTCAGCCTCTGCCTCAGACTGATATTTTCCTGTCGTAGCCTGTATATTTCATTTTCGCATTTTTCTAGGTTGTCTTCAACAACAGACCTCAATTCTTCGATAATCTGGAACACACGCCACAGACGGAGGACAATGACGATAGATCCTAGTTCCTCTAGGCGTCCATGGAGGAAGACGTCAATAATGAAGGCCACTAGAATCACTAGAGAATCGAAAATGCGGAATTTGGATAAAAAGTAACTATCAGCGTTAGAACTAGCCGGACTTCAAAAGCTAAGTGATTTAAGATGGGAAAAATAAATTAGGGTATGTGCTTAGATTCTGTGACATGGTTTATGGATGGCAGTTATGGAACGAAGTAGTTATCAAAATAAAGGAGTAGAAGAAAAACGTACCTAGTCCCAAAGCTTATGATCGACGTAACTAATTCAACCATGAACAGACACGAAAAAACTAGGCCAACCAAATCCAAGACATTCCGAGCAACTCCCCAGCCCGGATCAACGTGATGATATTTCAGCTTCAGCTCACAGACATGAAGTTCAATTAGATCACCTGCAAAAATGCAGCCGACATCCACCGAGACCAGTAAAAGCACGATGTAATGGCCCCATCGAGAAGAGAGCAAGGCTCGGGTGAGACGTCGCCAACTATCAAATGCGGACTGCTGTTCTGGGTGATGTGAATTCCTATGGTCACGTCTTTCGCCTACTAAGGGCTGAAGGGGCCCAGATTCTAGTGATGACGACATGAAGTAGGGCTGCGAAGCTCTACTTGTTATCAAGACGGTCCGGCAGTATGTAAACTGGGCTTTGGAATGAAAGATGAACAAATTACCGTGGTATGTATCCAGATAGATAACTGCGGGTGTTACTGGAAGAGCTGATGCAATAATTGTTGGAGGTAATTCCGGAATACGGGGAACCACACACAATTTTGTGTGATAATCTCCGACAACCGTAATCAAATCCTTCGGGCAACGGAGCAGAAGCTTCACAGTAGAATACAGTAAAATAGAGTATATAGATCAAACGAATTACTACCTAATCTACGGGCCTACGTACGCTATTTGTAGACCTCGGGGGAACCCCCAAAGCCCTGACAAGCAGAGCTTTCCGGGCTTCAGCTGGTGTTGGATCAGTGGCAATAGTATGGCGCCACTAGTTCACCCGTAAACCAACCAAGGAGCTGGACGGTCCCACGGGGATAAACCGTCATTTTGGGTGTAAAAACCCACCGTATCCCACGGGAATGTCCGTTTTCCCCAACATTAATGGCTCCATGACCAGCACCACGTGATTGTGGTCCGTGATGTTGGTGCCACCCAAGTAGAAAACCCTAAATTCATACAAAACGCCGAGCGATACTTTCTCCGCCGCTGCTTCCTTCGCCGCTGCTTTCTTTACTGCGACTAACCCCGTCCAAATCCCTCGTTACGACTAAGAGCGCACCCAATGTGAACAAAGTATATAATTCGTTATGTCGTATTGTTCTAAGAGGATTTATACAACCAACGCGAAATACTCAAAATGAGAAAGGAAGCGGCATAATTTGCGTTCATCCAGGACCATATAAAAAAGGCTGCGACGAACAGAATAACGCTGCAATATAGGTCAACACCTATCTTAGCGGTCTCTAGGAGGGCCAATATGAAAGCTCGAATCTTCAGCAACTCGTCATTTACCTTCTTTTCGCTGTGCCTACAGAAGTATAGTATTTTCTCCTTTGCCTGTAATGACCGAGTTAATGCTGCTACGAACTTTTCTTCATCTGCTATAATCTGTTTTGAGATGTGGTCAAGCTTTAATTTCTAGCTCGGACGTAAACTGCTGTCCTCATCATAAGGGCTATCGCTTACAAGACAGTCTCTCCATCTGTGTACTATGGTCAACGCCCTCTCCTCGCTAATCTGATACCATTCTTCGTGATCCACCATCTTCGCAGTTGCTTCCTCTCCCTGTCGGGGAGGGCTTGGTTTTGGCCTCTCGCACTTGTGGCAGGTGTATTTGCGACGGACGTTATGCAATTCCTTCTTAATCAGGTTCTCGGCCAGTCGGGCGTGCTAGAAGGAAATACTCTTGTCGTCTTGTACGCGTGCGATTGGGAGCTTGCACTTTCCCCATTAGTCTATTCGCTCGAGGGGCGTTTTTTTGTCCTGCTAATCTTAACATAATTAGGGCACTTTGGGGACCTGTAGATGTACAAGTAGCCCTCATCTTAGGATTTCGTTTTGTTATTTTTAACAATCTCCATTATGCTTTCACGTATTTCTCCCCTAGTGAGTTTTCACTCATTATAGGCAAAGAAGGTTAGTGCTAGCACCGTCAGTGCCTCCTATTCCGCTTCTTGCCCCTTCTGTAAACTCTACGACGATGTAGTCTCGCTAGTAGAAGTAGAACCCTCCTCTACATCTAGCGTACTAAGAGCATTCGCTCTTAATGCCTTCTACGTTACTTCTTTCTTCTTTCGCAAACTCTATAACGACTTGCTAGTAGAGGTAGGATCTACCCCTATAGCAGTTGTAGCAGTAGTTTTAATTAATGTTACTTCCTTATTAGCTGCTGTTTCCTTCTCTCTTGCTTCCTTATTCGCCTCTGCTACATTCTCTCTTTCCTCTTTATTTGCTGCTGCTGCCTTCTCTTTTCTTCCTTCTTTACTGCTACTACTTTCTCTATTGCTTCCTTCTTCGCTACTGCTACCTTCTCTCTTTCCTCCTTATTCGCCGCTACTACCTTCTCTCTTTCCTCCTTCTTCGCTGCTACTTCTTTCTCTTTTGCTTCCTTTTTCGCTGCTACTGCTTTCTCTCTTGCTTCCTTCCTTGCTGCTATTTCCTTCTCTCTTGCTTCTTTCACTACTGCTTTCTCTACCGCTAGTTCATTTACTACTACATTCTCTTTTACTTTTAGGGATCTCCTAGACTCCCTATTCTACGGATCCTACAGTAGCGTTATAGCCTTAACGGACATAGAGCCTAACCCCTCGTTAAGATCAGCCTGTTAATTAACGTCTAAGCTAGCTATAGCATCTAGCCCATCGTCTAAAGCTAACTCTATAGTGTTATTAGGAATCAAAGTAGGCATTAGGGACCTAGTAGTTAGCGTGATAGCAATATCTAATTGCTCGTCAACTTCTCTAGGAAGCACTGCTGTTTCGGAATTAGGAAAGCTGGACACCCTATCCTCCCCTGATGAAGAAGAAGAGTCTACCGCGACAAAGGATGTTTGCTGTTGCTGTTCCGGCTGGGGTCCGTGGGAAGCGCCACTGACTACGGCTTCCTCGGTTTCCTTGGGTTCTTGGACCGCCTCATCGATTCCTTCGGGTTCTTCTGTGGATTCCGTGTTGTTGTTCTCGCTATCTAAACATAACGCTCCGAGAGCCTCGGAAATACCAGCAATGCGTTCATCTTCGTCAATTTCTCCGGCTTCTTCAGCTGCTTCGGCAGCTTCGGCAGATTTAGCCGCCTTAGCTGCGTCGGCTAGCTTCTTGAGATTAAACGTCCTCACTCTCCGTACGGTCGGCGATTCGTCGTGTTTCTCCACAAAACCAAGTCCTTGGGTAACAGCGCTCGTAGATCCAATATACCATGGATCCTCATCCTCTTCTGTAGACTGCGGCGTCGAAGGGCGCGGGACCTCTCTCGAACGATTGGAGTCGCCAGAGCTATCCCAAATCAAGCCTCTGCGGGGCAACAAGAATGTCGGAACCCCCCTCGAATCGGCAGCATATGACGGTGCTTCAAGACCTTTCACATCCTCACCATAATCTGATGGGGGCGTAATCGGTGTCCCCTCGCGGCCCTGGTTGTAACCGGATGTGTCGGAGCGGGCCGAGGAGGTGGTGCTAGAGCTAGAGGCGCAGGAGTTTGAATCAATTGAGCTGAAAGGTAGACGATGGGGGGTTTTGTCGTCGGTTCCAGTGAGTAAAGTCTCATTGCGCGACCGAGACCTAGAACGAGTTACGGGGCCGGGTTGGTCGAAGGGAGAGAGGATCTGGTTCCCGAGATAGATGCCACCCGTACCGGATAGAGGTGGGTTAACCATATCGACGGATGGGATATCGGACAATCGTAGGAACTGGGTAATCTACACTCCACAGGCTTCGCGCAGTTCTCGACGAGACAATTAACATTGCAGTCAATCTCAGGGTATAAGGCCCCCTTCTATACCTGCTCCTCCACACGATGGACAGCCCATGACGGAATGGTGGGGTGTCTGCACGCCCTCAGACCCCCAGCCATGATCATCGAGTCCAACAAAAAGGAAGTAATGCCTGCTACAATCACCCTGCCGCTGCATACATCCCCTGGGTGTGCAACACGAGACCGCTTCCGTGCGGGAGTATGCGTGCTTCTGCTGAAGCGCTCCTGTGCGGGGAGCTCCTAATTAGTCCTAGCCGGCGGTAATCTGGCGGGCGACGTTCAGTCGACTCGGTGCTGTTGGCCGGATTCGCATACATCCCCTAGGCCGAGAAGTGTCCTATAGAATATGAACATATGATTCGTTGACTTATGGCGTGGTTGGGGTGGCGCGGCGATGCGCTGGGTTGGGTTATGCAAGTCGATGTTTTAAAAGATGTGTTGGACCCCTTTGGGTGGGTTCGTGTTGGTTTTATCCTGGTACGGGGATGGTTATCGGGAAGACCGAGGTCAGGGCTGTTGTCCTCTGCATTCCAAGTGCGAGACCGGCTGCGACGAGGCTGGGGGTGAGTTCAGCTGGAATTTGTAATTATTGTCGTCACCGTCTGCCTTTTTTTAAAATAAAATAAAAGAATGGGTTCGATCTAGCACCGCCATCTCGGTTTGCCAAGGCGTACATACAAGACGAGCTGGGCGGACTTCGGGTGTCTGGTTCCTTATTGCGACGAGGCTACGCAGATGAGCTACTGTAAACTAAACCTCTCCCTTGTGCCTACTGGAGGGAGAAGAAGGGGAAGGAGGAGGAGATGTTTCTTCCCTTTCTTCCCCGTCGCCGACCTCTTTCGGTAAGGGATGAGAGATAAACATAGCAGCCCCAACTATGCATGGAAAAATGGTATATATATCACCCTCACATAGCCAGGAGCCCAGTCAAAGCCACCTAACATGCGCCAAAAAAAAAGACTGGACCCGGGAACGGTCCTCAAGCTATTCCTAGCAACCCCTTCGTTTCATAGAAACAGCGAGCACGTTCGATGCCATTCAAGACAATAGCAGTAGTGACTGCGTCTTCAGCCCCTGAACCCGAACAAACCCCTATCCACCACATCCCCCATCACCCTCTGTCCAACACAGCACCTCACGAAGTCACCACAGAACCACTTGGGATTGTATGTTCCAGCATCGATGCGCTGCTACGTCAATTCTCTGCGCGGCTTGAGTTTTATATAACCCCCATCCAACCCAACCAAACATACCGCCCTTCACCCACTCATCAGCGAGCTACCGGGTGCTGACAAAACCATCTCTTTCCCCCCCGCTAAACTTCACGTATCAGGATTCTATAAATACAACCCACACAGTCCGTCGCTGAGTCGGAGAGACAAAATTAAATATGATGTCTAACTCTAAAAACAGGCTGAACCCGGTGACAGTCCTTAATCTCCTCGTTAGAGCCACTTGGTTCTATAGAAACTGCAAGCTCGCTCGATGGTATGTAGATGGTAGTGGTGAGAGGAGTATACTATGATGACAGTAGCGTGGTGATAGGAGTATATCACAACGACAACAGCCTAGTGACTACAGGAGTAGTATTAACGACAACAACACTATGATAGCACTCCCCTTCCCTCCTTCTATAGCTAAACATAGGTTAATCTACAACCGCACTTACCCCCGCTAGTCTAACATAGCACCACGCGCCTAACTAACCTGCAAATGTACCTATCCTAGTGTCTTGTTCGCTTCTCTATTAGCGTTCTGCTGGGGCAGGTTTAATATATAACCCCTCCCTACCCTCCTTTTCCTCCCTTCAACCCACTGCATCTCCCTCCTCCTCTCCCACCCTCCCTTTCCACATCGAAACAAAGCGCAGTCCACTTCCTCTCACGCCAACCCCCATCATCCTCCCATCCGATAACAACACAGCACAGCAAGCATGGCAGTATTTAGTCCTCGACACATGCATAACAATTACATACGACCATAGACTCAAGACAATTGGGCATCCCGTCCGCTCTGCCATACACAAGCTTGTAATTCAGTGGATTGATGCTCTCAATCGTGCTAATAGGCATAGCGTGGAATATTCCCAAGCGCGGCCCTTAGCCTGCTATATTTAGGCTCTTATTTGTAAAGCATGCAGTTGGAGCATGAGGGATCTTGCCCGTCGCACTAAACAAAATGTCGGGTTGTCAGTAGATGCGACATCGCAAGACACAATCTACAAATAGTTTCATAGTTGTGGCCTTGAATTCACTTTTCGATTGCGACACAATGTACCACTGGTAGAAATGTACTTCGTTGCCCCCCTCGCAGCTTCGTTGGACGTGATGCGCAGGGCAGTTCATAATATTGTGCTCCGTAACTCGAACGGAAGCCACGACTGCTAATCTCTGAAAGCAATGTTCAACACTAACTTACCAGCGGTTCATGGCAATGTCCACATTGTGGGGTTGACAGAATGCTGGGAAACCTCGACATTCCATATAGCCGTTTATACCCGCAAAGTTCGGAACATGCCTGCTTTCATCACCTAGAAGGTGGGGCAAGCTTAATGCTCATACAACCGATTTTCTCCACAACCCCAAATTCTTCGGGAGAGCGGGGATGCGATCATTATTGACAATTCAATGTGGCACTATGAAAGTGCACCATAAAGCGAGCTCCGTAGCTTCGCTTATGTGGCTATACGTTAAGTTACTTCTAGTTTTTGTGGAATTATCTTCTCAACTAAGAGCGATACCAAGCAAGATGTCTGCTGAATATTGATCATGACTACCACCCTCATCCTAGAGGTTTGTTCAAGTAACTTACATCGGCACAGGATTCTAATCCTGCCGTGACCACTCCTCTGGTAGCTCCGGCTCTGTGGTAATCACAGGGTAGGATGCAGCCATGTGCTGATCTCCTGCTTTCCAGTGGTGATTGGACTGTCGGTAACTTAATTATATCGTTGGTAATTTGACCCACTTTTCTCTCCGCCTTTCCCCTGTTTCCCCGCATTATGTAGCACTTTGGGGTAATGTAGCCGCGGCCAATAATGATCGCTAGGTTTCTCCCACGGAACTGGGAATGCGGGGTTCGTACTCGGCCTAGGGATGCTACTGGCTAACTTGAAGAGACCTACAGCTGGTCTGAAATCAGAATATAAAAAGACAATCAGTGCCTTTAAAAATTACAAAAGGATATTCTGCAAGAAGAATTTCATGCGCTGGAACCACCTCCTCTACCGGTTTCCTTTATCACAGCTAACATGGACGATGAAAGAAAATCTACGGCAGTTGACAGTCTCGAATGCGGCCAAGTTGACAAGGAAAAAGGAGGCAGCGATGTCCTGCCTCCCATTGTTCACGACGAAGCTGAAACCAAATTGATCTTGAGAAAAGTGGACAAGCGGCTCCTTCCAGTTTTGACTTTGTTGTATCTCTTGTCCTTTCTTGATAGAGGCAATGGTTCGCCTCTCCATGCAAGCTACAGGCTCTAAACTTCTCTAGCTAACATGACACCAGTTGGAAATGCACGAACTCTAGGCATGCAAACAGATGTGGGGCTGAGCAATGCTCAGTGGAATATGTGCTTAACAATATTCTTTTTTCCTTATGCTGCCTTTGAGGTTCCTAGCAATATTGTGCTCAAAATGCTCCGACCAAATCTTTGGCTTACAATACTTATCCTCGCTTGGGGAACGACAATGACTTTGATGGGTCTGGTTCAAAATTATAGTGGGCTGCTTGCTGCAAGGTTCTTTCTTGGTGTGACTGAGGTATTTATAGATACCTTCTACCTCAAGCGTAACTGACAAGTTGCCAGGCTGGCTTTTTCCCTGCCGCGACTTACCTTCTCACCTGCTGGTACCGCAGATATGAGATGCAAGGAAGGCTTGCCATCTTCTTCTCTGCTGGTTCTATGGCAGGGGCTTTCTCTGGTCTCTTGGCCTTCGCAATACAGAAGATGGACGGCGTCGGCAACCTCGCAGGTTGGCGATGGTAAGTTTGAATTTGCTAACCATAACTAAATGCTAACGTTTTACAGGATTCTCATCCTTGAGGGCCTGTGCACTGTGATTGTTGGCATGGCATGCCCTTTCCTTCTACCAAATGGACCTGCCAGTGCCAAGTTTTTGTCCATGGAAGAAAAAACATTCCTATCTCAGAGGCTCGAAAATGATAGCGGAGGCAGCGGCCGTTTGCAAACTGCGGAGACATTCCAGATGAGATACGTAATAGCGGCGTTGACGGACTGGAAAATATATCTTTCAGTCCTGATCTACTGGGGAAATTCAATATGTACTTATGGGTGCGATAGTTCTTTTGCTTTTTATTTGTATTTCGGAAACATTCTGACAATTTTATAGATTCATATACACTCTTCCATCAGTTATTAAGGAATTGGGCTACAGCGCATCAAATGCACAACTTCTAACGATTCCAGTCTACGCTTTCGCTCTCATTGCCACCGTTTCTGCTGCTTTCCTGTCTGATCGGTATAAAAACCGGTCAAACTTCATCATATACCCATTCATTATTGCAGCAATTGGTTATATTGGCCTTTTGGCTCTCCCACATCCTGGGTGGCCTGGTGCGACATATGGCATGCTTTTTGTCGTAGCCGGGGGACTATACCCAACAATCTGTGGCGTTATCTCATGGAATGGTAAGCAATGCCCAACAATCCCAAATTGGTGCTCCTACACTAACCAAATTCACCAGCAAACAATCTTGCAGGAACATGGAAACGATCAGTTGGCATGGCTATTCAGATATCCATTGGAAATTTGGGTGGAGCCATCGGCTCCAACATTTACCTAGCGAAGGAAGCCCCGCATTACTGGACCGGTTACGGCTTTTCTCTGGCAATTATCCTCACTGGGCTGGCTTCGGCAGTTATCCTCAAAGTTACTTTAAACCGCATCAACAAGAAACGTGACAGCATGAGTATCGACGATATCAGAGCCAAATATTCAGAGCAAGAGCTGCTAGATATGGGTGACTATAGTCCCCTATTTCGATATACTTTGTAAATTGGTTTTGTAATCACATCTAAACCCTTCATATCAAGGTTTAGCACAAGAAATCGAGTTAATCATGAATATTTAAATATTCACGACTATAGTTAATTACAACATGAAACAATGTCAATTATATGTTCTGGTCCAGTCGCCAATGAATCACATTCATGAATGGTCTACGCTATTCGCCAATAGCCTAGTCCACCTATTAATGTATGCATTGGTAAATGGCCTAGGCCACTCGGAAAAGGTGTAAAATTGGCACTGCCGCCCTGGTGGTGCCAAGCCCCTGTTCGGGTGTAGCCCCTATTCCTGTTGGCCCCAGTCGCAGTGTTTGACGGATACATATCTGGGTAGGGTATATACCCAGCGACGATCTAACGGGTAGAGTAGGGTATATATCCGGATGCATGAGGCTGAATAGAGTATATAAAATGAAGCTTTTGATAGTAGTAAATCCCTTTCCACGAGCCCCCTTTCTGCGAGCCCCTATTCAGGTGCTTCATCGTTAGCATTATTGCTGTCGCTATCAGCCTCTTGTATTCTACCCTAATTCTATAAGCTAAGGGAAGAAACCTATACACGTTGCTATAGTAAGTGTAGTAGGACTAAGCATAATGTACAGACATGTTAGATTATAGTAGAGACCTCTCCTAAAGAGGATCCTAAAGAGCTTTAATTGATTTTTATTAACGTATTTCACAAGCGAGTGGCCCACACAAGCGAGTGGCCCACAAAAACACCAAAATTGACTATTACTACCTACTACTACACTACCACCCTACATAATAACCATTATTCGATCGTAATTGATTCCTGGCGCCTCTCGCACGTACGGGTATTATGTCCTATTTTCTCACATCGGCCACAGCGCTTCTGTCGGCCTTTAGAGCCCACCTGCCGACTACTCTCACTTGCCACCTCCGTTCGGACTTGAGCATCAACCTCAGCACTCTGAAGTATATCCTCTGCATCTCGTACGGAGAGGCTTCCCCCTTGCATTATACGTCTCTTACGCTTCCTTTCCTTCCTCTTTTTCTGTTCATTTGCTACTTGTAGAGCCTTAACTTCTGCCTTTAGTAGAACAGCAGAATGCATCATTATTTCTGCCCCTTTAACAAGGCAGCTAATAGCATCATTAATTGAGCTAGGAGAGCTGTTCTGATGTCGTACGATGCGGTTCTTAATGTGCTCTGTTTGAAAGTTAAGCTCCCTTATAGTTTGGGGAGTCTTTGAAGTCCAATTGTCACTCCTAACTATCGGAGGGGTTGGAGTCCTTAAGCGTAGATTTAAGTAAGAGAGAACACTCTGTGGCTCGTACGGAACTAGCCCTGTAGCTCGGAATCCGCTCTTAATGTTCTGTTCTGTAAATGTAGCTTTGAATGCTTCTTTAAATGCAGAGAGAAACTCAAGCTTCGTAATATGGTTGAGCCTGTTCCGTACGAAGGTTTCAATCTGACGTCCGTACGAAAGCTTTAGTGGAGCAAAGCAGCTCACGTCAAGCGGCTGAAGAATGTGTGAGGAGTGTGGTAGCATACAGAGGGTGATTATCTTCTGTTCTGTGCAGTAGTGCTGAAATTGAGCTGAGAGGTGGCTCTCATGTCCGTCGAGAATAAGAAGGCGATAGGTTCCGATCGTACGAGTGCTTGTATATCGATCGAAGTGTTGAATCCACTCGTACCCAATTGAATTTGAAGTCCACCCATTCTCACTTAGTGTAATCACCCAATCGTCTGGTAATTCTGAGTCCTCGTACCAAGTAGAGAGGTGATTCTGCGCCTTAAAAATAATGAACGGCGGGAGTGCCCATCCGTACGAATTGACACCTTGGATAATTGACACCCACTCTCTATTCCCTGGCTGTATAGTCTTCGGACGGCTCTTTGCTTCTAAGCTTGTGACTACCTTTGCAGTAGCAATAACTCCCATTGCGAAACCTGCTTCATCAAAGTTATAGATATCCTGCTCTAAGATTCCGTATTTTGCAACTGTGTTTCGTACGAGGGAGAACCACCCTTCAATTATCTTTGGATCTTCACATTTTGCTCGTTTATAATCGTACTTCCGACTAAACTTTGCTTTGATTTCCGTACGACGCTTAATGAAGTTGCTAGTCCAGTTCTTCCCAACAGGGCTCTCACCTCGTTCGGAGAGTAGAAGGTCAGCCATTTCTTGTACAGCTTGCGGCCGGGGCGGAAATCCACGTGAATCTAGGTCGAGGATATATTGAACGAGAGCTGACTCTTCGTACGGAGTCAAATTCTGCGAACTAGGGGTAGAGTCGCGTCTAGAAGTCATTCCTTCAATTCGTCGACGTAGTGTCGTTCGAGGTATATCGTACGATGCTGCAGCTACTCGAACACTACGAAACTGGCCTTGTTTAATTGCACTAATAGCCAATAGTATTCTACCCTCCTGATTAGAGGATTGGGTTTGTGTTGGTTGTGTCATATTGACTTCTGTTAAGTTGACGCGTTTTGGTGTTTTCGTGGGCCACTCGCTTGTGTGGGCCACTCGCTTGTGAAATACGTTATAGGTATATAATTATGTACTATTGCATAGGTAGAGTATAATAAAGTGCGCCGCTCGCTTAGATGCGCTGCTTGCTATACATGTACGTTACTAAAAGCAGAGAACTAATACCTATAATAGGCAAATAAAGTGCTAAGCAAGCGTAGGAGAGCTAAAAAAACACAGCTATAGCAAGGAGAAATAATTAGTTAAGAAGGAGCGCAGGAGCTATAGGACGAGAGGGATGTTATACAGTAGGTAGAGTAGGAAATTAGGGTGAGTAGTAGTTGGAAGCTAAGGGAAGAAACGCGTGCACGACGCTATAGAAAGTGTAGTAAGACAGGACATAATGCGCGCACTTGTTAGATTATAGTAGACACGTCTAAGAAAGAGTACTCTGAGTAGTTTCAATTAATTTCTAGTGTTGTGGTAGATTTATCTCAATCCTTGTGAGGTGGTCGTGATATTTTGGCCGGTTCGCTATACATGTACGTTACATAAGATCGATAAGTCCAGAAAACGTTGCAAAATAATCGTACTAGGAATTCTATGAAGCACTACATAAACACTCTAAATCTATACGTAAAGGGGTTTGTAGAGGTCATTTAGGCTTCAGGTGAGTCTTTGGGTTTAAGTGGTTCCTATTGTATATTTTTTTTTAGGCAGACATTCTGGGACTGGGCCCATTGAGCGGCGTTACTCGACACTGCTATATGTAGAATTCCTTTTCCTTGATGTACTTCATTGCGACAACCTTGTCGTGCCCAAAAATCAACTTGGCGTTGTACAACCTCTGCAACCTGCGTATCATGTTGAGGCTCCGATACCATGCGTTGTGGTCCCTAGCTAGTCCTCCATGAGGATGTCCTAGTTCGTAGTTCTCTACAATGTGGAACTGGTCGGTGGTCCAGATAAACGTACCATCCTGTTCCAGGTTGACTTGCATAATGCACAACCCCGGGGTATGCCCTGGAGCATGGTGCAGTGTGATTCCTTGGAAGAGATCAAGTTGCGATTCAGTGAAGGTGCTCCAGTTTAACTTCTCTAGGAGCATATAATGTCCAAGGTATACACCTAAATCAGCGCCAGTGGCGACAGCCCAGCAAGCATGCTTGAACTCTTCTTCGTGGACGTAAATGGGAACATCAGTGCCCACAAAGTGTTCTAGACCACCAGCATGGTCTAGGTGGAGATGACCCATAATGATTGCCTTTACATCCTTGATATCGTTTCCCGTAGCTTTAATGGCGGCTGGTAGTTTCTGTTTTTCTGAATACTCTGTGCGAGGAAACACATCAGTCAACGGAGGACCCCATTCCTATCTCCCAGTGTTAGCAATAAGTTATGGGAAGCGAGTTGAACCGCAGAATATAGCTTCTCACGAACCACATCGATATCCTCTGCACACCCGGTTTCGAAGAGAATGAGTCCTACACCAGGGTACTCAATAAGCGCTGAGAGAAGGATTAAATCGCGACATTTGTTCTGCGGGTTCTTATTAGTTAGTGTGGCAGCATTAGCGCCTCGCAGCAACCTTGGTTTTCTGTTTCAGTAAATTGTCCTGACTTGTTAACTCTCATAAACACACCATGACTCGTCAGCTTGCAACGTTCCAAGGTCCAAAATGTGCATTTTCGTTCCAACTGGGCACTTAAATGCCGGAACAGACGCATGCACTAGTAAGGCGGCAAGGTCGGTTTGGGATGCCATGGTAGAAATTGAGACGACAGAGTGGAGGCGTGAATATTAACGACGAAGCAAGCAAACAGATTTTGCACACTCGGAGAGGGAATCAATAATAGATCACTAAACTTCCCGAATCTTTACAATGTATGTGTGAGAGTGATTGATTCACATGTTGCTGGGAACTCGTCCCTTGATGCAGGCGTTGTGGGGTTGGTAGGGTGTGGGGCAACCTCGATGTTCTTTCTATATAGCCGTCCTTAACCCCTAATGCTCCTTGCTCGGCTATATGTGGCTTGCCCGGCTTACATGTTGACTGTGGGGCTGCATATTGGCTGAGGTTCGATGTCGGTGTTCAGATTCGGGAGGCATTGTTCCAATCCGACAGTGCAGACGACTCCAAATAATAAAATTGCGGAATGCGATAGATCTTTGGTAGCTTAGTGGCCGCGACGGGGATGCGGCTGTATAATGCACTGTGAGAGCAACTCCTGTCTGATTGTGTGAGGAAATACCCAACTGTATATGGGATTAAACTTGATGATCCTTAGAGCGTAATATGCCAAGTAGCATAAACTCCGAAGTTGCTGATTTGCCAGTCGGCTGTCCGAGGTGTGTGAGCTAGGAGCCAAGCCGGGACAACGAAGAAGTTGGAGATCCGTTTCCCCTCACTTGGAGAATGTGGGGTTGAAGTCAAGGACCCACCATTCGGACCAAATCCCGCGGGACATCAAACCTAGGGCACATCACACGATAATCGGAAGGACCGACGTACGTTATCATCTAAATTCTATCCAAGTTCTATCCGGGTGACGAATTCCCTGGAGCCCACAACCTCCAACGAATAGCCATAATTCATGGAAGAGTGGAAGAGCGGGGTATTGGAAGAGTAGAATAGTGGATTCACTGCCGACGGCTTTACCACTTTGGCCGAAATTCCTAGCTAATTCTGATAGGTTTGGCAGATATAAAAATAGCATTGTCTGCACACCTCCGAGCCATCATTTCTGAATTCTCTTGCCGTAACTGGTATTGTAGTTTTCCTATTTTGCCTTGCTCAAAAGAAGAGGGACGTTTCAAAGACGAAAACATGGCATCCGCTCCTAGTAAGATACTGCGAATTGCATCTGCCTCGGGCTCTGTGACGGACCGCAGGCATGGCTTTGCTGCTCTTGCAAAAGAAGAAGTTGTGTCATTCATTGTCGGCGATTGGATGTCTGAATATAATATGACAACAAGAGGGGCCGCAAAAGTCAGCGGAGCGGCATCATCCGCTGAATTCGAAGAGTGCTTCTTGGAGTCCATAACGCCAGCACTTCCGGATCTAGAGAGAAGGGGAATTAAAGTGGCTGTTAATGCTGGCGCCAGTGATACAAAGAAACTCTATGATACTCTATATAAGATTGTTCAAGAGAAAGGCCTTAAACTCAAAATTGCCTGGGTTGAGGGAGATGAGGTATCCGACCTCGTACAACAGGGCTTAGAATCTGGCGATTCCTTTCAAAGCTTGACGACAGGTATGTAAGCTAAGTTTTTGGATATCGAACGCTAGACTAAACTATATGAATAGGCAAAGGCATTTCAGACTGGGCCTTTGAGCCTATCTATGCACAGTGCTATCTTGGCTCATGGGGTATTGTCGAGGCTTTCAAAGAGGGAGCTGATATCGTGCTTTGTGGTCGAGTTGCAGATGCTTGTCCCACCATTGCTTGTGCTGCTTACACTTATCAGTGGGGCAGGGAAGATCTGAGCCAGCTTGCACACGCTTTCGTTGCAGGTCATTTCATTGAATGTAGTACTTACGTTACAGGAGGCAACTTCACGGGATTTAAAAGTCTTCCAGGGAAATCTCTCAACCTTTCATTCCCGGTAGTTGAAATTGACGCCGATGGCACATTCATCGTTACAAAACAGTTGAAAGGCGATGGCATCGTAAGCGTCGACACCTGCAAAGCGCAACTACTCTATGAGATCCAAGGCCCGTTCTACTACAACTCTGATGTTGTTGCCGAGCTGAGCAATATCAAGATCGAGCATGCGGGTGAAAACAGGGTGTAGGTCTCTAAAATATGCTTCCAAGGATGTATAGTACTGATACAGGTGATAATTATAGCCGTGTTACCAACGTTGGTTTTAAGAAAGCCCCACCAACCACCAAAGTTGGAATCACTGCCAAAGGTGGCTTCCAGGCTGAAGTACATTACTTCGGCTGCGGCCTTGACATTGAAGAAAAGGCGGCACTCCTAGAACGGCAGATTCGCCATCACCTGAACGAATCTAGCTATCACACCCTCAAATTCCGAGTCAATGGACGCTGCCCTTCCAACCCTTCCAGTCAAGATTCAGCGACTGTTGACTTCCGCATCTTTGCACAATCAAAAGACGAATCCGCGCTCTCTATAGAGAACTTTTTACGTCCATGTACCGATGTGATCATGGAAAGTTATCCAGGCGCGACTTTCGCTGTTGATAACCGACAAGCATTACCAAAGCCATATTATGAGTACTGGGTTGCATTACTCCCGCAAAGCGCCATCAGACATGTGGCCCATATGCCATTCGCCAATAAATCCGTTGCAATCCCGCCGCCGACAGACACTGAAGACTTCCTCTATCAGCAGCCCAGCTACGAAACCGAGAATCCTCTGCCATTTGGAAGCTGGGGCCCTACAACTCTTGCTCCTCTCGGATATGTTGTTCATTCACGTTCCGGCGACAAAGGTTCCGATGCTAATGTAGGGTTCTTCGTCCGAAATACTGACGAATGGGACTGGCTTCGATCAATCTTAACATTAGAAAAAATCAAAAATCTCCTTGAAAATGATTATGAGGGTAAACCCATCGATCGATTTGAGTTGCCACATATTCAAGGTAAGGCCAAGTTATTCTCCAATTCATACATGCAAAATTTGCTAAAGTATGTCTTTTCCAGCGGTACATTTTCTCCTGAAGGACCATCTGGATCGTGGCGTATCTTCAAGCTCAACATATGATGTACTAGGGAAGAATTTAGCCGAATACCTTAGAAGTAAACACGTCGAGATTCCAAACAAGTTTTTGGAGAGGGGCCGGATTTAAGAAGATTTCGCTGTTGTAGCCGGGAAAGGAACCATTATTATAGCTTAGCGTACATTATAGGTCTTCTCTATCATAGAAGCCTGCAAGGCTATACGAAATGCAGTGAAGAGTTTAACTTTAAGTTAGTGATGTGGGTTATAGGCGTTCGCAACATGCCATTAATTTTGCGCCCATAAATTAAATCGTCCGACACCTGAGAGATTATAAATCCTACAATTTATCTTATTGATAGCCAAACTATGCGCTAGGCAGACTAATTAGAGCAAATTCAATACCTCCTCCAGATTAATATAAGAATCAATTGATTGGTACATCAATAGGTTTCGATGCGCTTGTGTACTATCTGCTTGCAGCTATGGGTGGTTGCGAACGTACAATGGTTCTAGTCGTATCGTTTTTAATGTTCAAACCTCTCTGCAAACCATCCAAGTCTAATTGACGCTCCTGGAGAAATCAACGACTTACAAGGCGCATTTGAGCATAAATAAAATGTTTTCGGAGAGAATACTGATTGAATTGTTCATTTAGAGAAATGTTAACAAATACGCTTGTTACACAGAAGAATTCAGGGTAGGGCAATCAGCAATCTTCGAGCGCTGTAAGAAATCATATGGCAGTCTAGTAACCCAAAAAGCCCTTGTATCCTGCTCTGATCACATCATCAAGAACCATGCGGTAGTTTCCTAAACCTCCAAAGTAGAAAAGAACCGAGTGTTTTTTACCTGGTACATTGGCACCAAAGATCCATGAATCACCCTTCCGAAAGAGGCTATTTGCACTCATTTTGTCGCAAAGGTCAGTCCATTTCTCTTCCGCTTCAACTGTTGCCTCCACCACGGGTCTTTTGGTTCCGTTAATGAGAGCTGGAGCTTGATTATTCGCATGTGAAATCAGATCAGAGATAAATTCCACCTGTGTTTCAATGGTCGGTGGTAGATTGGTGAACGGTCCGTTCGGACCTAATATCATGAAGAGATTGGGGTAGTCGGGAACCGAAACACCTAGATATGAGCTTGGACCTCCTGCCCACCGCTCCTTGAGTGTCACCCCTTTGCGACCCCTGATTGGAATGCGGGTGTAGTTGCCATCAACGGCTTCAAACCCTGTTGCGCATATTACCACATCCAGTTCATGCTCAGTGCCATCACTGGTTACAATCCCTTTCTCTGTGAAATGAGTTATAGGCACTTCTTTAATGTCCACGATGTCGACATTGTCCCGGTTAAATTTCTGATAGTAGCCTGTGTCGCATAGGGGTCGTCTTGCATAGTAGTCGGTAGGTATTAATTTGCTCGCCTTTACCGGATCTCTGACTGTGGCACGTATTTTCCTTCTAATAAAGTCTGCAGCTTCCTTATTCGCTTCTTCGTCGTATGAAATGTCACAGAACGTGCCAAACATAAATCGGAAACCATTGCCTTGCTGCCATGCCTCCTCAAAAATCTTCTCACGTTCTTCGCTGCTGACACTCATCGTAGGGTTTTTACTCTCCTCGAAACCAAAAGCGAATTGGCTGTTCTTGGCTTGCTTCCAGATATCTTCGTACGAGTCGTTGATCTCTTTGCGATATTCCGGCGTCGCGACAACGTCTCCGGATGGCACAACGTATTGAGGCGTTCTTTGGAAGCACAGTAAGTGCTTGACTTCATCCGCCAATGCAGTGATGACCTGCACGCCAGTTGAGCCACTCCCAATAACTCCAACTCGCTTTCCTTTGAAATCATGCGTTTTGGGCCACGATCCAGTATGGTAGAGCTCGCCTTTAAATTGGCCGATGCCAGGGTAGTTCGGGAAGTTTTGTCTAGAAAGAAGGCCGACTGCAGTGACGAGGTATTTGGCTGCTAGCTTTTGACCTGTACTGGTTTGAATCACCCACAGGTCGGAGCTGTCATCCCAGTCAGCTGATATGACTTCCGTGTCAAACTCCATGTACTGTCGAAGTCGATGGCGCGTAACAACGTGCTGTAGATACGCCAATACTTCCGCCTGACGCACATAGGTACGCTCCCATGGGTATTGGCGGAGGTCATCCAAATCCCACGAATAGCGATACAGGTGGGAGCCGGTGCTATTGTTCGTCAGCGACGGGGAAACTGTGGAGGAAATGGTTCATCGTACTCGCTCATAGCCCCAGGGTACCGGTTCCAATACCAAGTTCCTCCAACATCGGAGGCTGCCTCTATCACTTTGACTGATAGGCCTTGGTCGATTAATTTCTTGCTCATATAAATCCCTCCGAAGCCTGCACCAACAACAATTGCATCGAAATCTTTCTCCATCCTCTGATTTCCGACTGATCTTAAATTGTGCCTGTTAAAAGTCTTGCTACAAGCGAGTGGCGTGTTCACTGGTAAAAAGGACGTTCAGCTCAGTGCAGTTAATTGTATTAAATTCAGCTAAGGTCGAGGTTTAAGTAAGTTATGTTTCCCCGCATCCCCATGGAGAGAGCTAGAATAACAATTGTTAGACCGATTGGGCTGCCTTCGGTCATTTTCCGATCGATCACGTAGCCTGAGGCTATGATGCCGATAGACTTTGGTTTGGTTGTGATGTCCTGATGGAAGCAACCACGCGAGCTGGCCCGGCTACTCCAAAATTGAAGTAGCCGCGGGCAACGACCTGGCAAACGGAGGTGAGCCCCCGCATCGGCTATATGATGTCGCGAGCTAAGTGGCCCATATGGCTATCTGGTGCCATTCCTTTCAAAATCTGATCTGTAGCCATCAATAACTATAAGTTTCGAGAAATATAACACCGCAGTTTTTCTCAAAATGGGCTCAGAAGTGGTTGTTATTCACACGCTATTCGAAAGTCAAATGCCCGATGGTAGGTTTCTGAGATTGCGACTATTATTGACATGTTACCCACTAGAAGAAATAGTTAAAAGTATATAGACCTCGTCGAAGACATTATAGATAATTATACCAGAGGGATGGAGGAATATTCGATAGGTCGCCACTAACCCGCCTTAAAACTGTTCTGCTCTTTATTCAATATCCTAAGCTAGCTTCTGTAAGTTACATCCCTACGAACCAAGCGTGCATGATTAAACAATTAATATAGACTTTATCATTTGAATTTGCTAGCCTATCTCCACTAGATTGAGTAGCGTGCACAAAACTCTCTTGCGAAATGGGTTTTGTGAGTTAGTGGCAAAATGTCTTGGTGAAGAAGGGTGGAGGCGTGCGTAAAGAACAGTTGCAATACATTGTAACCAATCCGCCCAGATTTGGGTTGCTATACTATATACGAGCCAAGGATTTTGGCCCGAGGCAATATTTCAACAAAAAAATGCCTACAGTACGTACTGCAAAGCCGGCCTTGGCATTAACAGGGCAGTAACAGTCACGAGGTTGTTCAGTAAGACTCTTCGCATTCTATTCAAACTGAACGCTGACCCTCCTCCCGAGGTTAGCCTTCCCACTTTATAGCTCAAAAGCAGGTATGGCCCTATCTTGAACGTATGATTAATCCTTTACGTCCTGCACGTGACACCTACCCCGCTGCAAGCACTTCCCAACAACGACGTTCCACATGAGATTCCACTTACCACACGCCCAAGTTAGCATTTCACAAAGGTATTACGATGAACAATATCTTGACGCCCTGTGATTGACCGTATTTCATTGGGAGCAGGTTGCTAATGAAGGGATACCCGGCTAGTGGAAAGGAACAACAACGCAAAAGTCTAACTCCTCGTTGATCTACCGGGACTACAAGACCTTGTGGTAAAACAAGTACGGACGACTTCGTAAGTACTGATCGGGGCAATATGCAGGATAGAACCAACAGAGCTCGTCTCAGAGCGTCTAAAGCCTGCAGCAGATGCAATCAGCGCAAGGTTAAATGCGATGCGGCGCAGATCGGTGTGCCTTGCAGTCGCTGCCAAATGGATCATGTCAATGACTGCACGTTGATTGTTTCCAAGCGTGGAATCTATGATAGAAAGAATGCGCAAAACCGTCATCAATCCTTTGACCACCCATCAGCAGTGGGTAGATCTACCCCACCAACCGACCCTCAGGACATGCCCCAAGCGAATTTTGGAACTATAACTAGTACCAGGGACACACCCATAAGGGCACGTAACCGTTTGCGTGGCGATCCCCAACCAGAGAACTTTTCTGGTTTCTCATCCCATGTATCTCCAAATTCGATTCAGGTGAACGACTCTACGCCTTCAGAGAGCCCCGGCGCAGAGGAAGCCTCTAGCCGCGCACCGAGGATACTCACAAATTCGAAGGCTAGCTCATTGACAGAGATGTTCGAAGAATTCCTGAAACAACAGAACGAAAGCACGCTGGAAAGGCACGGAATAGTACTCCCTGGCGAACCGTCACCATTGACATTCGCACTCGAGGAGTTTCAACGTGGAAAGAACCAAAGGCTGTATGATGTGCACGACCATATCGGCGAGAGTGCATCCATGACTGTGATTATGCAAGATGTCCATCCACCCCACTTGGATATAAACGATATCACGTATCTGAAGGCAAAGGGCGCATTCGAATATCCCAAAAACGACACAGCGGATACCTTTCTGAGCTCATATCTTGAAAGATTCCACCCACTTTACGCTATAGTAAAAAAGTCCGAGTTCCAAACAGCGTACCGCGAACGAAAGCTCCCATGGCTATTGCTTCATGCAGTTCACTTTATCGGCGCAACCTTTTGTGATTCCTCCTCGATACACCAATTAGGGTTCAAATCAAGAGCCGAAGTGCGGTCTTTGTACTATGAAAGGGCAAAGGTTCTGTTTACCGTGGGCTATGAGAAAGACAAAATCATTTTGCTCCAAGCAGCCATTATGCTCAGCTTCATTGGGCCTCAGTTAAAGCACTATTGGAACCCGTGTAGCTGGATTGGGTTTGGAGTGACAATCGCGGTGTCTCTCGGTATGCACAGGTCTGCTGTGTCTGCAAACGCACACTCCAATGACAAGGGTTTACTACGACGCTTGTGGTGGACTCTTTCAGTTCGAGACGCATATTTGTGTACGCTGCTTGGCCGATCCTTCCGACTTAACATGTCGCTGTGTGACACAGAACCATTGTCATGCGCTGACTTCGACGATGACACAGCCTGCTCCCACCAAGACTCTGATTGTAGCTGCAAGCATTCAATCTACTATCAAATTCAAACGGCCAAACTCTCTCTCCTCTTACGAAATGTTGTCTATTACCGTATAGGTCCAGTACGTGGCCTAACGACGTTGGATGATCTACAAAGTCAATTAAAGAATTGGCAATCAGAACTCCAACCAGCAGTAAATTGGTCTCAACATAACGGACCACTCCCCACATTCGCCGTCATTCTCAAGATCCTGTATAACTATCACCTCATTCTCCTACATATGGCGGAACCCAAGCAACCGGTGTATTCTACCTCTCAAACAGCACTCGACAAGATTCAGTCTTCTCTAGTTGCAGAATCCGCGGCATCTGCTATAGCATCAACTGCAGTCACAATCATGACCAAGTCCGTCATATTTGCACTACCGCACGAACTTTTCCCCGCGTTCTTCCTTGCAGGGATTATTCTTTACAGACAAACACGGCAACCCGATCCGGCCGTCGCAGAAGTAGGGCAAGCGTCTCTTGACAATTGCCAGATTGTGCTGAATGAGGCCCGTGAATCCTGGGATCCATGGAATTGGGCCATGCGGATCTTTGAGTTTCTTCTGTCGAGCTCCAGCATCAGCACAGGCGACACGCAGAATAGAGTGAGTCGGCAGGGAATCGATGTCAACGATGAGCTTCCGACCGTTTCGTGTACCGCAGCTACTGAAACCGTGCATCTGCCGTTGACAGACCAACTTAATACTTTTATACCCTCGTTCGACTGGAACGCAGCGTTTGATGCGAATGGAACAGATCATTTAGAGGATTTTATGCTGCTACCTAACTGTTGGCTTTCCGCGGCAGAGGACTGGCAAAATGTTCATTTATAGAAATAGCCTTGGTAATTAATCAGCAGGACGCGGAGTCTTGGGAGATTATAGTAGTAATATTATTGATGACTTGCTAGTCCAATTTAGATTCCATAAAAGTGGTTGACTGACCCGGTCCGAGTATGGGGTACGTACATGTTCTTATATTCCCAACCAACCCTTTAAGTTCGGTGCAACAATATGATTAAATCCTTTTGTCTTGTCATGTGACATCCTTTTTCCAAAATAGCTGAGTGCCCAAAACGCCAAAACGCTGACGCAAACCACAAGCTCCAGATCATCGTATTTTGAGAGATTTCCTTGCAAAAGGTTCTGGATTCAATCAGCGGGACCCCGCGTGGAGAAGTCAATGGTGACACTTCCAACTCGGTCGATCTACCTGCGATAGACCCTCGCCAAAAGGAATAAAAGGGTTATGAGAATCCCATTCTCGCACAACCACTGATCTACAAGGCAGACAGGATGAATGCACCAATGGACAACAAGACAGAGCACACAGTTACAGACGAGGTCCAGCATATCGAGGACGACCACAACTCACTCGAAATGTCCAACGAAAAGCCTACTTTGGTCCTGAAGTCAGAGCAGGATAAACTTAGTCAATGGCAGACGGCTTGGAAATTTCGAAAGGTAGAGGAGATCATCGACACCCTAAATCCCCTTGGCTTGCTGCAACATTATAATGGCTGACTTTAGCAGGCCGTACTCATCTGCAACCTCATGTGTATTGCAGCAGCAGCAGATGGATACCAAATCAACTTAAATGGTCATCTCAAGTTCACTTATACGCCTTCTCATTCTTAGATGTGCTAACAATGGGTTTGCAGGTGGCATCATCGCCAATCAGGGATTCACTCAAAAACTCGGATTTCCAAACAGTGAAGGCGTATATGCGCTGAAGGCCCAGTATACTTCCCTGTGGGGAGCTATGCAATCTCTCGGTCAACTGCTTGGCCAGCTCCTCCTAAACCCCATCTCGGACAGGATCGGCCGAAAGATGACCTTGTACGTGTTATGGGTCATACTGGCTGGCGTAAGTGACCACCTCTACTGTCAACCGTGAAGGGAAAAAAACAATGTCTAACTGGAATACTATGTGCATACAGTCTCTCGTCATTGAAACCCTCGTTCGCGACTGGAGCGATTGGACTGGCGCCAAGATTCTTGCGGGTGCTGGTGTCGGCGCCATTCAAGCAACACTCCCTGTTTATATCATGGAATGGGCACCAGCCAACATTAGAGGCGCTATGACTGTCACATACGGTTTCTGGAATACGATTGGGAAATTCCTCGCAAACCTAGTTCTCGTGCTGGTTCAGAAGAACAACCCCATGGACTACAAACTGCCGATTTTGACACAGTGGGCGCTCTTGGGTATCATGCTTCCCATCTTTATCTATCTTCCCGAGACTGCTGGTGAGTCAGCTTGATGCCCATTGCCATTTCTCTTCGTTACTGATACTTCTACAGCATACTTTGCTGCCAGAGGCCAAGACGAGAAAGGCAAAGCGACCCTTCGTCGCGTGAATGGCAATGTAGAGGGCTATGATGTCGACGCCGAGTATGCTATTATCAAGAATACCATCCTGCATGAGCGCGCGATCGATGAAGAAATAGGAGGCGCAAGAATAAGCTAGAAGCGAATACTATACTCTTATGTCGAATGCTTCAAGGGAACAAATCTTCGCCGCACTTTTGGCGCCGCCATGCCCTCGTTTGCCCAACAGCTCTCTGGATTGTCGTTTCTTAACACCTATGCCAGCCTTTTCTTTAAGCAGAGTGGTTTCAAAAATGCTTTCCTCATTACAACCATTCTTTGTAAGTTGTCCTCAGAGTGCCTTTGTTTTCTATGAGAACTACGTTGCTAACTATCTTGTCTGGGTCGAAGGCTGTATTCAACTGCTTGCTGCTATTTGTCTAGTACTAGGTTCTGACATTATCGGCCGCCGACGGCTGACCTTGGTCGCTCTTGCTTTTTGCATGATCACATTGTTCATCGTCGGGATCCTTGGACTCGTTCATCAAATGCAGCCTTTAATGAACTTCCTCATTTTTGTTGCATGTGTCTGGTCGTTCTTCAACAGCATTAGTAAGTTCTCCAATAAGCCATAGCATGTAGCGCAAATGACTAATATTGACTACAGCCGGGAGTCTGGGAGGTGCGTTCATTGGTGAAGTTGCTTCCCAGAGGCTTCGTGCCAGAACGGCTGGTGTTGCAATGGCCATGTCTGTTGTTATCGGTCTCATTTTCAATACTACAGTCCCGCTTATGCGTAAGTTCTTTCAACGACGATGGTATGCTTCGCAGAGGAAAGAATCTAATAGTTCATAGTCGATGTCAATGGCGCCAACTAGGGCTACAAGTCCGCGTGGCTCTTCTTCGGCACCGGTTTGTTTGCGTTTGCTGGACTCGTATTCTACCTTCCTGACTGCTCCCAACGCAATGCTGCGGAAATTGACGAGATGTACGAGAAGCATGTGCCGGCCTGGGGAATGCAGAAATATGTCACGAGTGTCCAGCAAATGGTCCAAGCAAATCATTAGGACGATGATTATTGTCGTAAAGCCCTAGTTGCAGACAATGAAAGAATATGTTCCGCCCGATCGTGAGTTAAACGCGCTCATGAGCGGGCACAGCTCACGGTTGGGCCGTAATAGATATACTTAGCTGTACTATCAAAATTGAAAGGTCACTTGGACCGCTTATCTTACGTGTTGATGGTTTCTAGTGTCCGATCGAATTCGTGGTTATCGGCGTTACAATGTTAGAAAATCGAAGAAAGGTACGAAGAAAGGCCACTTAATACTATATAGTCCTTTATATCCACGCAAGTGTTCTACTACGGCGGTCCCATTGACCTATCACTTATACTTCCCCGACTCTTCATTTCTCTAAAAAACAATATTCGAATTGTGACCTAGATCGCAGTAAGAAGCCTCTACAAATATAGGACTCGAGGAGTGCCCTTGTACAGTGGGCCATTAAGTAGCCGAGCCATCTGAGCTAATGTTGCAATACAATACGTCTTGTGATGAGGGCGCGTTAGAAGGTATTTATATTTATATTTCAGATCAGTTAAATTATTTCATGCAAAGTTATACTCGTCTCAACCCTGCTATTGTGTTTCATTTGGCAAACAGTAGCGTTATGGCCCCATTCATCCTCTAAAAAACTAAACCTTAAACCTCCTATTGCTAGTATATTTAAAGACTCTGGGATATAATTAAAACTAAGTGGCATCTAGACATAGTCCGAAGTAACTTTGGCGAAAGGTATCATGCACTGCAGTATCAAGATCTGTCTCACTAGGGCATAGACATCCGTTCTCCGTTATCATAATCGGTAAGTGATAGCGATTCGATACCCAGTCCAGGAGCTTCCGAAGACCCTCTAGAGCTACTCGTAGCCAGTCCAAACCCAACGGCGGCCCAGTCTCCCTACTCTGACTATTAATAGGGTATTCTTCAATGTTTTGTGTCCAATCATCATCTGCTGACGGGCCTGCTAGCCCACGAGTGTATTTTGTGGAACAATGATTCACCCTATAAAATACATCGATAGACGTAGACTGACGAAGGTATTCTCTTTCTGAGGGCGTAAATTCTGGAAGGCGTGATCCAAGTTGATTCCGCATTGCGGCCGAATAATCTCCTCCTAAGAAAATAGGGTCTCCAAACCAGGCAATATCAATTCCATGCGGCGCTGAGCAGCCTCCATGTCGGCGGTTATTGTCCCATAACATGGCTCGTAAATATGATCGTTGAGAACAATGGATATTGAACCACGCTAGGAAGGCCGAAAATCATTTTCACACATTTGGATCACAGCAGCATGCGATATACTAATGGTATGTCCAACTCGTTGCAGTTTAGTCTTAGTGTCAGTGCCGGTTGCAGCACAATGTCCAGGCGCAAGGGTCGAGAGTCTCGTCGCATGCCGAAAACCATTTTGCAGACCATTTAGCTCGCGTTAGCTTTTACCGATGCTTACTGAACCAAGGCGCATGTGACATCTCGAAATGTTTAGGGGTGGAAATACACTAGCATCTCAGCTGTATGATCCGTCCCCCTGCAAGTTGATTTGCTATTTAGAGGGCATAAAAGCGGGCTTATAGACAGTTGAGATCTTATTAGTCGACTAAAACTAATATTCCGCGGAGTTCAAGATGTTGACAAGGTTCACCATTGAATTGAACCCCAATATCAGTTATAATGTGTTAGTCGTTTCTCTTTAGTAAGGCAGGCTAACCTTAAAACGGATGGAGACAAGGGCCCACGGAGTTTTACCATCCTATGTTTTCTCCACGGAGTTTTTTTTAGACGCGTCGGAACACTAGTCTCCAGCACCTATACGCGTTCAGCACCTATACGCGTTTAGCAGACATGGTAGGAGGCAAGGGAGCGAATCATCGCTATTTCAAAGTTTGGAGTACCCCTGGAAAATCTGGGGTCTGGGGACCCCAGATTTTCTATGTCGTGAAGTCCATACACTTGTGAACAATCTTGTGAACTAAATGATGGGTCTCGTATGCTGAAGAAACCGAACCAATCGAGAGTATAGAGAGCAACGATAATGCCTCTTGTGCCGTGAAAAAGCCAAGAAGGTGCAAACAGATTAGTCCGCAAACAGCTTTGACTAGGAGTTGGAATATATAAACCCCAATGACAGGACCCCCGGTTTATGGCATGATAGATAGAGCAACCAGCAACTTTTACTATCTCATCTTAAAGACGTCCTCATTTCCGAGTCCGTTGTCAGACCATGCGCTTCTCCGGCACTTCGCTGACCATTGCTGGTTGCCTTCTGGCCAGCATATCGGAGGCTAGCAAAAGTTCCAGCGCGTCTTCTAGCTGCCAACTTCATAACGTTGAAACATATCCTCCGCCTCCAGTCCCAGAGCCGATATCTATTATCAAGCTGCCCTTACCACCTTCAATCGTTAGCGATGAGGTTGGCGCGTGTACTAAGGATATCAACCCCAATGGCACTGGTTGTCTCCGGATTGTATTAACAGGAGACGATTCACTTCCCCAGGGAGGTACCTTCACCCCAGATGGTACGGCCATAGTTGTCACTGTCAACTTCACAGGCGCCCCAGCCCAGCCTGACCCTGCCAGTATATATAGCGGCGAGCACATCATTCTTCTCAAGACAGATAACACAACGTTTTCCAGTGGAGACCCATGGAAGTGCATCACTTGCGGCGTCCCTGCGGCGAGCCAGCTCGGCCGCAATAAAGATTTATTGGATTACCCTCGAGTCTTCAAGGACGGCAAGAGGTTTCTTGTGGGAACCAACATTGTCGAGACAGGTGGCTACCCGGTAGACAGCGAATTAGTCACGCCCAACAACACTTACATCTATCCTATCTACTGGCCGGTGACTGGTGACGGATCGGGCAGTACAGGAGCTATGCGTGAACTACGCCTCCACCCAGGCGACCACCACTTGTCCTGGAGCAGCTTCGACGGCAATGGACAGAACAGCTTCTACGGTCGGCTCACGTTCAATCCTGTGCCTACGACAGGGGAACCGCGGGTGCCGCGGTACGACCTATCTAACGTTAGCATTCTCCAGCCGGCCACGGGAAATGGGGTCCTCTATGCCGAGGGCAACGAGTTAAAGATTAATCAATCAGTCCCCGAGATTGGCGAGCTGCGCGGTTTTAGCGGTAGCGGCAAGGAGTTCACCTATATTGGCTACCCTATGGAGGCGTGCAACTTCGATGGTTTTGCTGTGAACTTGTTGACTGGTGCTGTCCGCCGCTTGACTTCGCACCCAGAGTACGTCGATCCAATGGACATCTCGGCTGATGATGAGTGGACAGCAGTCCTGGATACGCGTGGAACGGATCGTCAAATGTTCATGTCAGGCATGCGGGGGATCCCACCGCTATCTGACCTTGTTACATCCGGTATCTGCGCTTCGGTTCGAAACAATGGCATGCGCCGCTTCTTCCGGCCGATACTGATTGATAAGTATGGCGACCGAGGTGACTACTTTGGCCAGACGATCAACGCTGGTGGTGATGGTAGTCCCGGATCCATAAACGATCCTAACTGGAACGCCAGGGCGGACCCGCAGTTCTCTCTTGATGGCACTCGCCTGATGTACTACGAGACGCTCGTCAAGACACCCGCCTGTGGTGGTGAGAATCCACTTCCGTGCCCTGTATCAACCGAGCCCGACGGACGCACTACGCGTATCATGATTGCAACATTTACCAGTCGCAAGCCGTATCCGGTGCCCAAGTTCGACATCGGTCCCGATGTTATTCCTTGGGCAATACCCTATGTTCCTGGCATGGAACTGCCGGTACGACAGTCCATTTCGCCGGGCAAGTACACCTACAAAGGCAAGCACTGTGGCTACGCTGACGTGGCCATCTATGCCAACGCCAATTCAACCCGTTTCAACCGAGTCAGGGTTGATCTCCACAACCTCTCTGAAGACGGAGAGAACATTCTAAATGGATTTGAGGACATATCACTGGAGTACCTCGATACTTGGACCGTTCTCAACGACTGGCGTTCCAACATTGTTCAGCGGGGAAAAGTCAAAGGCGTTAAGGAAACTAGCCCTGGTGGATTTCAAATTCAAATGAACCTCCGAAAGAATTTATTGGAGGCCAATGGCACCCTAACAACGACACTTGATGGCAAGACCTACTATCAGCCAAAGAACAACGCGTAGGGGACCATAAGGACTCTTGATCCAACCTAGTCAGACATTACCTTCTTTTCTTCCCTTAGCCTCTACTCTAGCCTTAGACCATAGCAAGAAAAGATATTAAAACGGCTATTTAAGTCCCTAGGGTGACGGAAACGGTGCCTGAAATATAGCTGGATTTGAAAACTGTGCGCGAGTAGATTAACATATATTACGACTGTCGTTTAGGGAATTTGCAACAACAGTCCCTATGTATTATATAGAGGTCATATGTTGTTACCTTTTGGTTATACCTAACTTATTTATCTCGTCTATAGTAATTATTAAAGCTTTATGAATTAAGGCTCGCCTACTTGCTAAAGTATCTGTAGATACCTACTTTACCTATAGAAGATTCTGATCTTATGAAGCCTAATATTAGCCCTGCTACCTAAGTGTCATTTACTAACTTATTCTAATATAGGGGGTTCTAAAGAGTAAGTCTAATGAAAGTGATTTGAATCTTTAGCTAATTGTCTAAGGAGAGACTGCTCCTACTAGGTGCTCGTCAATAGATGGGTTTAGTAAGTGTAGGCATTATGCTTTCTCTTCGTTAAGCTCATTAGATGCCTTAGAATCTAGTTTCGTTAGTATTTCTAAGATCTATATAAAAATAGAATCTACTTATACCTTAATAGTTCTGTTAATAGCGTTATGAGCTAGCTATAGGAGGATACTCCTAACGTAGTAGATGCGTTCTACCTACATAGTTTAGATCTTGCTAAAATGATGTGAATAATAACTAGGTACTTACTATTGCTTTACTAAGCACTTTAAGGTATATAAAAGGCACAACCTTAAGCTCGTATAGAAAGTCTCGTGCAATTTCTAGCGTTCTAATTACCTATAACGGTTGATTTTTATCTAGCCCTATAATGGAAGGGATGTTATACCTAATATATTTTTCTAAGATGACAATTTTTAAGTAATGAAAAACCGTTATAATGTTACTCCTTTGCGTCTAAAAGTAAGTTCTATAGTATTTAGCGACATTGTCGTTAGTAAGCTTACTAGGAGCGTGAAGATACTATAGCTAGGCTAGAATTTCATCTACTATTCCTATAAAAACTATGTATACATTAGCTAGCTATGTTAATTCAAGTAATTTAGTATCCTTATTTATAGGCCATTTCTTACAATGTGCATAGGACTTAATACTAACGACTAAGTTAGATGTTAACGACTAAATGTAATGCCTAAGGTAGAAACTAATTAAGAGACGTTATTCTAAAGGGCCTTTATAATACTTCTAGTTCTTAGTAAGAAGGGACACTTTATAGCTGCTATGTTCTAGCAGGCTAAAGTCGCTACTAAGGGTGAAGTCGTTTAAGACGGGGTTCTAGGTTTCTAAAGCTACTGTAGACTTATCTACGTAGTATAGCTGCTAGAAGTTTAGTCGTAGTAATTGTAATTCTACTGCGGAGTTGCTCTAGACAGCCGTCTCGTTGTGCAAATTAAGTCTGAGGCTAAGGAGCGCTGCCTCTCTATAATAATGATGTGTCGTACCGAGCTTACCCGTCATGTTCTATAAAGCTGTAGAGTGCCATATTCGAATGGTTAAGGAAGTTGAATCTAGGTTCCCTAGGTCATAGCTCTTGTATAGTCTCAACATAGCTAGGGACAACTGCAGGAAGGGTGCTACTAATTGAGCTTATAGCGGAACTAGCGACTCTAGCATCGTAGACGTGACGAACGCGTAGAGAGCGGTGATAAGTGTGAACGGTCGCAGGTATGCAAGTTGTAGCTTCATGTCTAAGAAGGTCGACTGGCTAATGAAGTCTGCATGACTGCCGTAGGAGAGTAGTGAAACAGCAGCTCGTAGGGTAGGTTCATGAGCAATGGGCATGTTTGGGAACAGGTATTGCATGAACAGGTTGATGCAGTCATAGACTAGTTCAGAGATGGCCGTAGGAGCTATAATGCCGTTCACCACGCTAACTAAGTTAGTGTTGATTCTGCTGACATCGTGGGAGATGTCAATCGAAAGTAGGCTAGGCGTACAAATGCTGCAAACGGTAGATGTGGGACTTAAGAGTGGACTATGAGGCTCAGGGAAGTGTTGTGGAGTTCGTGGGGAAGAGTGCACCTTGTCATTCCCGTCACCATCCATTAGTAGATACAGTGTCTTATTGGGTCTGCGGCCACGCCTCTTGGTCGGAATCCTATATTCGCAGCTGAGTCGAGAGATGCGGCAGTTGGCACAGGGCTTCTCTGTGTCGCATTTGACTTTCCGACGCTTGCAAGGGTCACATGCTCTACTAGGAAGGGCCATGAGTGTTGTTTTGTTCTGCTCTTAGTGGAGACCGTCTCACTTTTGCCTAACGGAGATTTGGAAAGAGGTGTGTTTGGGTTTGGGCGAAGGTGGAGGGTAACGCAGTTCGAGTGCATTCCGCGCTGCTTTTCATCTCATTGCTACCCCACCTACCACCTACCGCCCAAGCGGTGCCCGGACCCTGCTAGCCAAACCAAACCCCGCACGGCTACTAGCGCTAGGCGGGTCGGGGCAACTGTTAGCGGAGTCAGAGTAGATGATCTTGCGCCAGCCTACCACACCACAGAATTGCTGTATTTCCCCGCGGTGCTTTTCATATCTTTGGTATCATCTACCCTTAGCAGCGCTTATTTTAGAGTTTCTGTATGTTAGGATAGGATCTATACAACCAACAAGCTCTATGGGGCGATCTGTTGGGAAACCCGGTTGGAGATTGGAGAAACACCGAGTTTTTGGCCCTAGAAACCTAGCTATCTCCTCCGTCAGATTTCCACGTTCATTTATTCACTGATGTTGAAATATATATATATCAACTCCCCTCCCTCTGTAAACAATATATTAATAATGCGACAACTGAGATGTCATTTTTTTTTCGGCGCCCACCACGACAAAAAGGGAAAGATAGAGCCTGACGCTTTTGTTTCAGCAATCAAAGATGTTGTTGGGTATCGAGGCTATGCGGAAACAGGAATACAATCAAGTCCATCCTTAAACGCCCCCATCATATCGTCATAAAGATTATCCGTCCCTTCTGGAGACATGTCAGTCCACGTCCAAATTTTGCCATCCCTCAGTGGAAACAAAACTTCCCTCAATGTCCTTGCTAACTCTTTCAAACACGAAAACCCCAGCGAAATTTCCTCCAAGATAGCCTCAAATCCTTCCTGCCTCCACTGCGAGAGCCGGCTTGTGTCGAGCGGTTTTGGTGCCGTCTTCTTTGCGTGGGCAGATGGCGATGAAGAGACAAACGTAGAAGAAGGACTTGAGGTCATGGGGGTAGGTGCGTGGGTTATTCTGAATGTATGCTTCGAGAGCGCCGATGGCCATGAAGGGCGAAGTTCCTACCATAGAGCCTTAAGGAGTTGGACTGCGAGCGGTATCCTAGGCCATGTCGACATCAACTAGTGTGGCCTTTGGTGGCATAGCTAAAGACCTTTAGAAGCTGGTATAGGTCAGTGTATTTGAAGATTGAAAGACCTGGGGGTGAAATAATCAGGCAGCTGAAAATCGTACCGCGGAACCCAGTGCTTTTAAGGAGGTTAGGTCGGTTTTCTTCAAGTGATTCAAGCAGAGCGTTCGCACCGATGACTGCTGCGCTCACTCGTTTGGTTCTGCAGTCTGTTCTACAGCTTCTGTATCCTTAAACTGTTGCGACGGACTAAAAATTAGGCCTCTTCGAAGGTCCTCAGTACTAGCAACAACGTCGTAGCTGTGGAATTGAACAATCCCCTGACATGCCTATCCCGGGCCTTTGTTAGCTACGTTGCCTCCGGTTCATGCCATGCCGGCTTTCACTTATACTTAACCAGAAAATTCTATAGCTCTATAGAAGATTCTCCGCCTCTGTGGCACAAAAGACTGCCTCCCTCTGATGGTAACTTCTTGGCCTCTGGTATAATATGGTGGTGTCCGGAGGTACATCCTTCCTGGACCTTCTGAATTTTCCTCCACAAGCATAGCTGCTCTCGTTTCTTCCTTGGTAAGTGTGCGTCATGCACCAAGCAACATGCAACTTTCTGATCAAGGAGTAGTAGTCTGGACTTGTGTTATGATTTTTCCTATTCCTATTCCTATTCCTATCCTACCCCACCATGGCCATTTACGGCTCCCCCTAAATAGCGAAAAATATGGTATATGTTACCCCCCTTCCCCCCCATCCCACCTCCCTTTCCACACACTCCTAAAAATATACAACCCCCTTTTCCCTCCCCCCTCCTCTTTCCGAATAACCAATAACCAATACCCAATACCCCTATCCATTCCTTATTTCCCACACACACCCAATAACAAATGAAACAAAAAAAGAGAAAAAACGCCGCGCTCATGCTAAAAAAACGAATGGATCCACCCTTGAGCCGCCTGCGTTCACACACGCAACGCCGAACAAGATTTTCGCCTTTAAATCTCTTTTAACGGGGGGTGTGGTAGTAGACGGAATTTCCAATCCAAATCCACTACCCCCTCAAAAGACCTGGGGGGATAGCACTATTCTCACCATCCCCCTTTTTGTTGTTGCACCGCCGTGACCGTTTTGTCAGGGCGGTATATCCCGTCTTATCTCCCCAGACCTCAAGGTGCGGGAAAAGAGGGAGGAGGTAGGGAGAAGGGGAGAGAGGGAAAGGTGGTTAAAGAATATCATCAATACTCCTCACCACCCCCTCCCCCCAGCTCCCCACCCCCGGACTCCTCGGATCCACAATCACCTCTTCCCTCTCCTTTTCCTCCCTCCCTCCCCCCAACATCCCCCCCAAACTCCCAAACCCCCCCACATTCACCATCCCCGGTATCGGCGGTAACCCTTTCTCCCCCATCCCCCCCTTAACAAAAACCGCACTCTTCTTCTTCCTAAACCCCGGTTCCCGCTGCAACCTCTCCATCCCGGGGTCCGCCTCATACACCTCCGCGAAGGGTTGGATGCCGAAGTCTCCTACTGTGGGGGACATGAGGGTGGGTGGTGGTGGGGTGGTGTTGTCTGTTTGGATTGTGTGGAGGGTGGGGAGAGTGTGGTGGAAGGGTGGAGGCACGGCTGTGATATTGTTCGCGATAGCGGTTTTAGGTCGTTGGTGCGCGGTGAAGGAGAATGGCTGCGGTTGTAATTGTTGGGGTTCGAAGAAACTCGGCAACGGAGCAGCAGCAGACAGGGTGGGGAGTTGGAAGCTCGAAGCAGGTAACCTCGGCGACCAAAGCGCCGCCTCCACCACCGGCGCCTCCGGTAGACGCGGCGACCACAGCGTCGGCGATGGGATGGCGGGGGGCGGATAGGTTGGCTGCGCTACCCTGCCAAAGTTTGGAAGAGAAGGTGCTGCGCGCAGCGGATGGGCGGGCTTGAAGGTAAGTGACGGCGCAGCCTTGCGCTTAGCGGTGTGTTCGTCGCGGTGGGCTGCGAAGCCTTTTAGTGTTGGCGGGGAGGCGGGTTGGGAGTTGGGTGGTGTATCGAGGGGAGTTTGTGGGTGGTGTGGGATGCTGGAGTAGCGGGTTGGGAAGGTGGGCGCCGGGAGGTCGGAGGGGGTGGAGTGGTGCTGTTGTGTTTGCTTCACCACCGATTCCTCCACCATCGCTGGTTGAGGTGGAGCGGCTACAACTGGAGGAGCAATCTTCGCCACCACTGCCGGCGGAGGCGCAAGCGTAGGCGGTGCAAGACTCCCCCCCCTATAATCCCCAAACCCAAAAACCCTTGGTCTCGCCCCCGAATCAGATAACGGACCAGCCGGTAACATACTCTTCGGGTCTCCCTCGGGCCACGTAAACGACGGCGCCGACGACGGCCCCGGCGACAAGCCCCTCAGATCCGGCGTCGAGTTCCCCCTCACGTGCGGCGGCGTCCCGATGGTTGGGGAACTGCGACTACTCGGATCCGACGGCAGTGGCGCCGTTCTCGGGCTCTCCTTATTGCTTCCCCCGCCGTTGAAGTCGATCTCGTCGACGGATAGGGCCATGCGGTGTTTATTTGGACTTCTGCCCATCTTGGAGTTCTGTCGCGCTTGCAGGGTTTTGCGGAAGTCTTGGAGGGCGTACATGAGGCTGATGTTGGGGCTGACGTATTTACTCTTCGCCTGGGCAGCGTTGTACGCCGCGTCGACGGTGAGAGAGGGGTTGCGATACATGCCGTACGCGATAATGAGGGAAGCGGAGCGGCTGGCGCCCTGCTGGCAGTGGATGAGCACCTTCTTGCCGTGGGTGACGCGGTTGTCGATGGTTTCGCACAGGGCGAGCAGGTCTTTGGAGATGTCGGTGTTGTGCTCCCAGGGGATGTGGATGTATTCCGGTTCTTTGGATAATGGTTTGGGCGTTGTCGGGGATGTCTCGGTTGGGGTTGAGGAGTCGAGGGGTTGGACTTCAAAGGCGGTGGTGAAGGTGGCCATTGATGCCCCCGTCATGGGAGGACTGTCGCGATCGATGTCCATTGCGTCGAACGACTTCAACGGCTCCGCAGCAACCTGACTCTTAGCTTCTTCCAACGCCTGCTTGGCTTTAAACGGATTCTTGACTTCAGACGCCACATTCATGACCACATCAAACTCCGCCGCCTCCTCCGCGCTCGGCTCGAGGTAGAGGAAGACATACGGCTCATAAATCGCAATCGGCCCATCCGGATAACCCGGCGACTTGACATCCTCATTCGCGGCACAATCAAAAGTATCCCCCCCAATATCCCCCCCCGACCTCGTCGCAAGCTGCGTCCGGATCGGCGAGATCTCCTCGATCTTGTGCTGCTGCCCCCCAGTGGCCCTCGATTCTAGAATCGGCGTCGGTTTGCGGAATGCATTTGACAGCCCCGAAATCTGCGAGCGCTCAAAGCCAGGTAACCTCATCCCGCCCTGGGGCCCAGCCATGCTACTCCTCAGATCCGGGCTGAACATACCCATATCCGACGTCGACGCCGCGTGATGCAGCGTCGTCACCCTCAGTCCCGCGGGCGTCGGCGGCGGCTCCAGGGAGAGCGAAGGTAGGGCCAGTGTATTCCCCGCGAAATTCGACGACGTCTGCAAGCTGAGGTTGCTCGGCTTCTTCCTCGGTTTCGGCAGCGGCGGCTTGACGAAGGCCATAGGTGATGCTGGGGCGGATACCTGGACGAGCGGATCGAGCGAGCCGAGCTTCAATGCTAGGCCCTTTGCGTTTCGTGGTTTCCGGGGCGAAGGAGAGGTCATGGGGCGGTCGAAGGGGTCGCGGATTATTATGGGGTTGTCGGACATGGTTAGGTCGTCGAGGGAGTGGATTCCGAAGCCCTTGGAGGAGAAGGAGGAGAGGGGGAGGATGATGACTGGTGACTCCGGCGACGAGCTGGGCGACGGGTCTGTGAGGGCCGACGAGTCGGCGGTGGAAATAGTAGTAGTAGGCGAAGAATCCGTCGACTCAGAAGCCTGCGTCGACGTGCTGTCGCGGTGCTTATGCTGTAATTCCGGTTCTAGCGCGGCGGGGCTCGCAGTCGCGCTGTCGTCTTCCCGCGGTGATTGTGGTGATGCGGCAGCGTCTGCTACCTGTGATTGCTGCTGCGGGGAATCCACGAAGACGGTGCTGTCCATGTTAGGGGCATTGCAGCTGTAGACGGACATGAAGGAGGGCAGTTGTTGGCTGTGGTATGCCTGCGGACCAGCTGCAACGGGCATGCTCGGCAAACAGAGTGGCTGCGACGGGCGCGGGCGTGGTGCTCAAACGGGAGCGGGTGTTGATGCGCCCCGGCTGTTGCTTGGGGGTGAAGCAGGCGCGTTTGGGAAGGCGAAGCAAACGTGGATGAAATGAAGCAAGGGGTCCTCCGGGTATGATTACAGCAGCGCGCAGCCGCGGAGTGATGTGTGCAAAATGGCAAGTACTGGGTCGCGCAGCAGCAGGTATGGAAGATGTTGTTGTAGGGTCGTGTAGGTAGAGTCGTGTCGGGTGCGCAATCCGATTGCGGTTGTGTGAAGGGCGATATTAATAAGATTCGAAGCAACAGCACGATTCGGGGTCCAATTAAGTCCCAGCAGTATCCGTCTCGTCTGGTCTGACACGAGTTGGAATTCTTCGTAGAGAAGTTGAAGTTGACAAAAGGTTGGGTTCGAGGGTAGAATTACGCACAGCGCAAGTAAGACCGACGAACAAGATGCGAAAACAAGAAAGGCAAGTTTTTGTAACAAGCGCCGTCCGTCGAGAGGGCGTCTAGTTGTTGAAGGAGGGACGTGAATGCGCGCGCGAAGAGACGCTTCTAATTGCTGTTGCTGAAGGGATGAAAGGGCCGTGGGTTGTTGGAGCGGGTGAGCGAGGATCGCAGAGTGTCGGTGTGTTTAGTGGTAGTGGTAGTGTATAGTTGAGAGTCGTGGTGGAAGTAGTATATCCTCGGTGACGGCGATGAAGGGAATTAGAGGAGAGAATTAGAGAGAAGGAAGAAGGAATGACATTCGGCGTTTCTTGTCGAGTAGGAGGGTCGGCAAGGCAGGCGGCGGGTGGTTGGTGGTGGGTGTGGAAGTGTGTTGTAGGTGGTATGTGTGTGAGAGCGAGAGAGAGAGAGTTGTGGTGGTGGTGGAGGCGGAGGTGGTGTTTGGAGAGGCGGGCAGTGGTTGGTGGGTGGTGGGTGGTCCGTTCGTTCGTTCGAGGTTTTGGCGCTCCTTCGTCGATTCGTCGGGGACCGTCAAGGCACACACGCACGCACATACACATACACACATTACGGAGTACATAGACAGACAGGGTCAGGGTACTTGGTGCAGTAGGGTATGTAGGGTAATTACAAGGTATATCGGTTTAGGTATATGTATGCTAGTATGTACTCTACGTATGTCTTCTATGTATGGGATTTCTAAGTATATGTATGGCTAACATCAAGCAGCCGCGCGCAGAATGACCAGAAGGCAGAAAGGCGGATGGGAGGATTACAAGGACTACAGCCAACCACCGGTCTACTACAGCCAACAGCAACCAGGGACCAAGAGGGACCAAGGGAGGGACCAGGACGAGGACGGGGGAGAAGGGCGAGAACGGCCAGAAGGATAAGAATAGCACAGTACAGTATATGTATGTATGTACTCACACACGCTGAGGGTGTACGAGGATATTTATTTACAGCAACAGTACATAACATAATAGACACAGACACATACACAGGGTACGAGAAAGGCAGCAGGGAAGAGATGACAGCATTCCTACTAGACAGTAGATGAGATGCCTAGATGCCTAGATGTACTCATCCCTCAATCCTCCAACCCTACAAAAACTGTCGCCTACCGCGCTGCACTCTCCGTAGACAAAAACCGTAGGGATCCACCGCTTCGACCCTCTCTTTCCCTTCCTACGGAGTGTACCCTTCCCATACCCTTCCCTTCTCCTTCCCTTACCCTAAGCACAGCTATTCAAGGCTCTCGAGTACTACCCTACCCTAACTCCAGTCCGTCCCCCCGACAACATCCCGCCCACCTCACCATCCGCAAGCGATCAAACGTCAGAGAAAGCAAGCAGCGTTTAGAAACACACACACACAGGCCCGTCAATCATACCCTACGGTATCCTCAATCAGCTGTCCGTCGCAGTATCAGCGTCATGGTGGGTTTCTGTGCTCCACCGAACACCTACTAGGACTGCTAGATGTACAGAGAGAACGACAAATAGCGTGTGTTCAAACGCCGTAGTGAGGGAAGATCCGTACATCAGTAGCGAAAGGAAGTTTAGTGAGTACAGTAGAAGCCACTTAACACTGTCAATCCTGCTGATCCTGCTAATCCTCAGCTTCCTCCTTCACAAAGAGGCCACGGGCTACTCCAGAAACAGAAGATGGATCCGTGCACCCCTACCCACCGAAGGCAAAATAACGAACAGACCCCGGCAGGTCATCCTAGCTGGGGTTTCTAAATATAAACAGCCCAGTGTCACAACCTCCGCGCTAACCCCCTAGCCTCCCAAGCCCCCCATCCCCTCCCTCCAATCGTAACCCCCCACTACATCAAAAGCAGGGGAGGGTGCGGACGGAGCGTATGTGGACAGCCGTAGGAGGCGGCCAGTTAGGAGCTGGGTGAGCGGGCGGGAGCGCAGGGGGGTGGGGGTAAGGGAAAGGGAAAGATGGATGGATGCAGGGGAGGGGGGATGGGGGATGGGCGGTTAGGGTGGCGAATGGGAAGGGGGGAGGGACAGTGGGTGGGTGGAGGGTGAAGGACGGGGTGACGATAGGCCGAAGGAGTGAGTGGAGAGTGGGTAGAGGGAGACGGATGGGGAAGAAGGGATTTAGGAGTGAGTGGGTGCTGGAGGAGGATGGGGGGATGAAAACGGTTATGTATACTCCCGCACTGCGGCAAGCGGAAAGGTACTTACGAACGAACCCACTGGACAGCCTACACAAACAAACCCTTACCATACGCTATCTCTCTCCAGCCAAACCCCTTCACAACAAATCCTCAATACAGTATCTTGGCCCGTCACCTGCAGCCAGCCTCACACTTCTATCACATCAATCACATCTCATCACAGCACCCTATCTCAAAAGCCACATCTCCCTCACATCTCCCATCTCGCATAACCAACACAACACAAACGCCTCTCCCCACGGGACTACCCGCCGGAAGAAAGTATAAAAATATAACCCTACCCATATAACTCTACCGTAACCGGACCGGCACAAAACACACAAGCACAGACAGACGGAACCAGGGAATTCCCAAGTCGGGTCTTATCTCCTCCCCTTCTTAATTTCCATGTCCGTGTGTGTCTACTCAAAATTGCCATGGCGATGTTTCAGGAGGGGGACGCTGCAAACGATCAGATGGTTTTTCGTCACATGCTTGTTATGACTTTCTCAGCATCCTTACTGCTACGTACGCTATCATCATAGTAGGAGCATGGTAAGGGAAGGGAAGGGTGATTGATCCTCCACGTGAACCGTGAACTCTGGTCCCTCATCACGCTCACCACGCGAAGACAATCCCCCATGCCATCCCCACCGCCGCCAAAGCGCCAAAGCGTAAAAAAAGCACCGAAACAAGAACACCCTAGAAATCCTACCCTACCTACCCTAATAAAAAAAACCGCCTCACTCCGTCACCGCCGCTGAATATTAATGTCCCGAAATTACACATATTACCATTCCCAGTCCTCACCGCAAAAATCTGAAACGCGCAGTATTTTTTATCTAAAATTACAGTCTAGGGGGGGATGAAACTGTAGCATATTTTTAGCAGAGACAAGAGCACGGTATAAGGTAGAAAAATAGAGGTGATGACGCCACGCAGCACACGCAACGCAACGCACGCGACTACTACGCCTGGATTACCGCGTCGTCGATTTGCGCGTCCCTTTCTCCATACTCCAGACTCCATAATTATAGAACTCCATAATCACAACACCAGAGTAATCATCCTACTCTACCGTGACCATAATCACAAGCCAAACTCCCCAAACCCCCCAAACCCCCAACACCAATCCATCTTCCCTCCACCATAGCGTGGCGTTCCGTACCTGCGTCCGCCCCCTCGCCGATCGCCCACCAAACCCGTATGATCAGCGCCACCACCAGAGAACACACAGGATTTCAACGTGGGAGGTAGGCGATCCTAATCTCATTTCGGCTTCACACTTTCCCGCTTCCCTTCCTTCCTTCGTTCTTTACTACACAACGCGAACAGCGCACGTCATTTCCAAGGGACGGGACGGGCTTTGCTTACTTGCCTTGCTTCTGGAAGAAGAAGTATAGTTTATCGTGTTAGCGTGGCGGGCAAGATTCGTGCGGCGGCGATGGAGGTGGCAGGTAGGTGGCTTCTACGGCGGTATCGCTGGAGAGACACGCCCCTGTAGAGCGCGCGTGAGTGTGGTTTGTGATCTCCACTGTCACGATGTGTTTAGTATACGAGTGGGTGTCTTACTGTATTTTACGAAGGTAGTTAGTTGTACGAGGAATGATAGAAATGATGGAGAGAGGAGGGTGGCACATGCGCGATACGAGGAGGAACTACTGCCAACGTTCAACTTTGTAATCTGAGGTGCCAATCCCGTGACCTCCCTCAAGCGTAAATAAACAGACAGACTCGGATCCCATGCATGCTAATGAAAAGACACTACGTATTCGCTGATAGGAGAGAAATGTGTGCTCTATCGTTCTCTGTTCCGTCTATCTGTCTGTCCTTCTGTCTGCTAAACTCCTTATAATGCGGAAATGGCACGGTATATACAATCATCCCTTTTCACCCCTTTTTCCTTTTCCCACCCCTCATCCCCCCCTCCCCTTTTCTCTCTCTCCTCGGGCCCCCTCCTCAAAACTCCAGCACAACACCCCTCCTCTACAACTCCTTCTTCCCCTCCCCCTCCTTTGCCCCCTCAAACTTCATCCTCTTCTCCCTCCTCGCCATCCACCCCTCCCCTCCCACCCCCCCAAACACCAACCCCACCCCCACCCACTGCCCCGCACTCAACCGATGTCCAAACCAAAGCACACTCAACACCATCGTACACATCTTCCTCGTCACCGTGACCGTAACCAGGAGCACACTATCAAACACACTCAGCGTGTAGAAAATAAACAACTGCCCCACCGCTCCACACGCCGCGAAACCAAGTACGTCGACCCAGGCTGCCGGGTTGCGGTTGAGGAAGGAGAGCGCGGTGAGGACTTCTCCGCCGGTGGCGGCGCTGGTGAGGTCGAGGCCCAGATAGATCCCTAGGGGTGTGGTGGCGATGAGGGGGGAGATCAATAAGTAGGAGATGGTGAGGGCGGAGGCGAGGATGTTTGTTGCGCACATCATTTGCGGACCGGAGTAGGGCTGGAAAGTCTTAAAAATATAATCTTGTGTCGTATTCGTCAATCCGTCAAGGAGCAGGTTGACACCCAACATCAGCAGTCCCCATGCCCTATTCTTCTCCTCCGCGCCGGCTTTCGAGGCGTGTTTCTTTGCAGACGAGGCGTGGAGAGTGAATACCGCGACGCCGGCTGTGACGGTGAAAACGACGAGGTATTTATACCAGGGATACCTTCTCCCAAACAGCGTAACGTGGAGAAACATCACCGGTAGCAATTTACACGATTTAGCCAAGATGAAGGTAATATAATCGATATGCGCCAAACTCGCATACCCAAACGGACTCGCCAGAGACGCCGTCAGGGCCACGGCGGCGAGGGGGAGAGTGATGGCGCGCGTGGGGAAGATGGCGGGGGTGGGCTGACCGGCGGGGCGCGAGAGGTGGAGGTAGAGGAGCCCGGTGAGGACGGCGAAGAGGGATTGGATTGTGTTTAGGACGATGGGGAATTTGAAGACTTCGGGGGCGGTGGGGGGCCCGTAGGGGGTTGTTGTTAGGCGTTCTTGGAGGAGTGCCCAGGTTAGGCTGTGATAATAACATTAGTCTCTCTTCTTCCTCTTCTTCTTCTCTTCCCACTTCTTCTGTTGTGAGATGGGGTGAGTGAGGGGGAACGTACAAAGAAGCATAAATCCCCGCAACTCCAATAACCAATTCCACCAACCCAGCCTGTTTCTTCTTCTCCACCTTCACTGCCACCGCCGGGGCGACGACAGCGCCATTAACACGCCCATTCACTTTCATCGGCGCCGCAGCAGCGGCAGGAGAATCGAGTGTTCGAGATATCTTGGTAGGTGTGCCGACGCGGTCTGCGCTGCTCGTGTATTCGGAAGAGACCTCGCGGCGGAGGGGTGTTGCTTGTTTGTGGCGCGCCATTGTGGGTGTGTGTTGAGGGCGGAATCTAAAGAGGAATTGAGGGAAGGGAGGAGGGGGGAGGGGGTATGGGCGGATTTTCAATGGGTGGTGTGGTGGGAGGTTATTTATTTCTACTCATGCCACATTGCGGTAACTTTGGAAGGGGGGTTATGCCTGATTTGGTTGTGATGGGGGCGGTCGGGGGTGGCAGTATGGGAGGTACTCCTGAGGTGGCTCCACAAAAATGGCCAGTTGGGTAGTTATCGTTGATAATCACGTTAGGTTTTGGGTTTCCCTTGGACTTCTGCAAGTATTGGCAATCATAGTTAAAAGGATATAGAATGATAAATAGAGCGATGGTAAGATAATATTGCCAGCTCACAACAAATACCAACGCCTCTCTCGCACCACCTATCTACGAGACACACACTCTCAATGGTAACCCCCGTACAAATCTGTAAAACATCATACTCATATTTGCCTATCCAGACAGGGCATTAAAAACCCACATCCCATCGCTCCTCCAACGCCCAGGAAATACAAAATGCATGTTTCAATCATAAAACCCCACCCTCATTATAACTCTCACGGTCAACACCCCAGCTTCCCAAACAAGCTATCCATCGCAACCCACTGTCTCCCACACTTATCCAGATACCTCTCCACCACGCCCTTCAGCGTATCAAACCTCGCCCTGTTATGTTCTCCCAGCGCCAGTACTTGATCTATCAAAGCCAGTTAGTAAAGTCCACAAAGTCGCGCCACTCCAAAACCAGAATAACTCACCCCTATCAGTCCCCCCACACTTCTCCTTCGCCTTCTCCACATCAAACAAGCTCGAAAAATAAAGCAACTGATTATACATCGCCTTCTCCGAATACTCATACCCCATCCTCCCCAAACACCCCTGTCCCAGCCCCCTCGGCCCCAAACACCTATGCCCATAAACACTCATCTGCCTCGTCCTCGCACCACAAGCCTGATCATCACACACCAACCAGCCCTCATAATACCTCGCCGTCTCCAGCCGAATCCGATGCTCCAGCTGCGCCAGCACCGCCAGATTCCGCAGCGTCGCCCCGCAACGACACGTAATCCCGTTCGGCGACACGCTGTCCAGGCTGCCAAGGAGTCCCTCGAAGTCGAAGGTGCCTTTGCATACTCGGCAGCTGAGTTGCAGTCGCGCTGCGTCTTTGAAGCGGACTTCGTCTTCGATCTGGGATTCAAGCGGGTGGATTTCTGTCTCGGTGCCGCCGCTGGAAACGTTATTGTTGATGCTGTATTTACGCACGTCGAGGCCCAGACAGTCGGCTAGGCGCATGGAATCCGTGCCTACGATGTTCGCGCAGAGACGCTCGACGGGGGGGAAGATCTGCTTGTAAAGGTACCACTCTGCGTCCGCCTTAAGGTCTGAGTCGGCTTTCATGACGTCTGCGGGGGTGTAGGAGCGTTTCGCTGCGGGTTCGTTGGCGGATTTGCCGTCGCCGGTGACGATGTAGGCGATGACGTCGTCTTTGCGGATGGTCTTGCCGCGGGCGAGCTCGCGGAGAGCGACTTGGACTTGGGGCATGGAGTCGGCGTTGGGGTAGTCCTTGGGGTCCTTTCCGAGCTTGGTGTAGATGGTGTATTTCTGCAGGGGGATGAGGTCTTCCCTCATTTTGCCTGAGATCTCGCGGAGGTAGTCGTGGATGCGTGTTATGACGATCTCCGTCTCTTCGCCGGAGAGAATCTCGTTCAGGAGTTTGGAGGAGACTTCTTTGGAGAGGGCGCAGTATTCTCTGCGCTTCATGTCGAGACCCTTGACTTCCATCTTCTCGACAAACTTGCCGTCGACCTCGAGAAGGTTGATTGCTGCATACTTCTTCTTGGCTTGGAGGAGAATGCGGCGGAATACGTTATCAATGTCGATCTCAAGGAGCTTGTACCTGTCATTGACAGCGCGCTTGAACTCGTGGCCGACCTTGAGGGCGTCGGCGACATTGTCCACGTTTGCATTGATCATGACCGAATCTGTATCTCCGTAGATGACCTGTAACGACTTGCTCTCTGCCAACTCTTTGGTGCTGCGGAGAATCTCACGACCCTTGTAGGTCGTCAAAACAGCTAGAGGGCGGGCATAGAAGCGCGACTTGGTGTATCCAAGACAACCGTACATAGAATTAGCTGTGAGCTTCAGAGCCAACTGCTTGATATCCCACGTCGCCAGCTGCTCCGAGGTTGCGGACTTGTCCTTCATCAGGCTCTTGACTTGGCGACGGCGACCAACAAGAGTTGCGATCAGCTTTGGAAGGATACCTTGGTCCTGGTCGACAGGGACTTCTGGCACCTTATCTTCATCATCTGAAATTGTTGTTCGGTCGACTGTTGTGAAGCAGATGTTGTACTCTTGAATGATACTAGGATAGAGGGAGTTGAAATCCATGACCAGCACAAATTTGTCGTAAAGCCCCTTTTCGGGCTCAAAGACTAAACCACCCTTATATTTGTCCTTCTTTTTCGCGTCTCCGCCCTCCTCGTCCTGGTCTTGTTGCTCTGTCTTGGGTCTACCCTTGAATGGAGCCTTGTCAGGAACAATGTACTTATTGCGGTGGAATTCGTGTAGTAAAATGTACTCGTTTCTCTCCGCACGGGTACCCGTAAGTGTCCTTGCCCAAGAGTTTCCAGCCAAATTTGTGAGGACCTTTGTGAGTGGCAGCATCTGCACTTTCAGAGCCAATGCGGCAATGAAATATGTGTCTGCCTCGCAGTGGCCGATATAGTCTACCAAACCATCCCTGGTGCAGGCCCATGTCTTCAACGCCACTTCGTTATCGACCTCTCTGCGGACGTTGTTGCCACTACTAAGGTAGAGGTTGCACATTTCAGTGAGACTCCAGGACTGACACTTTGTCATTGTCGATTTACCAGCATCGTTAGCAAGATCGCAAAGCAAACGTCCAGAAATCAACGAGCGTTCAGCGAAGAAGTTTCCTCCAATCTTGCCCATAGAGCCTGGCCAGTCGCTGCGCTTAAATCTTCCGATCCTAGACCATCCGGGCGTCTTTCTAGTCTGAAGGCGACTGAGCAGAATGCTGTAGTCGACACCTTCGAGCTGGTGGCCAAGAATGACATCAGGGTCGACCCTATCAAGCTGTGCCAAGAAGAAACTGAGAATCTCCGGTTCTTGTCTGCACAGTTTGACCAGGCCCCGGCTCTTCTTCTTGATGAGATCTTCGAATCCCAGAGGGAAAGAAGAGCCAACAGGTCGAATTATTGTGATGGTTCGGGAGGGGATCTGCTCCGCTGGCGTTGTGTCGTTAAGAGAGATGTTTTCGTAAATACGCGCGCTGATGGCTAAAATCTCTTGCTTGTTGTCCTTGGCATTCAAGGTTGTTCTCATGGCAAGACTCATAAGGGTCAATGGAGGAGGCTCCATGCTGTCCGACTCCGTCAGAGGGGTGATAAGATTAGGTGTGGTCACTTGGACTTCAAGCTTGCAGTGAGAGGCATTGTTGAGGAAGGTGAAGTCGGCGTCTTCAATCTTCAACCAACATGGACCCATAACATTCTTCCACAATACGAACTGTTCGAATATCGAAGTGTTGGTCCCGAAAGTATGTGAGAAGGTATCGCCAGTCAGGTCGATTGGCAGGGCAGGCTTATTGTAAGGATAAAGCAGTTTGAGATATTCGCCCTCTTTCGGTACATCTTCGAGTTCGAAGGCGTACTTCCTTGAGCAAGGCTTGATCTTGTGCATACCAACCTTCATCCGTGTCATAATAGAGTCAACCTCTTTGTAGACGTCCTCCATGCTCACTTCCTCGGAGGTTTCCCTGCCATGCTTATACAGGTTGTCTCGCGGCAGAAAGAATACCTTCCGTAGAATATTGTCAACTTTGAGAAAGCAGCTGACATACTCGCCAGTCTTCTTGTTTTTGACTTTTCCGAAAAGGCAGAGGCTGCCATGCACTTCGGTATAGTCTGTCCAGAACATGTTCAAACTTCCGTCTCCCTCAATTGCATCTTTGTAGTCCATCTTCCCGTAAGTCCTGGTGTCTGTCGGAGGGCTGCTAGAGATGACATTTAAGCGCGAAGTGACATTATTCCAGGCTGACGCATCTACTTCTTCAGGAGGCGGCCTTGTGGGCGAAGAGCTTCCTGGGGTTGGGTATGGGTCGGGTTTCAAAAGCTTCGGCACAGGCCTTGAACCGGACATGTTGACACTGGCAGCAGCAATTCCGTCGGCTTGAGCTACCTCCATCGCATCGTAGTCATCCTCCTCCTCCGCTTTGATAGCTACTTGTGCTTTCCGCTCCACAGCTTTCTGAACGGGTGACGAGGGTGCCGGGTCGCTCATAGGTACGTCGTCGTCGTCCATCCCGCCAATGAAGTTGCCGTCATCGTCATCATGCGCAAGCGGGGCGTCGTTTGCGCCCCCCAGTCTCATCCTCTTAGCTGACAAGCTTTTGGCACTTTGGATAGGCGGAGAAAGGGCCCTCGTCCGTCGAGTCAGTTGCTTCGGTGGGTGATGCGAAGCTCGGGGAAGAACGTTTGTGTCTACCTCGGCAAGGAGGTCTCCCAAGAAGTCGTCGTCTGCTTGTGTTTTCACAGGCTATTCAACTATTAGCATCGAAGCCAGTCGTGAATAAAAGGGGCGTCAAAGTTACCTTCGCTTTCGGTTGCGCCACTACCGGCCCCTTTGTGAAGTAATTATTGATTCCCCTGTCCATATTCTCCCTTTTCGTCTTATCTTCTTCCCGTTTCCTTTTTGCTGCTTTCCCATTCTTCGCTTTGGGACGGGCATCCTCCTCACTCTCGCTGTCGTATCCTTGCCGCCTGTCCCAGTCTTCCCGGCCGTCATCGGCATAACCCTCTCCATTATCGTCGATGACAAAGTCATCCTGGTTTAGGCGGTCACGGATAACCTTTTTGTATCCATCTTCATCCACTTCTTCGTATAGGTCCTCCTCTTGGTGCACTTCGTAAGTGTCGAGGCGCTTCTTTCCCGACTCACGAAGAGCACGAAGCTCTGCCAATTTTGACGAGCGAGCAGATTTCGACATGATGAAGCGTTGAACCCAGAAATACAAATCTAAAATAGCATAGCGGTGTGGTTGTTCAATTCTGCCCGTTCACACAATGGAGATAATGTTTTGAGAATGTGGTTGCTTGGTGGGTGAATTCGCGCGTTGAAAGGCCCTGGCTATCAATCACGCGTAAAGGACCCCCAGGTACACGCGTAGAGTCCGCGTTTCGCGTTACCCCTGTATTGCGCCGAAATAATTATTCCGGCCCGAGAAATTTACCATCGCCACATCACGTGAAAACTTTGAGATACCAAAAAGTTAAGTGAACCGTTCACGAACTTTGCGAAAGCTCCAACGATTCGGCCATGTTGCACTACCGGCCATATGTAAAGCGGTACGTGACAAATGTCGCAGCAAATTCTCGATATGCATCGTCTCGGATATGTGCGCCAGTTGTGAGGAGTTCTACTTCTCTGTCACATCGGACGTTTGGCAGCCAGGCCGAGTCCGCAATCGAAGATGAGAGGTCCGGAAGGAGAAATCGAGAACCGCAACAGAGGTTCAGGATAAGCAGGGACTCGGAGCCATCACAACCAACGTCGTTTTCGAAAAGGGAAACCTCTGGGAGGAATCGCATTGGCAGCGATGATAACGCCGTCGCTGCGCCCGAGAGGCGGCGGTACGACCTGAAATACCGAGATCCTCTGAAATTGGCGGACGATACACTTGCGAAGCTTAAGAAAGATAGATTCGAAGAGGCCGAAGATTTAGTTCGGAGATCAAGCGCTGCGATCGATTGTACAGTTGGCTGGAACCATCTTATCGATTGGCAATGCAAGAAGGGAAAGATAAACAGCGCCGTTAAGTCATACAACGAGATGAAGAAACGAGGCCAGACGCCTGATGCATACACATATACTCTCATATTCAGAGGCTTGGCACAGCAGGCGCATCAACATCCATCTGCTGTTGCTCACGCATTGTCGATATACCATTCCATGGATGCCGAGAATGCGCCTGTTCAGCCCAACATCATCCACACCAACTCCGTGCTAAAAGTATGCGCACAGGCTGGAGATATGGATGCTCTGTTTGGAATAGCTGCCAAGTTGCGAGATAAAGGCATACGGGCTCCAAATAACCTCACATTTACCATCATATTCAACGCGATCCGTGATAACACAATCAAAAGACTCACGACTGAAATCAGCGCAGAAGAGCTGAGGCCACTCCGGGACAAATCTGTGATGGACGCACGACGAATGTGGGATGACATAGCGAGCCGCTGGAGACATGGTGATCTTTGGATCGATGAAGAACTTGTCTGCAGTTTGGGCAGGATCTTGCTGATGGGAGGTGACAGGGATAGGGATGATGTATTTGCCCTCCTCAGGCAGACCATGAAGATCCCACAACTTGTTATACCGCATGGAAGTCGAGTCGAGGTAATCGAAAAGCCACAAGAGAGCGAATCACTGGAAGAGTGGGAAAATGTAAAGCTAGACCAGGCCAAGGTTGATACTGGCCCTTCTCTCGCCTCACACGGCCAATTTAAACGGATAGTTCCAGCGACTCGCAAAGACACATACGGCAGAGGACTAAGCTCCTTCCCACGACCCGGGCGAAATACACTATCTCTAATCATGGTGGCCTTACAGAAGGCTAATCTGGGAAAGCAAGCTACATTGTACTGGGAGATATTCACTATGCATTATAACGTTGAACCAGATAGTGCGAACTACCACGACTATCTTCGCATTCTACGGCAGGCACGTCTCAGCGATGAGGCAGCTGCTGTGCTCGAAAAGATGCCCCAGCATATGCTCGAAAAGAAGACTTTCCGCCTCGCAATTGCAGCATGTGCGCGCGACAAGCACAACCCAAATTCCTTCAGGAATGCGACCAAGGTCGTCGACTTGATGCAGGAAACCATGGATACTATTGACCTCCCTACTCTCCACATCTACCTTGATTGTGCGATTGAGTCCGACACGGACCCGAACCGCTTTCTGGAGAGCAAAACTCGCCAGCTTTCCCCTGGATCTATCCAGCAGATGAAGCAAGCCCTGATGGAGGCAGACCTCGGGGAATTGATTCCGTCCTTGGATGCGAAGGCGCAGCCTGTTCGGTCTCTGGAGGGCGGAAGGCCTGATGATATTAGGTTAGCCAAATTCGAGAAGGGCAAAAGGATTGTTGCAGCTCTCGACAGGGTATCACCATCTATCCTCAATATAAAGGCCACCTTGACTTATGGGACCACAAACAAAGCGAGATCTTGGTCACAAAGCCGCAAAGACAGCTTAAGTACAGACGCCTCTTACCAACAGGACGCTCTAAAGCTAGCCCAGAGAATGATCAGCGCTTATGATAAGCTGATGGACGCTGGCATGGTTCCACGAGAGGACTATAGAACTCTTACTAGGGAGCGCTCAAAGCTTACGGCCCTTGTGACGAAATTTAAAGCCAAGTACGAGCCAGATACTTGGAACAGATTTAAAGCCTCAAGCTTTAGGACTTGGAATAAGGAGAGACCGGAGATACCGGCAACGGAGAAAGTAGCTGAGCAGGCTGCAGAGAATGTAGCTGAGCAGACTACAGAAACAACTGGAACGGAGAATCAGCCGAAATGAACGACGGGTTGATGATTCCTGTTGTGGATCAATTCTTGTATAACTAGAGAGGGACCAACTCCACCCTTTCGGAACTTGGCCTTTTGGTCAAGTTCGGGTCAGATATGGCTTGTATAAATATTACCTGTATCATATGTACAGTAAGCCTGTGGAAGTCGCAGCGAATAATGAAACTTAATACGATTGAGAAGACTGCAGTTGCATAGTGAAAACCGAAACTGCCTCTTGGACACTGGCCATACTACGAATACAAATGAATGGCTATGATAAAATACAGCTGCCCCCGGTCACTCTCCATAGTGCTCAGTCGTGCAGAATTTCGCCGGCTTTATGGAAACGCCATCCTAAACAAATGCTAATTGACCCACGAAAGTTGTACACAATGAATACAGTCCAATTGTTAGTGAAATAACAATAGTCCGCGTGTGGTCACTTTCGGTTATTCCCCTGAAATGAAAGTTGATGCAGGCCTATCCATAGAGCATCATGTCTCTCCAATTTCTTTCCTCATTCTCCTTTTCATCCTCTTTGTCGTGATTCCGTTTCTGGGGTGGTTCATCAGTTGGGCTATGATATGCAGCCTCTACTTGACTGGCAGGTTGTTGCTGAATCATCCGTCCTTGCCGTATGAAATTGGAGCTTACTCCTTGGAGGGGACCCCTTCGTGGCGTTTTAAACCCCTCTAAATCAATATTGCCGGTTATGTTCCCATTTCCAACTTGTGTATTGAAGGAGTTCTCAAGCTCAAACTCAAACTTTTCTAAACTGCACGTCCGTACGATTCTTGATGGCGTACTGTCGCTCATGGCCCTATTTGATTGCAGATCAGATGACTGAGCATGTTCCTCTCTCACTGATGGATCAGGCGAATGAGACGGCGATAAAGTTATCTTTCTTGTAGCCTTCGAGGCTGCAACCTCTTCTACCGCCGTCGAGGAGCTACTCTGTGAACTTACGGAAGCAGCCTCGCTTTTCGTGTACATTTCCCAAGAACTCAAGTGAAGTTCAGCTAACGTAGCATCTATCCCAGCGTATCCGCTGTCCCGAGATGATGCCCTGGATACTTCACGAGTTTTGGCGGTATAATTGGCCTCAGCTAGAGCATCGGTACTGTTAGTATCGGAAGAGCTTTCAGAGAACATCGCCATATGCCTCCGATACTCAGCTCGCAAAGTTTCATATCTTGCAAGATCCTCAATGTGCAAAAACGAAATATCTTCACTTCCATCTCTACCCCGTGACCATGTTTTCCTCTGTGGCCTGGTACCTGAGTCGTAATCAGAAGTAAGTTTTCCTTGTGCTTTGAGAAAATTCCGTGCTGCGTCCACGGCTCGTTTCTGGGGGTCCGCATTTTTGTTGGGAGCGTACTTGTCAATGAACTCAACGCCGAGATCTGCCCAAGTCTTCGTCTTCCCAATACTGTATTCCGCAGCCAATGGCTCTGTTATTTCTCCGTCGTCTATATCACCCCAGGGATAAACTAGTTTAGGGGGGCTTGCAGGTTCTCCCAGTGGTTTTTCCAAATGGATCGAAAGGGTCGTGGCTAGTGTTGCCTCTGGCTGTTTCAGCTTGCCTGCTTCCGTCCTCTGTTGTTTGCCCTCCGGTGTGCCCAAGTACAAATCTAGTAGGGAGTCATTGGACGGTGTGTTTGTTATGAATTGGAGCTCTTCGGGCTGAGTTGTTGAAGTACCAGGCGCTTCTCCTTCGCATTCCCCAATGTCTGATAATTGGTGTTTGCCACAACGAGGGTTACCAGCACAGCAATTGAGACTCAGTTCTTGGCTAAGGCCCATTCCCTTAAAATTTCCAAATTGCATAGGTAGCCAGATGCATTCTAGTTTAGGGTTGGACTGTTCATCAAGATATTTGAAAACGTAGCCTTTAGGCTGTGGATAAAACGTGCTTAAACCTCGGTCGAAGAGAATGTAATTTGAATACTCTACCGGGTTCTGGAATAAACTTCCAATAGCATCACTCTTGGATTGGTACGTCTCATGGCGCGCTTCGCCGAATTCGGTTTTGGGGAAGTCGATATGGAATGGGCCTATAGAGCTTTTCCTAGTCGTTGATCTCATTGCGCGTCGCTTCTTTTTCGATGCCAAAGTCTCCGTCCTTTTCGGAACCAGAAGGGGGCTGGCTGATAGCGTCTCACGAAGTGTGTTTCCTGGGGACTTATTGGGGCGCTCGTCGCATATGGTATTCTCTCTTGAGGGAGTAGCCTTGTTATTCTTCAGCATGGTGTCCAAGACAACGTTTTTGTCGAGAGACGCATTGGTTTTCTATAAATTGTTAGTTTTAAAACAGTATACTTTCATATGTTCTTCTCAAATTCCAACCCCTTTCCGAGGCGATTTCCCGGATAGCTACAAAAAACTTGGTAGTACTCACGTCAACCTTATCATTCTGGGTAAACATTCCACATTCATGCCCAAGAAAACCGGCATTTATCGAACTATCCTGAGGCAGAGAGCCTAGCGGCGCTGTGTCGTTTAAGTGACAGGAGGGTCTGCTTTGGCTGGAGCGACCCTCAGAGATGTTCAAGATCTTAGACATTCTTGCGGCATTTTGATCGATTGATTCCAAAATGCTTTGTGGGACATGTTCGGTATTCAAGGTTTGTTGAAGTCGAGATTGGACCAATAGGTTCCTATATTTCTGATCCAAGGCTTGTGCGCGAGATGCAAAAGATGGATTGATATCAATTTTTGACGGCATACCGGGGCTTGCGAGAAGTATATTATAATCTGGGCCACCGAAATCCAAGTTCTCTTTGAGCCTTTGGGCACTGTTAAACCAAGATCCAGCTTAAAGTTTTAAGATACTAGAGAGGGATTAGTTACCTTCGTAGGCTCTGAGATATCGTTCCAGGGTAAGGGCCTGTAAGGCATGATTCACTCCGGGGAACCATATCTTGGGTTGCTGCACGCCTACCAAAACATGTTGGAGGAAATGGAGCTGCATAGCCGCCAGAATATATGCCTGATGAGGGCTTCTTTGGTAAGCAAACTGGTTCTATTGGCGCTTTGTGCGGTTGAAGAAGAGCCGCTTTCTTTGGCATCTGATCTGGAGATCTTGGTCCCGATGTGCTCCCTTGATAGTCACACCAAGGGGCGTAAATGGCGTCAACACTAACACCGGAGTCGGGGCGAGCCACTGGTTCTACAATTTCATCCTTGAATGTTACCTTTCTGCGGCCAATTGTTGCATGAGATCCAGCAGCATAGGTTTGCGGAGGACGAACCCGATCCGCATCTTCAATAGATTGAACACCAAGATTGTCGGGGATCTGCAAGGTATTCGCGCCTCCGCTTCTTTTTCGCAATACATTTGGCTGCACTGTTTGGTCGGGTCTGCGTCCTTTCATTGAGCTTCTTTTCCCAACTGTTCCGAAAAGGTTTTGGAGACTTTTGCGATGTCTTAGAAGTGAAGATGGTGCACCCTCCTCATGGTCTGACAAGTCAGCTTTATTTGAGTTCTTATTTTGTAGGTTACTTACAGCTGTTTGATGGTTTCAGAGATTGTGATGCGTAGTGCCCCACTGGCCTCTGGGAGTTGGCACCAGGACTGGCACCGGTCCATGTCCCTCGTAACGACCCAAAAATGTTCCAGGATCCTGGCTTCGCATAGTTGTTCTGGGAACTAGGCGTTGGTTCATCAGAAGATGTGTTGAGCGCCATCTTGAAGAAATCTTGCGCAAGTGAGAATACAGATTTGCTCCGATTGATGCGCCTTGTAGGAGACGGCGGGCCTCTTGTTGCAGGAGCTTCCTTCATTTTCCTGGTCCCAGGCGATATATCGCCGGATACTTTTTTCATGGTGTAATTCAGGCGATAGACCTCTGAAATGATATGTTAGGTTTCAATGTCGAGCCTCAATTTCAGTTTTCGAGCTGTAACTCCAGCTTCCAAGCCTGGCTGATAGCTGTGCAATAAGAATCCAGCTCGAAGGCAGACAGGAAATAATAGAATGATAATTTCACCAACGGCTCCCCGAAACAAATAGTAACTAGTTTCTAGTCTAGAAATATCCAAAACTGTCGCCGATAATGGGAAGAGAAGGTTCTCACGTCCCTGGGACGCAACTGATAATATGAGAACGGCCAACAAGGGAAGGAGCACTCAGCCTCGCTTACCTAATCAAAATTATGAGGAAAGTGCTTCGCGCTTCCCTCGTAGCTGACCACAACGCGCCTTCCTCGAAACCTTCCATACCCACACCTTGACACTTCCCTCCAAGTCGCATCCAGTCTTGGCATACTTACGTAGTCAGAGAGTGTTTATTTGAAGTGGTAAGTGAAACTAACAGCACAGGTAACCATGGCAGGACGCAAAGTCGCCGTGGACTTCGATAAGATCATCCAGACTGGTTTGTTGGCACTCCATTTTCCCTGTTGATCTCAATCTAATGATATTCCGTCTAGATCGCACAAGACGTAAGAATGAAGCACTTGCAGATGACATTTTCAACCGTGGTCGTCGCCAAAGTGCCCCTGGCGCCGCAGCCTTCCGTAAGCCAGGAACCGGCCCATCCCTTGCCAGCAGAGTCGGCATTAGCAAAGTGAGTGGTATACTTTCATACTCTGTGCAGTCGCCGCAAAATCCGAATAGCAAAGGTGCTGATTGTTAATCTAGGAACGCTCCCGCTCCATCACACCGAAACCCATAGGCTCTGCGAAGTTCCCCAAGAGACAGGTTCCGGCAGGCAATGTCAACTCAGACTGGACCCACGATCTCCATGGCGTCAACAACCCGAGCCCACTTGCTCCATCGTCCTTCTATAACAAGAACATGAAACCCGGCCGCAATGCTCAGTTTCGCACCCTTCTCAGCAACTCAGCGTCGTCACCCAACTTGAACGCCCAGTTCAATGTGGTTTCAAAGGCGGGTCCTGGCTTGTCCATCCGCGGTATTGCTGGTCCTACCACCGTTCAAGCACAGAACTTCGCACCTGGAACGACTGGAGCGGACATCGAGAGCGCAATGACACCAATTGGAGGCAAAATCCTCAAATGCATCATTGTAGCGACCAGGCCGAACGTTATCGCCGAGATCGTCTTTGAGAACAGAGAGGGCGCCAACGCCATCATTGACACTTTCCATAACCAGACTGTGAGTACAATTGCTCTGCCTGGCTAGGAATTCCACTAATAAACGACAATATAGGCCGACGGACGTGTCCTCAACCTCTTCATCAAGCCCGACGTTGTCCCTGCGCCTAAATCCGCCGCGCCTGCCTCAGCCCCTACTGGCCCTGCCATCCCAGTCGGCCCTCGCGCTGACCGCAACAACCTCAGGCCCGCGCGCCCTGCGGACTCTGATCGCTACAATCAGCGCAACCGTGACAGCGGCAGAAATGAAGTTGTGGATGGCTCATACGGATTCGAGGACGATCGCATGGACACGGATCAGTACGAAGCCCCGAAACCGCTGTACAGCGATAACATGGTTGGTGGAAGGAGTGACAGGGGCGATAACCGTGACGGCGGGAGAGGTTACAGCCGGGGCGGTGGCGGTGGACGTGGTGGTGCGAGAGGTCGCGGATACAGATGAAGATCGAATCCTAGCTACTATCACCCAGACGAAAGCTAGTTGTAAGATATACGGTCCCTTTGTGGACATCGAACACGATATATAGTGTTACGGTTTTACGTGTTCATGACTAGAACAGCACATCGACACATCGCCGAGACCTTCTAATAGGGAATTTTCTGGTCTTAAAATGACCATTTAACAGCACGTATGAAGTGGAGTTCAGGGCTATATATGGTCTTCGGCGCCGAATTATACCAGAGGGATATTCCTTGACGCAGATGGCGGGTGGATATGGCGTTTCGATGATGCACAACTGTATATTACAATAGGCAGATACTAATTCGATCATAAACACAATCCGTTTGCTGTTTGCTGAAATACACCGTGACTATTGTAGCCAGAAACCAATCACATCGCATGGATCGGAATATTCACCATAACCACAGTAAAACAATAGTGAACGCATGCAGATGAAGGGTATTCAACTTTAACCATCTATCAGCCCACATTATATATACAATCTGGCCACCGCCAGGCACAGTATACAGCCCCTATACAAAACTCTGTCCCATAAAATGTGAAATTGAACGCCCTATTTCCACCTTGACTCCCAGCTCCAGTAGCTACTAGTCTCGGAAAACTCTTGCCATCCTGCTCACCACGAAATATAATACATCCCAACGCCAGTATGCACACATAAACTCCAATGCTATAAACACAAACACGAACTTAATAACCCTGCCACGTATGACAGGTCTTAACACACTTTCCCACAATAACCAACAACAGACGGTATGTGACTGGCCTAGTCTGGGCCAAATATTTACACGAAGATGCACAGCTGTGGGAATTCGACGGCAATAGCAAGGGGTGAATGGGTTGTCACATCAAAGGCAGAGCATCACTTTGCTTCAAGCCCCTCTGGAGCAACCCAGACGCCCAAAACCACCGTCAAAATCCCCACAACCGCGAGTCAAATGACCACACAGCTACTACTCCTACTCGGCCTGCCCAACTCATTAGCCCTTGAACGTCCAAAATCTATAACAAACGGGAAAATACTCACTCCGGCATCCTTTCAATCCGTTCCACCCACGCCGCACAAATCTTCAATCGCTCTCGCACACTCGTCGTCTGTAATAGTGCATACTTGTCCCCTTCTGGTAGCGGTAGCACACTCGCGAACCACCATGGGAACTGCGCAGGACTCGTTGGACATTCCCCGTACACGCGCAGCGTGCGTGCGTGCATCCACGGCGCGGAGGCTGCGCGCATGCGGCGGACAAATGCTGTGCAGAGAGCCATGAGGTCCTGTGTCGAGAGCGCGGCGAATGGGTTCGCATCCACGTCCGCGTCCGCGTCTGCATCTGCATCTGCATCTGCATCTGCGTCTGCATCTACAGCAATAGCGGTGTCGGCGATCTCGAGAGCTTCTTCGTCAGCCAGAGGGAGATCTTCAACGCGCTCCACGCTACCGACGAGATAGCCGTCTCGGACGCCATGGCGGAGGACGCGGAAGAGCGACATACCGACTGCTTCGATGAGACTGCGGCCGTCGGGGAGGAGCTGTGCGCTGACGATGTGGAGGAGGGTGCCGTATTCGAAGAAAGGGGGTGTGGCAGCGAGACCGGGCTGAGGGATCTGCTCAGGGTTGTGTAAGAGCATGCCGAAGCGGCGGTCTGATTCGAGGACGCGGCGCATCATGAGGCGGTAGCGGGGTTCGAAGATGTGGAGGAAGGTAGGCATGGTAGGGAAGGAGATAGTGCAAACGAAGAGGGGGAGGTCGAGGTCGGCGGGGGTGGGGGATTCTTCTGTTGCGAGAAGGGTGCGGCGGGCCGTGAGGAGGGCGGGCCACAGGCCGGTAAGGAGGGAGACGAGGCGCGCGTTGGAGGGATATTGGGTGGGGGATATAGTGTGGGAGAGATCAAGAAGGCGGCGGCAGATTGGGCAGTACGAGGAGTGGTCTAGGACGCGCTGCAGGCATTTGCGGCAGAATGTGTGGCCGCAGGTCGTGGTGAGGGGGTCTAGATAGATGGCGTAGCAGATTTGGCAGTCGAACTCGCTGCGGATCTTTTCCTTGACTGCTTCGAGGGTCGTTGCATCGAGGTCTTTGGAGTCTCCTAGAGCGCCGGAGAGGGGTTTGTATGTGACTTCTGCGTCGTGGGCGAGCTCGCCCAGCTCTACCATCTTATATGTTGCTATCAGCCGGCCACCAGGCAAAGCTCTACTCCTCGGTGATCGGCCGCTGAGACTCGCTATTCCAGCAGCTGCCCATTCATCCTTCTCCTCGAGCAGTATCGGTGCCTCGCCTATGACGGGTCGAAACTCGTCCATGGAGATCTTAGCCTGTGCTACAACTTTCGACAGCGTAACATCCATGCTACAATCCCCCAGCGCATGGCTCCTCATGCAATCAGGAAACGGGCAATCGATCCCCTGCATCCGCGCCGCGGTCGCTGGATACGTTATGTTCTGCCGCGTATGTATCTCCGGCAGACACTGTTTGCACAGCGAGTTGCCACACGGCAGTGTCATAGGTTCGCGAAGTAGCAAGGAGCATTGCGCGCACTGCAGCAGCCTCACGATCCGCCGTGCATCTTCGAATCCACTGAGCGGCGGTTGTTCGTCAGCCTCATTGGCAGGCGTGGCTATGAGCGCTGTGGCGTTGGGATCCGCTGAACTGTCCGCGGAGGGCGGGAGGGGCACAGAGCTGGGCGGCACAGCATCATCGCTCTGTTCGGACATGAAGGTGCGTTTTGGCGAGGGGCCGTAGGAGTCGCGCACTCGTTGCAGAGGGAATAGATCTTGCGCCTTGCGCCGGCGCGAGAGTTATTCGTGTGTCCGAGACCAGCTTCGGGCTTTCGTTCATATATTCATAGAAGAGCGCAGCCTCGGTATGGGTCTTGGCGGGAGCGGATATGACGTTTTGGTGGCTTGTGCGATAAATGTTTTACCCTGATTCGGGAGGAGATCGTCGATGTTATCAGATTGTTTATGTGGAGGCTCAGAGGCGCTGGTAATATATAAACTCCAACGTGGAATTTTTGCAATAAATTAATTTGAAGGTGGAAGGTATTGTACTGCGCGCCTATGCAGTAGACCAAATTTGTTGATCGTCGTCGTCGTCACAACGGGAGATTAAGGGAGGCGATGATCATGGATTGGGTTTAAGCTCTCAAGCTTCACTTCATTTTGTTGCGCACTTTCCAAGGCCCTACTGCGCGTAACGTCTCACCGTCTCCGTATTAAAATATGGTCGCTACCATTCAGAGCAGCTCAAGAATAAATCTGCGGGTAAATTAGATTTGTTTACATTTAAGGTTGAGCACATATTTGATTTGAAATGATTACGTGATCGTCATTGTATAAGTTACTGGTGCCTGTTAACAAAAGCAATCTTGATAGCAAGCGCCACAGCTTCAAAATAAAGCTAGCTCAGAGTCTTAAAACCATAATCAACCAGGCAATGAACCTGCGTACCTTAATTATGGCCTATTATTTGCTATTATCTGGATCGAATCTCTGTTGCGGTACCCTATAGCTTTTAGTCTCTCGTAGCCTTTGGGCTATATATTTAGCTCCCTCAAGTGCACAATAAGGGCTTATAATAAACAGCTAATATCATAAATGGGCCTCTTTTTAATTCAAAAATCATAAATAGGCCTCTTTTTATATATAATATCATAAGTAGGCCTCTTTTTAATACAATATCAGGAATGGGCCTCTTTTTTTCTTATCGCTCACCGCCTACAACATATTACGCGAGTGAAAACTCTAACTGCCTCTATTTACATTTTATATTTGAGTATTCCTAGCTGTATATTACTATATCCTTACTCGTACAATGTCTACTCTAGCAATAGGTGATGTTTTCCCTTTAATAAAAGAAGCTAAGCTATCTATTATAGCTGCTCTTAAAGACAACGGGCAATTATACTAGACTGAGACCTTAAAGCTAATGTAAAGGCGTAGGCCTAGGGTCACGCGGGAGTTTAGGGAACCAGATCAGAAGGTAGGAAGAGAGGTTATATAGCGTAACAATAGGTCTACGTGAATACAGCGACTATTGACTAGAGTCCTCTACTGAGGCTCTAGCCCCTAATATATCTTCCTATACTATGAACCCTAATAACCGGGCTATACCTGAATGACAGCTCTACCGTAGGGCTGCCTTCAGCGTAGCACCTCACGTGTCATCACGTGAGGACCGCCTTACAGCTAGTGAGATTTGTCTTGAAATGTAAGACTGTTAAAGACTAAGAAGAAGGGGAGGAAGATATACTACACTATGAATTTAAGGTATAGTAAATATTATAGTAATCAATCTAGTGACTAACCTAGCTACTATTCACACTAAGTATGTAACTATCTAAGCAAAGGACATACAGCTTGTCCGTCGCATGCGCCTGCATATGACTAGATATAAATATCCAGGAAGATTGAAATGATAAGCTTATGGAGGATTAGGAGTCTAGGAGTCTAGGAGTCTAGGAGCATAGGAATAGCTAGGGCATCATAATACCCTTAGTCGTCTGCTATGTAAATTAAATTTATAACTTTAATTAGAGCAGGGAAGTCAAAGTCAGCTGATGCTTGGTCATATAACTGGCAGAATAATTAGGCACGTGCGCGATAAGAAAAAAAGAGGCCCATTCCTGATATTGTATTAAAAAGAGGCCTACTTATGATATTATATATAAAAAGAGGCCTATTTATGATTTTTGAATTAAAAAGAGGCCCATTTATGATATTAGCTGTATAATAAATTACACTTGGATATTGTAACAATCACAGTTCAAGATTTTGTAAATGTGAGTTTAACGTCTTCATTTCTCTGAAATATTAGCAAGGCACCTAGTGCCATTGTATTATTTTGGCTCAATGCCAGTTCTATGGCCTATGTAAAGTGAGGCCATGAGTCCCCAACCCCTTAACGACCCATATCCCAGCGCCAGAAATCGCGCAACAAACGCTCTCTGATCCCCCCTGATTCTCCCATAACAATGCTCCCAGGGTATTTCCTCCAAATGCAAGTCATGTGCATAAACAATGCCTTCATGTGACCAAACTCCCAAAACTCCAATTCATTTAAATTCATCCCTCAACTCCCATCTTCCCCGCGCATTCGCTCCATTCGGCCGCTTGATCTCCGCAACCTCATCCAACATCGCCTTAAAATCGGCCGTCTGTTGGGGCGTCCTGCACATATTCCCGAAATGCACCACGAGCATCTGGGACGGGACGCTTCCACCCTGAATGCGGATGTAATCCCTGATAAGCTTCAAGAAGTCCTTGCCCCTCGGCCCACGCGTTCCACTGGTCGGTGTACCACTCCTCGAGCTTCCAGGGCTGCTGAGAGAAGAGCCAGGGCCTTGTCTCTCATTCAACCCCTGCAACACGCCCGAGGCACCGGGACCTCTACGTCTCGCAGGAGCAGGTCGCCCAGCTTCGCCAACCTGGCCAGTCCAGGTAACTGTGCCGATGGGGACATTGCGTGCTTCTTCTCCGGATCTGCGAAGTTCTGCTGCGGCTTCAGCTGCGATGCGCTTGGCTTCGCGTTCGATCATCCCGCGGTCCGCTTGGACGACGCGCTTGCCGTTTATGATCTTGTCGTGCTGGAGGACAGAGTGGACACCCGAGCGAGCAAAGATGCCTTCCATGATGCGAGATTCTTCTGTCGAGGTCTTGCCTTCGTCTTCATCGTGGAAGTCTTCCATCTTGGCGATACCGATGAAGTTGCCCACCTCGTCACGCTCGAGGTTGGATGGTAGGACCTTGCCGTCGGTGGAAGCTAGGGGATCTGTGACTTTCCCCGCAATGAGGTCCTTGGCAGTCTCGCCGTTGACAGCTTGAGATACTGCGTTTCTTGGTGGGATATCTTGAGAAGGCATTCTGCTCGTGCCGTCGTAATCCAGAACCGGTTCCACGTCTCTCTTAAATTTCACTTCCGTCCCTTTAAATATCTCTCCCGTCTCTGTAGTGCTGTCCTCTGAAGATCCAAGAGTGAAGAGGTCATAAAGATCTTTCATATGAAAAGTCTGGCGTTGTTTGGGGTCTTTCAAGATCTTGTCAGCTAGAAACTGCTTGAAAATCTGACGATGATAGATCTTTTCTTCGATCGTTCCAGCAGTCATCAGGCGATAAATGGTAACTTCTTTCTTTTGTCCAAGACGCCAAGCTCTCTCGCGTGCTTGGACATCGGTGGAAGGATTCCAGTCGGGATCAAAGATGATCACACGATTTGCCCCAGTCAAGTTCACACCAAGGCCTCCCACCTTTGTTGTGAGCAGGAATATGTTGATATCCGGATTCTCGTTGAAATTTGTGACCATAGTTTGGCGTTCCTTAATAGGGGTGCCACCGTCCATACGCAAATAAGTGAACCCACCAAGACTCTTCACAAACTCTTCGATGATGTTGAGCATCTGCACACCCTGGCTGAATAGAAGTATCTTGTCGCCTTTCGCTTTCCACATCATAATCAAAGCCTTGACGACTTGCATCTTGCCGGATTTGTTTGGGTTCCCCCACTTGTACCCAGCTCTGTTCCGTAACTGCGGCTCCAAGAGATCTGGGTGATTGCAAACCTTGCGCAGAATATCGATTCCATACAGCGACTGTCTCGTGCGATTGAGAATTGATACCATCTCTTCCGATTTCAAGAACTCCTCGTAAGCTTGTCTTTGTGGCTTTGTGAGCTTGCAAAACAATACTTGCTCCGTCTTCTTTGGAAGGTCAGATGCAACATCCGCCTTCAGTCTTTGGATGAGGTACGGTCCGATAGCTTCTTTCAAGGTCTCCGCACATTTCGTAGCTGTCAGAATTTGAAGATTGGTTGCATTGGCATAGCCACCAAGCTTGATTGGAATCTCAAATTGATTGCGGAAGTTAACCAACGTTCCCAGGCGCATCGGGTAAATGAAATCGAACAATGACCAAAGTTCAATCAAGTTGTTCTGTAGTGGCGTGCCGGAGAGGATAATACGGTTTGGAGTTTGTAGCTCCTTGCAATAGATGGTGACAGTCGTGTTCGGGTTTCGAATCTTGTGACCTTCATCCAGCACAGCGTAGCCCCATTCCACAGGGACGAGAAGGTCGCCGTATGTTTGGAGACCGGCGTAGGTGGTGACAAGGACATGACCTTGCTTCACAACACGGTCCACGATGCGCTTTGCTGCCTTTTTGGCTTTTGGCTCTTTCTTTCCCCCACGAGTGCGCGTGACATCCTCCTCCTCATCTTCAACGCGGCTCTCTTGACGAACATTCATCATTCCACTGCCAGAGGTGTGTAATATGGACACCCGGAGTGCAGGCCACCATCTGTGAAATTCGTTCACCCACTGTTGAAGAACCGTCGCAGGGGCCACAACGATAACGGGTTTGTTGAGCTGTTTGCTGAAATGGAGTGCCGCTATGAAAGAGACGACTTGAATTGTTTTTCCAAGACCCATCTCATCTCCCACAATACCCCCGACTTGGGACGCATACAGTTCGCCAAGCCATTGCACGCCAGTCTTCTGGTAATCATATAGAGCTGGATAAATATCTCCAGGGAGCCTCAAGTCATTCGGTAAGTGGTGGTCAGGAGCATCAGGACTGCGCTTGAACCACTCCTCTTCCCCGTCGTCAACATCTGCCTCCTCTCCAAGTTTCATGCGGCGAGCTCGACTGCGCTTAGCCACCCAGCTCTTTAATCGCTTCTGGTAGTCGACCTCGTTGCCATCGTCGACAACTTTTTCTATCACATCTTTGGCTTTGGCTTTTCCTTTTGCTGCCTTCTTCACGGCTCGGCCAATATCAACAATGCCTTCGTCATCCTCCTCTTCTTCTTCGTCGCCAACAATGAAATCTCCATCTATTATATCCGGAGTATAAGCCGAGTCGGCGCCTGGAGATTTCCGAGGTCTCGCAGAATCCGGAATAAACTCTCCCTCCGATGCCTCAGCTGATGTGATAGCACTTCCATCTCCAACACGGCGCTTTTTGCGAGGGCGAGAAGGTCCAGCATCCTCATCGGTTGGGCTGCTGACCTCGCTGATGTCCTCAAAGCCAGGCTTCCTCAGAAATTGATGAGATCTCGGCTCGGCTGACTGGTCATCAGTCACCCCAGGAAGCTCGGCTGCCTCTTCAGCCTCCATCAAAATGTTTGTCAGTTCTCCTGTAGGTCCTTCGGTCGGTCTAGCTTCCATCCTAGAAAACGGTGTGATCTTT